ACGCTGTGGAGGCCGGTTCAAGCCCTGCCCGTGTCGTAACTGTTTAAACTATAATAGTTTTTTAAAATTTTTATAGCGTCATTCGTTATTTGGTAAATTGAATTTTTAAGTAAAATATATTTAAATTTATTTAGTCAAAGCAAGTTCGTTAAGTATATCCTTTGAGAGGATACGCTATTCTTAAAAATTGTTTACGCCCGCATATCGTGTGTGAGCTTGTAGAATCGCTACGAGAGAAGCTACGACCTACCACAACGTTTCCTTTTCAAGCCTCTTACTAAGAACCCTTAACGTAAACTTTATTTAATAATAAAGATTTATACTGGCATTTTATATAGATAAGCATCATGATTTATTGAAACTGGACTGTTTTTTAGTACTTAGTTGATGTAAGTAGATTGAATTATTGCTAATATAGATAAATCGTTATATAAGGACTTACTCTCTTATTCAATTCGAAGTTAACACCTGTAGTACTCTATTAAAGATTCTAATTATTGTTACCAATACAAAGTATATAGGTATCCACCTCAGTGAATAAGGCATCAAAAGCGAACATACCTTTGATTAAGAAGATACCGGGAAACGACGGCGAAACGAGGAATTGAGAACTGTTTCCAATAATTTTGGAATTTCAGTCATGGGAAACTATTCGTCACTCGAAGGAAATAATCTTAATGAAAATTGATTATTAACTCGCTAACATCGTCAAATATACTGAATTGTTTAATTCTTAGAAGCATCGTTAAATTAAAACGAGTGAATGTATCTATAAGTTCTGGCTATTTGAAAATTAGCATAAATATGCATGTGCTTATCCGACAGATATTAACGCAACGCTGTCTTTGATATCCATAATATATAAATATAACTAAAGATTATATTTTGTTCAATTCGCTAAGATTTAAGAATACGTTGCTAATTTATTAAAAAGCTTTTGAAATCATAATTAAAGTATAAAAAATTATGACATATTTTAAACAAAATAAAATGAAAGATCACCTTCTTAAGCATTTACAAATCTCTTAGGTATAAACTAAAGTGTCGTTTACCTATGTATAATAAATACATAGGTATACGACACTTTAGTTTAGATAATTTTCTTTCTTACTTTACGCACAGCAAAGGTCGATTCGATACTAGGAAGAAAGCTAGGACGCTATAAATAAGCCATTTCTAAGAAAATTGCACTCTAGAGTCAGAGAAAAGTAAGTAGAAGTAAGAAGGCCATAATTTAAATAAAATATTTCTTTCAATTCGTCTTTATTGGTGTCTCTTATTTCGTCCTTTTAAGGTTTTGCTCAAGAAGTTACATTAAAGTAACGGAACTTACGAATTATTTTTAAATTATTCTAATAATAAAAAATCTATATTAAATATTAGTAGATTCGACAGCCAAAGTGCCTGCCAAGTTATAATTTATAATACTATCACACAAGTTAGATTTTATCAGAAATAAACAAATTTTAAAAATCTAGAAGCAATTTATTCATAAAATGTACTGTACATTTCTTAGTGTTAAGTTTGTGTATTTTAAGAATCTTATTATTTGTATGATTCATTAAAATTTATTTTTTAAAGTTTTTAGAAATAGTGTAACTGCTTCCGATAGGGATACACATATATTACCACAATAAATGTACTTCTTCCTAATATAATAATAATTTGTCTGTAATCATTAACAAAATAAAAACATTTGTAAATCTTTGAAGGTACACAAAATTTTCGGTGTTAAACTTTAACGTAAAAGTTTTCCCTATTGAAACTGACATGAAAAATAGTAAATCGCAACACTCGCACGAAATAACAATCGCGAAGCAACTGATATACGACTTACTTGTATAACTTAGGCAACACTTCACTAAACTTTTGAAACTCACTATACGAAAATTGGGAAAGCGATGCGAACACGTAATTATCAGATAGGAGAGCGGAAACCGAGTGAATCCCGCGCAGGACTGACGCGCACTACGTCGCACGTAAGGGTGCAATTTCGCTGAGCTTACACCTAGCTTAACCCTCCGCGTGCGTTATGTAGAAGCGGGCAACTTTTACCCCGTACCGCACTTGTAAAAATTAACTTATATATTGTGGATATCGTGTTATAGTATTATAAATACTGAATAATTTTAACGCTGTACAATATGCATTTCGTATTGAGACGAGATTAATATAATCCGAAATGCATTAGTGCGTGGTCAGTGCGCGACTGAAGCTGTTAGGGGTTGACACAATCGTAAATTACGCCAACGCAATTGATACAACTCGCACAAACAAAAGACGGGGTTGTTCATTTGATTTAATCCTCAAGTTACTTCCTTCCCCGTCTATTTCATATCCTGTGTACGATTTATTATAAATTACATTTATGATGTCTGTACGCGAGTAGTGCGCATTTATATAGTACACTTAACGGTTTTAAACGCGAAATATATCAGTCGCGAAACGTCGGGCTGTTATTGAAAATAAATTTTAAACAAGTTGTACCAAGATATTTTGCGTTTTAAGCCGTTATATTGTGTCCGCTAGTCATTTTAATAGCTGTTTAGTATATTGTATTGCAATTAAATGCCGCTAATCAAACCATTTGAACTGCATTTTTAAATCAATAAGGAAAAGCGTTAACGTAAATATTTTTTTTTCAAAAATCGAACGGGTTTATTAACGTCATAACAATTTAACATTAACCATAATGAACAACACTATATTGATTTATTTAAATCACATTTGGGAAAAAACTCTATTTATTTTCTCTTAGTATATCATGCTATTTTTGTTTTTTTTGTCTGTTATATTAATTCACATAAAGTATGAAATAATTTAATATATCAAACACAAAAGGGCCGAGGTTGACAAATTTCTTTGTCTACTTTACTGATCGGTTTTACTTATAGCCAAGTAATAGACAGTCTCAAATCAATAGATCTCTGTTATCCCAGAATTTAGCACGACGGCCATTATAATGTTTAACCATTGAGCCAAATAATTAAGCATATATTCAAATAGTTAGGTGTAACGTAATAAACATTCTTAATAACATAAATATGCATTTCGTGTTATATTATAACCTACTTATATAATATGTGTACAACTTATATATTCACTTTTTCTTATATATTAACGTGATGTTTCTTTATAAACATGTGTGTATTTAACAATTAAGTTTGTGTGGGCGAAATGAATTGGGTTGAAATTTTATAAATAAATAAATACATTTAAGTAGGAAATGTACATCACGAACAGTGGGCTTTTTAGTATGTAAAGTGTGCTCGTTTTCTTAGTAGTGATATAAAACCATTACTTCACTGTTTTGAAAGCAACAGGTGACGCGTTGAACCCAGAAGGCTTAGAGGGGTGGGAAGAAAGCGATCAAAGAGAACCTCTCACTTCAAAGAAATTTCTTACACTAAGGCATACGACATCGATTTTTAATTAGTTCAATAATAGTTCGTATTATTTCATGAAAGTTTTGAATATAGATAGCTTCGATGTAAAATCGAATGTCGATTTATTGTATCTTTGCTCACTAACTGTAGTCTGAGTACGATATTATCACTACTTAGTATAAAACAAAGTCGCTTTTTCTGTCCCTATGTACGCTTGAATCTTTAAAACTACACAACGGATTTTGATGCGGTTTTGTTAATAGATAGAACGCTTCAAGAGGAATGTTTTATATGCAACGTTCACGTTCACGTCAACGTTGTTCTGTAGTGTATTTAGTATTGGAATTTGGCGAGTCGCTAGTTTAAAAATAAAGCTCCTAATTCTGAATGTTACAATAAAAATATACCTACCGATATTTAATAGTCTTACAACTTTTCTATTTAGAGCGATAAACTGCACGTAACTAAAATGAAAAAAAAACTATTTCCAAAACTCAAAGAATCCTGAGCTAGTATTCACCCCAAAACAACCCACAGTTGATACCGAATAATAATAACAGTGGGGACAGACAATCAAATAGCGGTGCCATCTTTAAATCTTACAATAATGACAACTGTCAACTCAATGACGTAAATCAAAAGCCGCGTTCCGATTGGTGGAACGCGAAATGCGCCCTACTGCGAAGGGAGGCGCTTTTATTTTAACTTAGGGCCACTTTACCGATTACCCCGTATTTATATCTGACTCTGGGGTTACCTTTGTGTCCGCTAGTCATTTTAATAGCTGTTTAGTATATTGTATTGCAATTAAATGCCGCTAATCAAACCATTTGAACTGCATTTTTAAATCAATAATAAAAAGCATTAACGTAAATGTTTTATTCAAAAATCGAACGGGTTTATTAACGTCATAACAATTTAACATTAAACATAATGAACAACACTAAGACACAAATATTATCATACACTACATCTTGAATAAAAGGGAATTTAATTTAAGTAAAGAAGAATACAATTATTCTTTTCGGCTCATAAGGTACATCGTTGTATTTGAGTAATTGTCATGGTTTGTCTGTTAATTACAAATTCATAATAATATCGTTTCTTGATAAACTTCAAACATTTAAATTGAATATTAAACCACCTGATTCATTTGAGTATTTTTTAGTTAAGAATTATATTTTCTACCTTCAGAAATAACTGATATACTATCAGGTGAATAATTAACTATTTTAATTTTTTATAAGTACTTTAATGTCTAACAATTGTACTTAATAAATAAACAATAATTATTTACTACATAATATAAATTACACAAAACCTAATTAGGGCTAACCCATACTTGCAAAATTTCTATTTGTCTGTAAATGTAAGTTGAGGTAGGTATCTTTTCAACACCTAAAACATAACAATTTGCGATACGTTATTACTTTAATGGTAAGTAAACAATACTGGAGTCTAAAATAGTATCCCACTAATGAATCACGCTCTAACGACAGTTGATATCAAATTCGCTGACAGTAAATATACACAGATAATTTATTACCTTACTGGTAACTTACAGGTAAGTTAATACTGCTTACTATTCCTAGTTTGTTAGAAAGGCTAAATAGACTAATCTTTCGGCAAGGCACTGTCACTTTTCCCTCTAGAATAGACGCGATAGGCCGTCTTAGAACCCAGCATTCTATCAAGGAGGCTATGCTTTGCTCGCCGCCGGTTCGTGAGGACCTCACGACAAAGCTCGTGGAAGACCTCACCAACTTGATTTACTTGTTCAGCCGCTGCTACCTCAGCGAAGCCGCATTCAAAATCTTTCGCCAGTATTTCACCTTCTTCTGGACTCACCTGAAACATGTTAACAATATAATTTTTATACTAATATATAAAGCTGGTAAGTCAGTTGGTTTGAACGCGCTAATATCAGGAAAGACTGGTTCGAATTGAAAAATTATTTTTCTGTTAGTTACAGCGTTTATTGAAAAGAATGGGGAAAAATTATTCATCTTTGTGGGTTTTCGTTGCGTACGCTGCGAAAGCGGTTTAAGATACCCAAAAAATGTATATGAAAAAGTGATTCCTCTTTAAATGATAAAAAAAACCGCAACGCTATAATATGTCCAACGTCAACAAATTTGTATGCCCAAAAAATATTCCTCGCGGGCGCAGTCGCTGACACAGCTAGTATTGTCTACTTAATATATATCGCGTTTTAAACTGTAAAGTGTTTTATTTAAATCTGTATTCTCGCGTAAACTACATATAGTAAATTACTCAAAGAGTTACTCATTTTGTTCTAAATCGAATAATTAACCATTATAAACTAATTGAAAAATATTAATTTTATCTTATATGAACAGATAAAATGTTAAAACTAACCTATCACAGTTTAAGATTGGATCGAACATAGTATACAAATAAATTAAAGAACATAACGTATACGATGCGTCCAGGGTTAAACTAACTCAATATTCTTCATTCATTTATTCTTTATTTGTAATATAATCTATTTGTTCAGCATTTGTAAAATTATCACTGAGATGGTAAAGCGGATATTACAATATAAAATGTCTATAAATTCCACGAACATTATTAAACAATTAGCCCAACGTACAATTCATTCGTGGAATATTGAAATAAAATACTGTTGTTGACTATAATACCGCGTTTCTGACTAGTCTAAAACAACAGAATAGAATCCTACATACTTACCGAAGCTGAAATGCACATTTTAATGCACATTCATATTTTTCAATATTCCAAATAGAATACCCAATAATATTAATATAAAACAATAGAAAAAGTTTGTCCGTCCTATAGAAATAGTAACAGCTGAGATTTGACAATCCACAAGCGTTTGGTAGCTAATAGTTTAAATAAAGATAGCTGTTGTCCACTTGTGTTGTATAAACAAATATTTGGCAGGTGATAAAATAAGCTACAATTTAGAATTGTATTTTTTGTTTATTAAAGAAATGCTAAAAGCTTTTGCAAATAAATTGCACGACTCGTTGTTTTTTTTCGTTTTAGTTATACACGGCTAGGAGTAGACCGACGATTTTGGCAAAAAAATATACCATTTGAGAACTTTGATAAATTTTACACATTATTGCACATGATGGCAATATATACATTTTACACATTATCTTAATGTGTAAAATTTATATATGTATCTTAACACGCAAGTGTTAAGGTTGAAATTACATTGCGCGAGAGGTGCACGTATCAATAGGTTGAAAAAATTCGATGTTGAAGTGTAGGACACGGTAGCTCGATTAGTTAGAGCACGGAACGCATTGGATGCCACTTCAAGTCCTGCCCGTGTTGTATTTTTTAATTTATTGTCGATTTTTGAATAATACCTTTTCTATTTAATGGTGTGTGAAAAATCTTACTTGTCGCAAATGCACCATATCTGCCTTATTTCCAACCAGTGTTAAAGGAATGTCGGGCTGCAAACGCTGTTTCGCTCTTCTCACGTAATTGAACGACTCTCTGTCGGTGATGGAATAAACGAGAAATAGCCCGTCTGCCCATTGCGCTATTTCGCTGCCGGGTAACTCTTCCGTGCTCTGTAAAGACAATTATTACTATAATTTTTATATGTTGATTAAATAGTATCTGATGGAAATTTCTTAATAATAGAGGTGGACAGACATGCTTGCGTTTCACTTGTGAAATAATACCCTGGCATAACGCATAAGGTCCGGTATTTTGGCTTTGGATATTCGGAAATCAACAGAATGGAACCGAAATGTGTTAAATTTCACTTTGTCATCTGTGGATGGTGGCTCGTAACCCGGACGGAATTTCGATATACCTATCACCCATCACCCATAGAATATCCAAATTTCCAGAACTCCAACAGGTTTCAGAAATATTAAAAAATTGATTAGAAAAATATTGAACGCGGTGGGGATCGAATCCACTACCCGTTGATTAATATTGCTACCATTACACGAGACCATCGATCCTCACCCGCGTGTGGTCGAGCGCGAAAGTGATTACATTCCTGAATTTGAACTTCGAACTGTAAGCTAACGTCATCTTATATTAAAAACACAATAACACTTCCGAAACGGCTAGACCCGTTTTAATTATTTTAAATGCATGTCTGTCTATTTTTTGAAACCATATTATATATATTACATAGGAATAATTGTTACACATGCCTAATATTTATTTTTCTGGCAATTTTATGTGGCATTAAATATATACAATCCTAAATGTTCACACTTCTACCAAGCCCTATGTTTAGTAATTATTTTATTTATATCAATTGGTGTCTTTAGCGTGATTCTAGGACACAAACCTAGTTCGCATTATTTTTTATTTATATTGCAATGAATTGATAAATACCGGTCACAATATTTCTCTCATAGATTTAGCCTTGCTCTTTTGAAAATTCAATATATCTTTATAAAGGGTTTTAAAGAGAGATTAATAATAACACGATGATACCGCCGGTTCTCGAAGCCACGATAGAGCTGACGTATTGAATCTGTCCAAATCCCTAACACGAATTTTAAGCGCAATGTAATTTCAACCTTAATACTTATAAATTAGGGTTTAATGTAATATCATCGTGCATTACTAATAAGGTACATTTCAAATCATTCTACTTTGATTTATTTATAACATAATTTTTGCATGCAACGGTGTATACATGAATGACGGTTCATACTGATACCATACGAGATGTCGTATGGTATAAGTAACTTATGTTAATATATTATACTAGCTGTGCCAGCGACTACGTCCGAATTAGTTTTTTCCAAACGATCGCAACGTCGGCCGCGTACCTTCCCGTCGTTCTTACAAGTTAATCTTAAAATATATATTATATTCTATAGACATATAGCGTCGCGGTTTTTTTTTTAGATCGTTTAAAGAGGAATCGTTAATTCGAACTCGTAGTTTCTGAGAGTAGCGCGTTCAAACAAACGAACAAACTGCTCAGCTTTATATATTAGTATAGATTTTAAGCTTACCTTCGGACAAGTATCGAGTATTTCAAACAAAATAGGTTCACCGTCCAACAGGGCTTCATGTTTATATTTGCTTTCTGAAAATGTCAAAGAAACTGTATTAACGACAAAATTACAGAATCAATTATTGTATCTCAATAATATATGTTTTTATTTTTTAGCATTCTAAAAAACTATCAAAGCCATTAAAATTGGTTTTAAAGAGAGTTTAAAAATTTAATGACACCGATGGAAGTCGAACCCACAACATACGCCGAGTTGTGGAGTTTTCTAATAGAATAGAAATACAGCAGCTAGAGCAACACCACGGTACGCTGTGGCAGTTCAAGTCCTGCCCGTGTCGTATTTTTTTAAATTTATAATCGATTTTTTATTTAGTATAGAAATAATTTCATCTTTTTTTTAAGCTTATTTACCTTGTTGGTGATCATATTCGCCGATATACCGCTTCGTTAAGAATCTCACTGTAAGCGCTGTAAAGACAAAGTTACGATTAATTATTTATATTTATGTCAGCGGGGAAATAGTTACTTAAGTATTGTCTATTGTTTTCGCGAGTAGTACACATTTCAACCAAACAATTGTGTAAACGCGAGATATACAAGGTTCGGTACATAAAAATATATTTATTTTTCGGGTTTTAATCCGTTAAGTGTTTTAGTTCAATGAATGGTTGCTTTAATTACGTGACGTAATATTTTTTGTAAATTAACACAAAAATAATTGTAGTACAAACAAATTAAAATGTGACCACCTCTGTAGCCAAATTGTTAAACGTATCGCCTAGCATTGCCTTACGGGTTCTGGGTTCGAAACCCAAAGAAACAAAAAATGTTTCGGTTGGGCAGGGCACAGAATAAATAACATAAAGTAAACAATAAATTATACAAATAAACTTTTATATTAACTAATCGATAAACCGATAAAGTCTTCAGACATTTTGAATTATTTGAGAGAAAAAGCGTGATTCTTTCGTAGATATACTAGAAATAATATAGCCGGAGTTTTCGTTAATCCGTTGTATGTAATGTGTTTTATGTAAACGTAAACTACAGACAATAATATTGTCAATATATCTATTAAATAGAGAACATTAATTTTCATTACGCATATTTATTCGTTTGGTAGCAAAACTCCCATGTCAATCTAGATTCAACTAAAAACGTTTCACTCAAAATAATAAGTTGTTTATAAAACGAAATGTATACAATGTTTGCCACGCTGAAGGTCGGTCTAAATTAATATTTAAATGTCAGCTACCTACGATCTCACATCAAGTAGGTACATTTATATGTACTAGCTTGTTGCTCCAGCTTCGCTTGCATTTTAAAAGTAAGTGCCAATACTTTTTTTTCTTCTTGTAAGATGAACATAATAAGGTTGATTCAACTCTTTCAAATGATGTATTAATAACGACCAAATTCGTTCTTTCGATTAAAAGATAGATACAGTCGCGGGAAGAGAACGCAATCTTGCATATATTTTTTAAATTTTTGAACCGTTTTCGCTACGCAAGGGTCGCAGCTTGGTGTTATATAGTCTAAAGCCTTCCTCTATAAATAGTCTATCCAACCTAGCATCACAAATCAGAATAGACAAACAAACAAACTGAAGAGCTTTATAATATTAGTATAGATAAGGCATTTTTGTTTATAAAACATTTAATAAATATATATAATTTTAGACATTTGTTTATATATTGCGACCGTCCTCGTGACTCAATGTATAAACGATTGCCTGGCATTACGATAGACGCATGAGGTTACCGGGTTCGAAACTCGAGTTATAATTGTATCGTATATAAATATAATAGCTTCGGGTTGATCACAGACTTGATCAACTACTTCCTTGTAAACGGATTCCAGGACACATTGATTTATTATGCTTACTTATACAAAAACTTTTAGCTATTATATTTAATACGAAATTATCTGAATCCCTTACGCGTGTTGTACAATTCCTAGAGTTATTCGTAATACGAGTAACGGGTTTAATTAGCAAAATGTACGCTTCCGTTCTACGGGCCTACTCTTGAAATAAATTAAACTCAACTCTTCTCTTACATTGTAAACTTTAAAATCTTTTTTGATTATGACAGGCTCGATGGTCTAATGATCTAATATGTGGGTAATAATTAACGCGTCATGATTTCGATCACCACCGGGTCCAACATATTTTAAATCTTTTTGAAACATTAAAATTCATCTAGAAATCTGGATATTAAAAGGGGGATATTACTATCAAGAGGGGTGATATTAATATCAAGAGTCCGGATCCCAAAGAACACACCGTCCACGCACGTCCGCGTTTTCGGTTTCGGCCTGTAGATTTTCGAATAAATTCAGGTCCATGCTCTAACCAACACAAAAATATTTTATTCAATTCGAACCTAGTTCCTGAGATTAGCGCGTTCAAACAAACAAACAAACTCTTCAGCTTTACATGTGTGAACTACCAATGATTTCGATTTCGTAATTCCTATCACTCGTTTCATTCATTCCTTCATTTCCCCATTTACCAAACCGGGTCTAAAATTACGAAGAAACATACGTAGGGCACGTAGCTGCTATGTTGGTATTAATAGTTAGTTTATTTAACTTAAATTGTATTATAGGCGGGTAGTAATCACAGAAAACTATATATTTATATAATAAAACAAAAATACATAGGTATTTAATAATTATGAAACAATATTTTAATTAATTTAATTTTAATATTTTTTTTAGTTTTATCAAATAAGAATTGAAAGTAACTATTATTTACGTAAAGTTCACCTATTGTCTATTTTAAATATTGTTTGATTAAATATATTTAAGTTAACTAATATGTCCATGCATGCATAGTATGCAATATACATAGTCCATGCTTACAAAATTTACTTGTGTCGAAACAACGATCGTGCGTCGTTTTATTGATCGATCGTAATATTAGATTTTGTAGTCGTGGTTATATTTTTAGATTTTCAAAATCTATTGAACTATTGTTAAATTGATCGATGTATATTTAACATTCCGATCTCTGGTCGTGGCTTACGAGTTGCGGCTTTCAACAAATATTTTTCCCAATGTTTGATAGGCTCACGCCAAATCGAACATTTGGATGGGTTGTAATAAATCCTGATAGATTTATTCACTACAGCACTACTATGATAAGAAGAGCGACCTCTGTGGCTCAGTGGTAAATATTATTGCGATATGCGCGAAAGGTTTTGAGTTCGAATCCCGAGAAAATAATAAATAAATTTTAACGTTGAGGGCACAAAACTCTCATGCTTAAGTTAATACGTAGAAAAAACTTGTCAACCACATGCCCACGCATTGTGTAGAAACGAAAATACAAGCGTAAAGCAAAGTATTTCGCAAATGACGTCTACGAAAAAAAGAAATTATTTTCAGAATCACAAAGGCCGTCTTCCGCGCTACTGCATTGTCTTCGTGTTACTATAATTATTTTTGGCTACGGCCACTGTACATTCTTAACATAATGTCATACCGGAAGATTTTGTTCTACATATTTTTCTCACGAACGCTAAATCGTCAAGGTTTGGCATCCTTGCGATAGTCTAATCGTTTAGAAAGCTTAATTCACTATTTTCAGTTCATAAAAGTAAAGTTTATTTACAGTTGGAAATTAAAACTATTTTTCTTTTTCAATTTTAATTTATATGGTATTTATATTATTCTTTAAATAATTATTAAAAATGCGAAAAGTATTATACACAAATATTTACTTAGACGTTTTGGAAGCTTTACATCTGTCGGACCGTAGTTAAAACACTTTAACGGTTTTAAAACAAAAAGTGTTTTAATTAAATTACTCGCGTACACTACAGAGAGTATTCATTATGTAAATTATGTTTTTTCTATAATTATAAGAAAAAATTATGTTAGTACTAATATTATGATTTAAAAACATATCCCCGGAACTTACGGACTTAAAAAAACTATACGTTCTGTAGTTTATAAAAGCTAACTAAACAATATGAGTTCAATCAATTAGGTATAATAAAGAGTTTTTATCTAAACTTGCGACGCGTGCGCAGAGCAAAAAGTTAAAAAATCAGGAACCAAAGCACGTTTAGATACAAGTATGTATATTAAAGAATTAGACAGTATAATATTCATGAATGATTTATGTAAAACAACAGCTGCTCTTAGCACTTGATAAATTAGGGGATAAAATATTATATAAAAATATTCTTACGTACAAACATCTAAATTCCTATAATCCAAATGTATGATATATGGAGGAATAGATGAGAATTTATTCTCGCTGACCTATATAACAACATATAAAAGTTTATATATCGATAACATTGTTGGCGCCAAAACGAGACGCAAGAAGTAACCACGCGACGAGATTATTTCACAACACAAATGGAAATTAGTCTATTAAAACAATTTGGTTAATAATTATTCCTAATTGTAATTTTTATGTAACACAAATCGATCGAAAAAAGTTTCATATTTACATCTTTATTTTGACACAACTTACAAATAACTATTATTTGCGAAGGACTTGTAGGTATCGTAGGTTATACAGGGGTATAAACACAATTAAAAAAAGGGTTTTTTAACTGATGGTGTGAACGCCTAATGCCCGCCCTCGTCGGGCAATATTGACGTGGGGAGTGCGGTAAATCGTATAGCCGACCAGAACCACTAAACACACCATCAGCCCTCTACGGTCTTTTGAGGGAGCCCTGGGAAGCGCCCTAAACGTAAGTTAAAATTTACGACAATACGATGCATCATATCAGATACGTTTTCACGTAGATATAAGGATAAAATGAATACACGATTATCATTTTAAACATTTATTTAGGTAGTTGAATATTAATTTATTTTTATTGTAGGATGTGCACAACGATTGAAAAATCCGATGATCACGAATGGGACACGGTAGCTCACTTGGTTAAAACAACAGCACGGTATTATTGCATTGTATTAACTAAACAAATACATCCAATCCATTTGTACAATGAAATGAGAAAATGTATTTTCCATGGTCAATTGAATTGAATAATTTATACATCTTAGGGGGCCCCCCCCCCGGGCCCCCCCCCCCCCCCCCCCCCCCCGCGGGGGCCCCCCCCCCCCCGGGCCCCCCCCCCCCCCCCCCCCCCCCAAAAAACCCACCCCCCCCCCCCCCCCCGGGAAGGGAAAAAAAAAAAAAAAAAGTTTTTGTCCCTTTTAAAAAAAACCCCAAAATTATATAAAAAAAAATTTTTTTTTTTTTTTTTTTGGGGGGGGGGGGTGCCCAAATTGGGGGGGGGGGTGTGGGCGGTTTTATTTTTTGTAAATAAATAAATAAATATTATATGCAAACTTAGAAACTGCTATTCGTCTTGATTTGCCTAACAGCTGGGCATAGACACGGGTACTACTTTTACTTGCATTGGGTCATCGAACTAACCATTAGTTATCAAAAAGCATGCGCACATCAACATTAATCTTTCACACTTACGCTAAACTAAATCACTGTTTCGCTATTTGCATCGTCGTCTTCTTCGCAGAGCACGCCAATCATCATTAGGCGAGTTATACGATAGCATTAAAATTTAACATTAAATGGAATCTGAAAATATTCCGGGCCTTGAGACAACACTTGTAATTCATCGTTTTATTTTCGTTATAGCATTGATGTCATTAGAATGCGTAGGATTATAAAACGCGAGAAATTCGTAAATTGGGGATTAATTAAGCGCGCCAACGGTTCACTAAATTTGAACTTGTTTTAGCTGTATTATACGGAACAAAAAATACACGCTCGCTTCAGGCCACGTACCACTTTTTCCAACTGACGGTGCCCCTATAACCGCCACTTTGACTTCGGAGAGAGACGACTTCTTCCGCCTTATGCCCCGTGTTGTCATTTTCCCCGCATGGCCCTGCCGCGCGGCGTGCCAAAAGAATACTCCGCGACCGGCGAGCAACGCGTGCAGCGGTCTACTCGAACCCCGCACTCGACTGTCAGCTAAAAATACATAAAACGACACAGCTCTGACATCGGTTCTCGTGTTAATGGGTCAAGATCTGGCCAAGATCAGTCGTGCAAATAGGCATGTTTACGTCGTGGGCTTCCTGACGGTTACCGCCACGTGTCCGTGGCTGCAGGCCAACGCCGACGTCCGAGGATCTTGACTTTGTTTCGTGTGAACTTGGAAAATTCATTGCCGTTGCGATTTTTTGTTGAAATACTGCGGATCCAGCAGTGAAAAAGTTCTAGAACATCGTTCCTCTGTTCTCTCTCTACGAATTATATTCTAAATTGTACTCGAGACATCTTCTGCTTGTTAACTCTCGCGCTGCGAAAGTTGTAAATCAATATTTTAATAGAATTCGTTCTATCACTTGACAGTTGTGAATCGTCTCAGAATGAGGTACGCTTGGTATGAGTATTAATAATTAGTATTCATTTATAGACATATCACTATGTATGTATATCTGTCGTTTTTTAGGAAAAAGTTTCAGGCATTTAGAAGTTTTGTGTGAACACTTAGATTGATTAAATTAAATCAGATAACAGCGAATAAAGTCCTATAGGTACAAGAGTACATTAAAACAACAATTTTTTTTATGTGTTTACAATTACAAACTAAATTAGCAAACAATACTGTAATACTGAGTAGTACACATTTAAATAAAACACTTTAACGGTTTAAAACGCGATATATTAGTTAAACTTATTCGAAAATGATGTTTAACTTCGGCCCGACGTTTCGGATGCTTTGCAGCAACCGCGGTCACGGGAAGACCCCCCGTTAAAGTGTTTTATTTAAATAACGTTACTTGCGAAAGAGATACCCGAAGTAACTTTTTCATTTAGACGAAGTCGAAAATACATAAAGTCCTTCCATATTTACCAATAAGCTTTAAATTTCATATCAGCCAACTCACATGTTGCTTCCAAAGTATTTTCGTATACAAATCAACATGTCCATGACAGATTGTATTGCTGTATAAAGGCCAAAACAATTCGAATACAGAAGTAATGTTCACTTTTCTTAGACTCACTGGAATGTTGGCGTGGTGCCAAATGTTCCAGGTACAATTAAAATGTCCATAAGTGTTAGAAGTGGGATTATATTGTTACATTAATAGGCAATGAAAGCTTTCATTTGACATTTACTTGAGGACAACGGAAATAGCTTATGGCCGATTTATTTGTCGCCGGCCACGTCGCTCAGCCTCTGAGAAGAGTTATGTATAAGCTCTTTTAGACCCTCTCGTTTCAGAGAGGAGACCTAGGTCAAGCGTTTTACACTCATAGGTTAAACTAAATATCAGATTTTTTTTTAGCCTATCTGTTATCATTAATCAAGATTCATGTCCTGAATTTATGGTGTCTTTTCTTTGCTATATCCTATTTTCCTTGTCCATCTGTTTTCATTACTTTATCGTCGCATGTATGTTATTTACGCTCCTAATCTAGCTCCATTATGATCCCCTTACGAAGTAATAACCATTTTATAGTAAAAATTAATAATAATTATATTATTACTTTTAAAATACAAAAAAAAACACCTTTCGAGCATTAATATACAGACAGATGGGGTTTGAACTCGTTTGAAATAATCAGATGTTTGCATGATGTCTTTTTATTTCTAATTAAGATAACTGGAGCCATGAATGTGGTTAAATTATTTTCGAATAATATTCAATCTCATAATTCGTAACTACTGAAGAACTCGTGTCAGAAGATAGTTATTTTTTTAACAAGTTTAATTCAGTGGCCTAAATTTAGACATCAGAAAAGCAACAGTAAAACAAATCTCTGTTTTCATGTTTTATATTTGTACACTTAAAATAAGTATTTACAAAAGCCGAAAAGAAATTACAGTTGCGTTTAAATATAAGTATTGCTGAGTTTGGCAATTTTAAATTAGTGGTACGTAACATACGTACGAAGTTTGACCTACTAAAAATCATGTGTGGTAAGTACAAGAAGAAACCGAAACATCAAGGAAATAATAGTACCATCCGATTTTCCTAAAACAAAACTACGCTAAAAGCTTCTGTTTTCATACAACTCTCGCAAAAGCAGAAATATACATATATAGGAATGCAAGGAAAACATTCTTCGTACTTCAAAAGGCTGTGTGTCTGGGTCACGAAATTAACTAGTACAGACCAATTCTAAAAACATCTCAATACTAAATGATTGAATACGGCGAACGTTGTTAAGCTGGAATATGTATGTAGATAAGGACTGATGTTTTTATTAAATTCGCATGATTAGAGACAAGTCAAGAAATTATTTCTTATACAATATGTCTATTCAAAATTGTTCAAAATTAATATAAATTCGACAAAACGATAGACGTGTACTAACACAATATTTCTCTATCTTATTGCTTTCTAAAAATTATTACGCCACAGTTTCAGATACCTTCTGTAAAACAAATAATAATTGCGATATACCTAACTACACGTACCAATGGATGAAACACAATATATTGCTTGCCGATTCTTTCTCTTATTATCGATCTACTTTATATGAATAATTAATGAGATACGCTAAAGGGTTATTGTGCAACCACAACAAAACACGATATGTCATCGACTAGCACTATAGTGATATAAACTTACTTTTAACGAGCGTAGCAGCATCAACATCTTCTAAGAAGTTCTTGATAAAATGGCCCGCAAAAGGTAATAATAATAAGCAGCGCTTCCAAACATGCTGATTTTGGATGGATTCACAAAAAATGCGTAAAACTTTTTTATATTTTAATTTTCAACGACAAGACGAATAATGAAAGTTAAATAATCAAGTGGTCCTATATCATCAGGATATGTAGAACGTTTCTCGGTTAAGTGACGACGTTTTTGTGTATTCTAGACACGCGGAAGCGTGGCAAGCCAAGTTCCAGCATAGGAACTGGCTAGGCAGCGGTAAGTGTATCTTTAGGTGGTAGATAATTAACTGTGCAAACGTAATTCAAATACAGATAAGTATCAAAAAACTTTGTTTAGTTTTTTGAAAAATTTTCTTTGACCATTTACTTGGAGAAAAGGACCAATATAGAAAAAGAACTGGCGTCGCTGTTTTGCTTCTGTTCTACGAGTACACTTTAAGCGCAAAATAGGAATAAAAAATAGTTAAGATGTCCTCGTGCTACGCCCGCAATATAAAAATTTACTATCTACTATGGACATGTTCAATCGGAATTCTCTTGCATCAACGGTTGCATGTCTTCGCGTCTCTTCTCACGGTTAGTTACGCCGTCGAGAACACCAATTTCCGATATTCTGTAAATGATAGAAAGGTGCATTAGTTATATGTATGAGGGAGTCCATTCTCTCTACACTATATAATAATATTTATGTAAATACATTTTTGTGAACCTGTTAAAAGGCTTCGTTTAAGGGTGATGATGCAAATTCCGTATCAGTCACAAAAAAGAGGGGGGGGGGGGGGGGGGAAAGAAGAGGGGGGGGTTTCACATTCCACTTTCGGGTAGGCATGTGGGAAAAAAAACATTGTCGTTTCACATTAATTAATATGATCGCAGTTAAATAAAACACTTTAACGTTTTAAAACGCGATATATTAGTTAACGAAAATGTTTTAATTTCGGGCCGGGGGTTGGGGGGCTTTGCGGCAGCCGTGGTCACGGGGAGACTGATCGCAGTTCAAAAGTTTCTCAACACAAAGACACGTATAGTTTGTTGTATTTTAGTTTAATAATAGACAAACATTTTCAGAAAGCACAACAAAAAACCACAATAGACCCGCCTTGGCAAATCACATCGGTTTGTAAGAAACAAAGAAAACGTGCCGCTAGCACTATTACAATATTAATAAAAGCTAGATTTAACAATTAGCCCAAAAAGTGAAAATATTAAAAGATAAAGATTACAACTTACACTTTAGGTTCGACGTCGTCATACGTAGGAGTAAAGTAAGGATTAGCGGCGGCAGGCCGGAACTTATACCCCGTCATAACGAAGAACACAAAAGTTGCCATTTCGCGGAACATCTCGTCTATCCACGAGTATTGGAATGGTACTGTGTTCTGAAAGGTAACACACATTTGAAAACTTTATTTTTCACATGTTATTGCTAATGATAGCACTATATAAATTAAAAGTCGATTATTTATTTATTGTTTAGTTGGCATTCTAACAGCTACATAGTATACATGGGTTAAACATACTTAAAACTAAACATAAGACAAAAATACTATGGTAAAGAGCACACAAAATAATATGGTATAAAATACTTAAACTGAATATAGACGATATCCTATGACATATACACCATAAACATGTACATACACATATAAATATTGTTCTTTGTTTGTAAAATAGAATGTAAAAAGAACGAGAGTTCTTGTGACCAATTCCTTTTTTTGCAATTTATAATCGATTTTTCATTTACGTAATATACACACATATTATTCCAATTTACTAGAACTAGCCCATAAACTTGGCTCGTAATGCTCAGTACTTTCGACAGTTGATCACGAAGTCCGACGTTCGAATAGATCGGGCTTAAAGTTGGAAATAGCATAGATGTCCACCGCACCTTGAAGAGCACTTCAATTGGCAGACTCCATCTTTGCAAAACTAACTCATACTGAAGCAAATCATTTACCGTATGGTAAATGTCAGAAACGAAAAAATATTATTCAAAAATATATACCCTATAGATACCTATAAATGTATACAAAATATTACCCTACCTCAAGTATGGTTACTATAAACCTTGTGAAATATATGTAACACAAGATCATCAAATAGAAATGTCGGAATAATTTCAACTTTCGCAAATTGACAGCAGCCTTGCCGTCTGTCGTTGAGGAGTCCTCTAGGTGATGAATTGACCTGAAAACAATTACAATCTCGTTTATCCCTCTGAGGCAAGGCAAGCCTCTAACACATTCACACGGAACAATACCTATTTACAATCAAATTGGTTGTTTTGACTCTGATGAAATTAAGAAAACTAAACCCCTACATATACATTATTTGTTAAGTGTTAGAGCATCAGTACATATCGCTATGGATATCGGTCGGTATTTTTTTTTTCAATCTTAGATTTCTATTTATATAATACCATCAAGTGCAATGAGGTAAAAAAATAATGTCCTCATTTTTATTCCTCGTAATAGTAACAAGAAATTGACTGTCTATAGAGTCTTATCTGAACGGAAACACTACTACGATAAGAAAAGAATTAGTTAAATTTATTAAATTAATTAACAAAAGTTTTACTAACATTTCATTTAATTGGAAACAAAGAACAATCAATGTATTCCTAGTTTTGTACAAATCTGAAATAAATTACCTACTGGGCTTAAGTGATAAAATAGTGATAATCTAGGGGGAAATAAAAAAAATAGATTATCTTACCAAACTACTGGGAACATAATCGCCCCGCAACAAAGCATATCAACAAACATAAGTAGTATCCTCCACGCGTTATGTTCAACTGCGCCCTCTTCACTTTCAGCTATTATTATCTCTGCTACATTGGCTACTACCTACGAAATTCCTTTATTTATTTACTTGATCAAGTTAAAACATATTTCGTATTGTTACTGACTTATAACATCATTGGGAATTGAGGCGCTAAGGCAGAGTAGCCTAATTGCAATTTTATGACTTGAGTTATTTATATTTTCATATAAAAATGTTAAAGAACAAGACCGCAGTGACCGTGATTTACATAATTCTTACACATATAATGGTACAAATTCATTTTCGCCTAAGTTAATTGCGCATTTATATTTTTGTCCTTATGGAGAATCAGGATTTTGGATTAGTCCTCTCTGCCTCTAACAGCCTCAAATATTACTTTTATTATAATTTTTTCTATTTTTGGTAAGTTGGGATTTGAAGAATTGTTATGTAAGATAAAGAAAGAAGATGAATAAGTATGTAGTAGAAATTATTATAAATAATAAAAATATCTCCATTCTCGAATTCACTTAACGGAAGGTGAAATTGTCTAGCCACACTATTTAAATTTTGTTGTTTTCACTTTAAACATTAGAAAATGTAGCGGTTTGCATAAAATGTATCTATTGCACTTAAAAATACTTACTTGCAACGGTATGACTATCATAAATATTTTCTTATCGCGATCAGCTAGGATATGTTTTATAAAATTCCAACCAGTACCAACTAGTATTATTGTCACAAATAATACAGCACCTTTTAACCTGAAATATTTATTTCTATTTTCACTTGAAAAATGTAACTTATATAATAAGGAAGCATATTCAAATTTGAAGCCTGCTAAGATTATAGAAAATTGTTAAAAGAAAATTTCATATATACATATAAGACAATTTATAATTTACATACTGGATAAGATACGGTATAGCGTATTACTTACAAGTGGGTAATATAGTACAATATTGCCCAGGCAGTGACATGTTCTCCACGTGTTTGTATAAAATGATAGTTGATCCCATGGAATGCAAGTGACATTGCTTTCAAATACACCAGCACGCACATTATTATGTGTATTCTGTAGACTTTGTGGCGACTCGTTTTAAGAATAAAAGTCCAGAAACCAGCGCTTAAGAAGAATATAAGTGACATCATGCTGTACAAAGCCGGCAGTGGCATCTCACCGGCGGAGAGAAAGTTACCATCGTTAGTTTCATATATTTCTATCTATAATAAAAAAAGAGAGTAATTAAAACCAATGATTTCCTAGCATTTTAATATGACGTAACATCACACGTCAGTTTATCAGAAGCTTGTACCTTACCAAAAAAAAATCCATGTACAAATTGTAACATCAATCCCATATGTAAAGGGTTTTCAATAAGTTTAAGTAATTTATAGTAATATCAAGTGGATAGATTTAATATCAAAATGGTTGTAGGTTTGTTATGTGTACTTACAAATTAAAAAAAATAGACTTACCAAGGCATTAATTGTGGGATCAGGATCTGGTCCCTTATCAGGACAGTTGTGGAAATACAAGTTATATAGTCCTTCTTCCTTGTCCGATGCAACATACATGGCGAACTAGAAAATATAAAACAACATTAATCACCCAAAATATATAACAATAGATGTTAAATAACATAAAGACTACATGAAGTTTCAAAATGACTTACGCTTGTGTTGTAGTAATCAAAGCCATTTCGTGTTTCTTTTGTTATTGGTAGTACAGCATAAGAACATTGAGGTCCTAATGTTTGAACTGTTTTCTCCAACCCTAAAACATCATATAAATTTGCTTAACCAAATGACACAAGGTGTAAACGGACATACATACAAAACTATATCGCATTTGTGTTAATCTTGTACTTATTGTCATAAAATTTTGCCGAAAGAAACATTTTGTTACTTCCGCAGGGATTGTACCCAGGACTATCTTATTCAGATCTTACCTAGAGCAGCCCTTCGTCGTCTATTCAAAAATATATACTGCGACTGTCTTTTAATTCTGTCTATTGGGATCATTGACCTATTCTGGTATAAATGCAGTGCTGTCACTTCGCCCTCACATGTGATGTTGATTCTGAAATTTGGAATCGTTAATTTATTGCATGTCGTTATTTTAAAACAACATAACAGCGAGGTCAACAAAATTATCAGCTCATTGAGGATTAAGGAAAACAAAACACAATTCACAGTAAAGTTATATTAGTTAACTAAACAGAATACACAGAGATAAAAGTAAGCACATGTTTTATAGACTTCGCAAGTGCACAAGCAATTTTGCATTCTATTAAAAAAAAAGTAATTTTATGGTTTCATAATGATATTTAATGATTATTATAATGAAAGCTGTTTTATAAGAAGATAATATAAGAAAAAATATCCATTAAACTCATTAATACTAAAACGAGTTTGATAGAAATTAAGTGATTTTGCAATTAGCATAATATAGGCATCATAATGCACATCACACTAATAACAAAATCAAAATATCATACAAAGGAAGGCAGAAGTGGTTATAACTATTGTTTATCATCTTAATTTGATAAACCACAAGTCATCACTGAAAAAAAAATGTTCAGCTGGAATTTACAGCTCAGAGCACAAAAATACTTTCTATCACATGAAAGCAGTAATAAGGTACATTGCTTTGCTCAAATTAGCTCTTTAACTGTCTACATATTTTAAGTTACAAATTTTTAAGTATTTAAAATACATATATGTTAAGACTTCTTTGCACATATATTTAAAATTAAAGAACATAATATCATAACCGTTATTTTGACTGTCGCCATAGTAAAAGTTAATATCACTGCATTAAACCCCGGAGGGATTAAGCTGAATTAAACCTAGGGGGAAATATGCTTATACGCTTGTAAATAATTGTTTACGCTATGCCACACAGGTGAAAATTACATGTACATTTTCAATTACTGCTTCACTTCATCATATGAGGTCAATTAGGAATTTAAAATAGCAAAGAAAATAGTTGATATACCTGAGATTCTGAAAATCCAATTTTAAGAAGACAATAGCAGGGTGGTGTGGGGATAATAAAGCTTCATTTGTCTCAACTCCTTTTAATATACATGTATCTGAATGTACTTCCAAGTATGGGTTAATTGCATCATTGACTGTTCTGTCCAGTGTAAAACCATACTACAAAAATACAATATAATTAAATACAACATTAATTACGTGTGTTACTTATACCTTCTACTTATAACTCACCTGGCCTAGTACTGGACCCGATGGTAATTTAAAATTAATCATATGGACATCTAGGATACCACCTTGGAAAAATCCAAAAGTAGTTAAATCTACATAGTGACGTTCATCATCCTGAAAATGTTAAAAATGTAACAATTTCTTATAATCCATAATAATTTTATGGAACAAGAAAGAATACTACGTACCACAAGAGGCAATTTGTGTATCCTTGATGATACTAATACCGCAAAAGCTACCATAAGGATTAAAGATTTCCATACTGCAGCAATCATATTTCATGACTATTTCTCCAAGTATCGAAAACAAAGGGGCGCTTTGATATTGACAATACGGCACTTATTATAAAACAATATTAAAGAAAACACAAATGGTACTAAGACCAAAAGGTACACTTTTGAATTTATTTTCCAAGATAGAAGTATTTTTTAGAAATTGAGAATAGACAATAGAGAAAATATAAACGTAGTAACAACCACAGAGTTAAACAGAATAGAGAGAATAATCCAAAGAGTACGTTACAGATAAAGACTCAAAGAAATGCCACTCCTATAGATCACAGAGCATAATACTTCAAACTCAAACCATTTATTTCACAAGACAGAATAAATAACTTAAATATAAGAACATATCTATAATGCATTATCTGTGGTTCGTAACAAAACAGAAACATTAAAAAAAAACAATATCAACCGCTCTAAATTCAAATGTTATAACTTTTATCTGACTAATCGAATTTTTCACTACAAGGACTAAGGAGGTGAAAATGGAGGACGAAGAAGACTTAATAAGTTGTGTTGGTTGCATGAGTTCAAATGATTTATGCGACCTATTTGCTATATACTCAAACAACGATGAAACTTACGCACAAATGTTTGAGTCCTGCTTTGAATTGAAGGTTATCCATCAGTTCTTTAATTTTTGCTGTTTATAGCAATATTAAGTATTTCATAGTTTAAAAATTATATCTTCTTCTTAGATCTCCAATGAATTTAAATACATATGTGCCAAATGTGTTGGGACCTTAGAGAAGGCTCTATTTTTCAAGACTCAAAGTATAAAAAATATAAAAGTGTTACAGAGTATTAAAAGTAAGTATTGTTCTTAATATGAAATACTAAGTTATACTATACATATATTTGACATATTAATTCTAAAGTTTAGTCAAATTTGTAATGTGTTGTATGGTGTTATTTTCCATTATTATTGTTTAGTGTATAATTTAATTTTGTGTAATTATATCTTATATGTTATTAACAGAGGAGGAATATCTTGATGAAACTATACTTGATGAAGAAGCAGACATGTCAAGAAACTGTTGCAACTCAGATTTCAAATCTGATGGTAAATTTAAAACTTATAATAAAACTCTGGCCTACTATATAATTAATAAGTAACAGATAATTGTAGGTATGTTACAAAGTTTAGAGGATCATTGATGTTCTGCATCAATTCTACAACCAATATTATCATGATGTTTTAGTATATTTAGTGGATTTGGATATTAATTTATTAAGTATTATTGTTTAGTATAAATTTTCAAGTAATAATTTTCTTCAGGTGACCTTGATGATGTGGAAATAGAAGCTTTAGATGAGACAACTTGCATTTATTGCAATTTGGAATTGTCAACCCCTGAGGAAATCCAACACCATGTAAGACTTGTTCACGGCTTGGAACCTAGAACTGGCAAGCAAGTGCGAGACTGCAATATATGTGGCACATCCTTCAGGGATTTGCAGGATCACATTAATAGGTTAGCTTGTAGCTTAAAATAATCACGTTGATTGATCTTAATCTAAAAATCGAAAAAAAATGTTTGATCTTTCAGATGCTTTAAAATATGTATCGGGCTCCTGAAAATTTAGTTGGGTAGTAGTTCTATATTCACAGTGTACGCAACGGAGAAACTCAAAGTTGAATTTTTATTGCATTGTTTTTATTGGCTAATTTTTTTCTGTTACATTCTTATACATAATTAATTGGAGAAATAGTTATTTTAGGCATCAAATCTGTTTCTGCAAACCTCCCGTCATGTTATCAATTTAACCATTCGAAGCCGTTGGTCCATCCGTTCTTATCGTTAAAAGATTTTATTTTCACGATCATTTAAAAAAAAAACCTTTTAATTTTTCAGCTTTATATATATATCTAAGTATAGATTTATTTTTTAAATATCAAGATATTTATGTAATAGTAATTAATTTTCAGGTGTCACAATGGCATATCTGACAATGAGAAACGACAGTTTGCTTGTTATTTCTGCGATAATGTGTATAGCAGCAAGAAGGCATGCTTTACACACCTGAGGATGAAGCATGGATGTAAGTTTGCTAATGATACCATTTAAACGATATTAAATATGTAATGTCTATTTAAGACGAATGTTGTTGGTCGTGTCTGGAAATTAGTGTTAGGACTAGTTTCAGTGGGTAATTTCTTTAATAATATTAAAATGAGATCTATAACAGATCATATTACCATTTATCCTTGTTCCTCGACTCCTTTCTCATTTAACCTAACGTTCCTAGTGAAACTTTGCAATGATCACTCGCCAAAGTATTCGTCGCGCGATCGCAAGGAATGTCACATTTGTGGCCGAGATTTTAGCCAGAAGCAAATACTGAATAATCATCTCCTGAAGGCACACGGTTTCAAGGTAAAGCGTCACCAATTGATCCTCCTTTCGTAAGAGAAGCCGCCTGGTATAACCCAAAATTATGTCTATACTAGTTATTTCTTTTATTTTTAGTGATCAATCAGAAACCTTGCCCTAAGAATTAGAACAAAAGATTTCTAAGAAAATATATTAATTTAACGTCTATTTGTTCATAACTCTTGAAAATTTATTGAGGTTGAAGGTAATTTTTTTAGGTAGAAAAACGAAAAGCTTTCTCCTGCCCTCTTTGCCCTGAGCGAGTAAGCTACGGCTCTCACTTCAGTACCCATTTACAGCAGAAGCACAATATATCTGAACAGGTGGAACACCTCGAGTTTAGCTCGGTGGATGGTAATACTACACCACATGTAAAACAGTTCATTAAATTTGAATTTTGCAATAAAAAAACAAGACGGTGTACCTACATTATACCAAACGACACACTACAGGTCGAGATAACTCTAATTTAGAAAAGTAAAAAAAAATGTGTAAGTGGGGGTACATTAAAAAAAATATTTTTAATATTATTATAGTCGGTATAGTCTTGTTATTTTTTTAATCAAAGACCTTTGCAATAATTTCTGGCGTTATTGATATTGGATTGAACGTTATACAGAGTGTATTACAGCAAATTCAACCAACCAAAGCCGATCGATGACACAATTATATGCAGTTTAAATTTTGTTTTACTATCTAGTTTATTATAATTTTAAGCAGTGTATAATTAAGGTTTAACAAAGAACTGGATTCCTGTGCGTATTTTCAGACTTTATGCTATACAAAAGCGCTATACAGGAAGAGACTAAATATCGTTTTCGTAAAACTACAGCAAGCAAACAAACTATAGAGGGTGTCCGTTCACACTATATGTGTAGTCAATCTGGAATGTATGTGTATCAGGTTAGGTTTTTAAATGTATTTTATAAATTAAAACTTAACGTAGGCACACTGCTGGGTCACCAATTTAGACATTGTATTCTGTCACATATCACACCTTCTCCTATCCTTAAAGCCGATTGTACCTGTTAACTATTACTCTGTTACTGGCTACCTCTTGCTTTGAGGTGTGTTTCGCAGAGCCCTTATTTCCTTTTGCCCTCTTAATCTATACTAATATATAAAGTTGAAGAGTTCAAGTTTGTTTGTTTTTTTGAACACGCTAATCTCAGAAACTATGATCTAAAAAAAAGTCCGCGACGCTATAGATCTATTTTTAATGATTATCTGTCAAGAACGACGTGAAGGGACGCGACCGACGTAACAGTGGGTAACAGCTTAAGTGGTTTGCAAAAACTAGTTCGGATGACCAAAATAACGATTCTTGCGGACGAAGTCGCTGGCACAGCTAGTAATATATAATTATTGTGAACAAGAAATATATTTTGATTTTTGTCTCGATGATAATGGTAGCAATAGAAAGGTTTATCGATCTTTCGCTTATGGCCTATATGCTAATTTACAGGGTAAGGGTAAGCGGCCGGCTCCAGAGAGACAAATATACAAAACGGGTAAAGCTTGCCCAGCTCACATGATTATTACGGAGACGATGGATAAGGTTCTCGTAACCTTCTACAAGACGCACGTTGGACATGGACGTTAGTAACCGTTTTTCTATTTTGATTACCACCACACGAAGCATATTTTAACTATGGTACTCATTTTTTTTAATTTTAATGTTCTATAATTTCAACAGCGCGCCGTTTATACTGAGTCATCTTAAAACATAGGCTATCTTCTTTCTTCCGAGAAGAATGCTGCCATTTATTCATGAAACCTTCATATAAAAGTGAAAGAAGTTGGTAAACGCGGCGGGGTCGATCCCCATCAGGCAAACTTATTTCTCACCATTTAAGTAGATTTCGTCTGGAACTCTGATTATTTAATATAACAATTATAAAATTTAAAAATTGTTAAATTATAAATATATAAATAAATCTACAGCGCATCTTGTTGAGATGTACTCTTTACAATAAAAAAGGCTAGCCTATAAGAACATATAATACATTTTGAAACGCACTGGAGATTAAATGAGATTGCGCCAGTAGCGGTCGATTAACTCTCATGAATTGTTTCCAGCATGTCCTTACTACGAGCCGCGGGAACCGAAACGCGCCAGAACCAGAAACTCTCCCGCACCTTTCGAGGACAATGACGGCCTTAACGAGAACGAATCACTAATTTGTGACACATGCGGCACCAAAATGGATTCGGCCGAACACTTACACAGACATGTCACCGCTCACGGGCTACAGTTGTACCCCTGTGAATACTGCCACGAGGTGTGGAGATTCAACCATTCACAGAATACAAAAAAACTAAAGAATGATCTATTTGACAATGCGAAAAATATAGCGTCAATTACTGTGTTATCACTATTAAGTATACGTTTAGAAATAGTAAAACAGTCATATATGTTAAAAATAATAATTGATTTAAAATTTTAAACGTTCCTGATTGCTTGGGCTTATGAGGACGTCACTTGCTTATTATGTATCAGAATTCAAAAATACTCATCTGGAGTCCCTTATCATTTACCAACAGATATAAAGTACATTAAAAAAAAATGTCAAATAGTCCATTGTGCTACATTTATCAAGGTATATCGCTAGCATGGCATTAAGTATTCTTCAAAGATCATGCATCTCAATGTTATAGGTGTGTTTGAAACCAACCAAGACCATTTGTTTCCTCAAATGACAAACCCAGGAGCTCTCGTGCTTAACAATTACAAAAGAGCACGTTTAAGTATTAAGCTACAGAGGCGACCTAAATATTGTGCACAGGCTATTTTTATTGATGATAAACGTTTTGTAGAAGTTTATTTCATTGTGTAAACATAAAAAACAAAAATTTCAAAGGCTAACTCGAGCTTTCTATCAGTTAAGCTTATAGATATTATATCTTAATATGTCTGATTTCCTTTATTAAATACTTATTTCAGTTATTCCAAGACTCAGCAGCATGGACCCAGCACGTACAACTGGAGCACAACGTCCAAGTTTTATATTAATCGTTAATGTACAACTCATGTTTCTCGACTTAGATTTCATGTAACTAGATGTTTTAAGGAAAATGTTAATTTTGTTTATTACTATACTAAATTCACTTTAAGTAAATCACTGTTTGATCTGTAATTATTGAAACTTTTCTAAATATAATAAACGTGAATGACGCGTTAATAGAATATTAAAATATAACAACATAAGTTAAGGAAAGTTTTATATTGATCCCATTGAAAGGCTAACTAGAATAATAGCTATCTGCTGTTCTAGCGAGCTGTGGTGCATATAACTTCAATATAACTAGAACTTATATTGATTATAATTTACTTTATTAAATTAACAGTAATTTTTTAAAAATTAATGTCTACTTCTAATTTTTTTGCACTTTAACACTAAAATATAAGTGAAAATTTGTGAAACGAAAATAATGTAATATAGCTCAGAAAGTCGAGTAAAAAATAAGAAGTATCAATTTAAGTACAGGCATACAATTTTTGCGAACATTCATTTATGCCTGACTTTGACTAAGCAAGAAATATAAAAAATAATTATTAATATTCTAAGGAGCTGATAATATCAAATTGGCTCCAAACTAAAAAGATTCCCGAATATCAAAAGGCAAAATAGGTCCAGCTCTTCAAGCTCCCAAAAAAAAAAAACTTATCAAGTAAACTCTATGCTTGACTTCTCATCGATCTTAAAAAAAATTCCTTCCGTTTCACTTATCCCCTCTTAACGACACAAACCGCTTTTGCTACCTAAAATTCTCACTTTTGACTAAACCGCGAGGCAAAACAAGAGCGATTAAAAAGCGTCCACCTTGAGTTTAAACGCAACGTATGGCCTGTTAAAATCTCGTCCTCAAGCAGCACGGCTGCACTCTGGTAGCGCTCCCCGTGATGTGTAGATTCAATTTTTACTTCATCACTGTATATATCACAAATTTTTGCTCTTCTTTTATTTAGCTCAGAACATTAAAATATTTCATATTGGGGTATTATTTTGCTAACAACTATATCCCAAAAGTTTTTAGTTTCAAACTTTTTAAACTCTCAAAACAGCTTTTGTGTGTAAAGTGTATGGCTTTTTCCTGTATTAAAAATACAACTAATACTAATGGTATTTTGTAAATATTTTTTATCTAAAGAAAAACATGTTTTGTGTATTTAAATAAGACACTTTAACGGTTTAAAACGCGATATATTAGTTAAACTTATTTGAAAATTATTTTTAACTTCGGCCCGACGTTTCGGATGCCTTGCAGCAGCCGTGGTCACGGGGAGACTGTCTATAGACAGTATGTTTTGTGTAAATAATCAGGAAAATTATGGCAGCGGTAAGTAGGTAGGAAAAAAGAAGTCAGAATCTTTACGAACATGACAGCACTTTATTATGCTTTGCAAACTCAATTAATTATTTAATTGTTCTAATTATTTTTCAAGATTTTTATGTCAAAAAGAAATGTTTGTGGGCAGAGAAACACTCAAAGTAAAGGCGTAACATTTTTGTGTAATGAACTTATTAGTGGTCGATGTGTGAACACCAACAAAGCTATAGACCTGACAATAGACTATATTGCTTAAGATTACGGTCTCTGTAGTCTGTGCCTTACACATAAATTGACTCGTGTTCCTTGTTATATCTGTGGTGTCAATTTAATTATGTGCTACTACTATGTACTTTGATTGCGCATGAATTCAAACAAATTCTTCACAAAAATATAGTGTTATCCAAGTCTCCCTAATTTCTCAACTATAATTTTATGTTTATACTTTTTATTGTCACCGCGTCTGATTTTATTCCATGGAGTCGGATCATCAACCCAAATTGAATCCAATTCGAGCGTTCCAAGGTTTGTATGAACACCTGTTAAACATCAAAAACATTTGTCTATGAGGTTTTCATTTTTGTGTTCGATTATTATATGTGTAGTTACACATGGAAGTAACTTGGAGCATGAAGATGATGACACAAACCTTACCAGTTTGTCAGAATTTCATGATTACGAACCCAGCTTAGAATTTGACGATTCGGAACTAATTCAAGCCACTGGCCTTGGTAAGAAAATTTTATTTCTTTTACCTAAGGTAGCCTGCGTTGCTCAATTTACAATTATTGCATTATGTTCGCGAGAGGTTTCGGTGTCAATTCCTGGAAAAACATAAATAGGTTTGGTCAATCAGAGCATTATAGTCATAGAATTACTTGCCCCCAAATAACAGCTATCAGTGAAATATATATATATCCATTTACCCAATGATCCATGCAAAAATAACATGAATTTTATTTTAATACTACTAAACCTGCTATTTATAATTATATCAATTTGGTGTAGGATCCGTTATCTCCATTATCCGTTAACTGCAAACAATAAGATGTATGTAACTGTTCTGAAAATAATTGCTTTATTTGTTTTGTGTTATGTTCTTACTTCTACCATATTTATGTGTTTTTTATTTGTAATGTTTGCTTTAATTGTAAATGTGCTTCTTGCAAGCTATATTTATTTTAATCACATCAATCCAGAGTATCAATCCAACTTTAAATGTAATATTGAACTTACATACTTACCTAGATAGATATAAATAAAAAGTATAACAGTTGATTTTGTAAAAAAGGAGGATGGTTTGAGGGAATACAATCAGATCTGATAACATAAAAATTTCTGCTGTTTATTGAAACAGACCGACAGACAGTTGTTTCGCTGTTTGTTCTTAAACTTATGTTTTTAATAGAAAGCAATGTGTATGCAAGTAAACAAAAATAAGAAGTCATGGTCTTGAACTCTTTGACTCGCACTAAGAAAATTGATTAATTATGACATGTTCAAGCTATCCAAATTCTTCCAAATCCTTTAAATTCAAACAACACAGAAAAAAATACTATTTTATTAAAAACGTTATTACATGAAGACAGCAAAGAAACTAATCTAAAACCTAATCTACATACTATTTATTTTCTCATTGAATTAAACAATTAAGTAAACTGATGTGAACTTAAAGTTCAGCCATTTTAAAGTTGGATTCATTACATCTGTACTACATACTATCTTAAGTATTATTTAATTATAGTTTTGCTTGCATTGAGTATACCACACCATATAAGTTAAATTTTTCTAAATGCTTAATCTTATTTTTAATCTTATAATGTATGTATGACATATTGTGACTTAAATTACTTATTTGTTAAAAAACAATGGAAAGAGGTTTATGGAGTTTGAGGATACATTACTTTTCTAAACATCTCATTGTTTTGGCTATCGACATTGTGTGAGGCTAAGCGTCAATGAGATAAAAAAGTTTGTAGCAATGAGATTGCGTTGCACATTTAGATAACAACAATCCTATCGATTTTTGCCATGGCGTAGTGAATTCCATGCCCTTTATTTTTGTTGTTGAGATAAAACGATGTGAAGTGATTTTGAAAAACTATTTATTAAACTACTGAGTTGAAAGTGTAATGTTATGTTGTAAGGATGAGAACTACTGTTCTTGTCCTTACAACATAACAAGCGAAATTGTTAACTTTGTAAGTTAAGCTTTGTTCGCTTGAAGTATTTTAGACTATGTATCATTAATTTTAGCGCCGCTACCTCCGGAATTGCTAGATTTATCGGAGGAGTTTTTGCCGCGGTCTAGTAGTGATGGAACGATAGAAGAAAATTTTGAAAGGGAACTCGCAACTGTGCCACAACCTTATTCAGAGGTAAGTGCAATTCCGCCGGCCATCGATCCATTAATATAAGAAAAATTTAGAGCGATATATTTATAACCCTTCATCGTATTCGTGTAAACTATAACCTTATACAGCGCCAATCATAATAAATTTACGCGGAATCAAAGTATCTGTTACGTAGTGCAACACGATCGATATTGAAATCTAGGTCTCCCGGGGTGGTAAAACAGATTGAGGTCATTTTAAACTTGGCATTTAGTACGTGCACATAGGCCAGTTTTGGTTCAAAGGACATCTTTTAAACTCTATGTAATGTACGTGCATGTAGAAGGTGTTTTATATTGTGCGTTTTAAGTAACTTACCGTGTCCATTAAAAGTACTATTTTTTTTATTTTTAGGAATAAGTTGTTTTATGGTTACGTATGTGTTATGTTTACTTTATTCTTAGGCATGTTATGTTATTAAAAACCGAATTAATAATGTATTACTGTTTAAACGTTAAGTAGTTTTTCCTAAAAAAGTTTGACACAAAGTACTAAACTAAGTTTTGTCTTTCTTAAACGTTCATAGCATTGTTCGTAATAAAGTATGTACTACCCAACGCTCTAGTTTTCTTTACTTTAGGTTTGAAGCGTTAAACGTATTTAATATTTGTAGTTTCTCTTTTTGAATGTTTGTAAATTAATTATGTGCTTTTTGATATTATATGCTAGGAAGAAAACATTGTAGATTGTAGTGATTGGCATGCATAGTTATGCATATATAGAACTTATGCGTTTTTTTTTGTAGATAACATCCAATTTAGATTTTGACATATTCTCTGGATTAAATAGAAGTGGATTGGTTGAAGTTGTCGGTGACGATGAGATCGGCCGAAGAATTATACTTGTGTCGGCCTGTCATCTACCCCCTTCTAAGGATGTTCACCCTGATCTATTGTTGAGGTAAAGTCTACCATATAATGAAGATTATTACTTTATTTTTACCTACACTCCAAATTCATGATACATGTTATATTTTAATAGGTACCTGATGTTCACATTGGATAAATATGTCGAACAAGATTATAGCGTCATATACTTTCACTACGGTTTGACTAGTCGTAATAAACCGCCGTTATCCTGGCTGTGGAAAGCTTCTAAAGCGTTCGATAGAAAATACAAGAAGAATCTAAAAGCTTTATACTTAGTGCATCCGACAAACATAATTCGTATCGTATGGCAAATGTTAAGACCAGCGATCAGTGTGAAGTTTGGTCGGAAAATGATGTACGTTAACTATCTACACGAGCTGCAGCAATATATAGATTTGGAAAAAGTTCACATTCCGGAGCAAGTCGTTGAGTAAGTTTATGCATGTTTTGCCGGATTCTCACTGGTTACAAGTATTGAAGTTTATACTAAAATAAAAGTGTTTACGCGGTGTGTGAATCTAGTGTTTTAAAAGCAATTGAGTATTTTAAGTTTAAATGATAATGAGAAGCTTTTAATACATTTTGCTCTCGTGTGCAGCCTTCATTTAGCTAGTGGAGGCTCTGCTTTATCGCCACGAAATCGCATGCGTAGCCAGCTATTCAAATGTCCCGCGGGTAGTTTCATTTGTCTGACTGACGCGTGTCAGACTTTAAAATCTTGTATTGTTATTTATTTAATTTTGGTTGTACCCCAGGTACGATAAACTCCTTTTATCTAAGAACCCGAGAGCAGCTGAAGTAGCGCAACAAATCATGGATCGCGATAAAACAAAGCAACAACACGGGAAGCCGCCGCCCTCCGATACACAGCCTCCGCCGCCCACGCAACAATTTGGTGTATCTCTGCAATTTATTAAAGAAAATAACTCGGAAATGATAGATTCAATCCCACCTATAGTACGGCAGTGCGTTGAATTTTTATCGCAACCAGATGGTGAGATAAAGTTTTGCTAACCGTTTAACATTTAATTTTGACTTTGATTTGTAATTTAGAATTTTATTTGAACCCTGTTATAATATGTATTTAATAAAGCAATACGTATTGGGTCCTGCAGCATTGGAAACTGAAGGAATATTCCGAAGATCGGCGAACTCTGTTAGTGTGAAGGAAATTCAGCGCGCGTGTAACAGAGGCGAATCAATATCATTCCGAAACGACCCGCATATTGCTGCTGTTCTTTTAAAGACGTTCCTGCGCGATCTAGAAGAACCATTGATGACTTTTGATCTTTATGAAGAAATAAGCAAATTCCAAAGTGAGTATTAGGATAATTTCTACTTAATTGCCTCCCTACATATTTGCTATGCTCAGCAATATTTACTTTATTTACACTTTTTTTTAATTTTATGCTGCTAAATTTCATTGTATACTTGTCGCTGTCTTGTATCTTCACTTCATAGAGAATAAAATTGTAAATTACACTGTTTAATTGTCTTTTACAGCATGGTCGATACCACAGCGGTCGAGGAAAGTAAAAATTCTTGTATTAGAAAAACTGCCGTTAGACAACTACAAACTATTGAAGTTTATCATACAGTTTCTATGGAAGGTATGCGAACTAAAACATCTCTTAAAATCTCATGTGTGTTTTGAAATCTAGTCTTTTCAACTTAACTATTTCTTTAGCAATACTAACATTTTTGAAAAAACTCCAGATAATTCCTAGTTGCTTCCTAGCTTCGAATGCTCATTAAACGCGACACAGAATGCTTTTATCGCCAACACGCTTGTGAAAAGAAACCTGACGCAGGTAGCTTAGACGGATTACACTATTTATATTAATTTCACATTTTTATCAGGTGCAAGATCGAAGCTGCCTCAACAAAATGACCAGCAGCAATTTAGCAGTTGTCTTCGGTCCGAACTTATGTTGGCCCCCGCACGGACAAATATGTCTTCAATCTATTGCACCAGTAAACGCGTTTACGGATTTTCTTCTCGAAAACCAAGAGTCAATATTCATAATTTAAAATTGTGCTATAACGGAACCAAAAAAAATATGAGGAATACTGTCTATAGTTCACGAGAGTAGTACGCATTACGTTACATAAAACGTAATACGTTATACATAAACATAGTACGTTAAATAAAACACTAAACAACTTATTAAAGGCGCTCATAAATGCTAAATGTATTGATGAAGCGGTATGGTGTAACAAAGGTATTCACTACAGATATGTCTATTGGGCAATGCTTGCTGACTCGGTTGAAGGAGGAGGATGGTATTGTAGGTCATGTCAGAAGCCAGAAGAGCAACTCATCAGTTGCCAAGCCCATCGTAAGCACGGCGAACGACCCCAGAATCAGACTCAACCACTATGCCGAAAACGTCCCAGACATCCCAGCCTAAACGAGATTAGGTTGTCCCTGAAATATTTTAGGAATAACAAGGCACCGGGTGAGATCATATCGGAGCTTCTGAGAGCAGGCGGTACACCGGTTCTCAAATTGCTGAGGATGTTTAACTCCATCTTGCTTCTAATCAATGTCTACAAGGTATTTTCAAGGGCTATCAGGAATGTTTAACGTAGGTTAGATGTATTCAAGCTACCCGAACAAGCCGGTTTTCGAAAAGGTTACAGCACCATAGAACAAATACACAAGTTGCGGCGGGTAGTACATAAAACCGAAATGTTTCGGGAAATTAGAGTCTTCGTCCAGTATACCTTAGTGCCTAGAAATAAAAGTGTTTCAGCAGGGTGTTCTACTGGTGATGACGTACGGTATCGAAACATTGTCTCCTACCACGAGCATGGTGCAAGACTACGCATTGCTCAGTGTGCTATAGGCTATGCTCAGAGTTACCCTGAGTGATCAAATCAGGAATAAGGAGATCCGTAGGAGAACTAAACTCGCCGACATAGCCCATCCAATTAGCAAGTTTAAGTGGCAGTGTGCTGGACACATCGTGGAACTTATGGCCGTAAGGGCAAAAAAGTTCCGGAGTGGAGACCACGTACCAAACATCTAAAACCCGAACGACCTCCTATCAGGGGGACTGACAGTCCGGTCAAGATAGTCTACTGGAAGTCATTGGGGAGGCCTATGTCCAGCAGTGGACACCAAACGGCTAAAACCAAAGACGAACAAAATAATGGATTATATATATGTATGTATACATGCATTTTTTCAAGTTCCCTTTTGTATATAAAATATGCGTCTTAGATACTATAAATATATAAATGTTGGGTGTAGACTTCCATAAGTAGAGTAAATGGCAGTACAACATAAAACTGAAAAAAATGAGCCCAATATTTAAATTAAATTGTTTCTTAACGTCTCGTGTTCGGTTCTGGGTTATTAGAAATTTAAAGCATCTTGAGTGTACATAATTCAAAAAATGCTTAAATGTAGTGTATATTGTAATTAAATACCTTCACAATTATTCCACTTTAAGAGGAACTCCAAATATTTGTAATCGCCTTTAATAACTAATCACCCGTTATGTACCTGGTTAGTTCCCAGAATATTATTTAAAATAATTATGCCTCTATATTCTGTCGATTGGTTTTTGCACTTGTGTTTTCTATCAATAGCTTTAAATTAGTTAGTTATGCCCTAATTTAAAACTTTATTAAAAAAAGAAGACTCGCACAATTCCTCAACGTTTTTAAATTATTTTTAGGAATTTTTAAAACACATTTTACAACCAAAAAGTCATTAATTGTACCAAAAAAACTTAGTAAACAAATTTCTTCCACTTAGTAAAGTAGTTATAAGAAAAGATGCTTTTTTTTTTTTTTTTTTTTTTTTTTTTTACTTGGAGGAATCGACTCTTTACCGACGCCCCCGCCTGGCCACTTAAGTGGCGGGGGGAGTGTGGGGGTCGGCCAGCTTGACCACTACCCACTAAACCTCCAAGAGCCCACGGGAGACTTGCCGGACGCGAGCGAGCGGTTAGTTGCCCTTGACCCGCATGCCCGCGCCCGTGTGCCTGCCGCGCGTGTTTCCCGCGCGGCTCGCCCTACGTGGCCGGTTGATGGCCACGTCTCCTGGCTCGGTCCTAAGACCGAGGTCACGGCTGGCGCCGGGCGTAATCGCGCCGGCGCCGCCCAAGTCTCCTCCGTCGGAGTGCGGGGGCGTCGGGAGCAATCTCCCTCGCCCTCTCCGCTTCCTCCTTTCGCGAGAGACGTCGGCGAGAAGGCCTTAAAGGCCTGCCACGGAGCGTCGTCCGCGCTCCTAACTATCCCTGCCACGGCAGGGATAGATCCGCGCCGAATGCTCCGGCCAGGGCAGTCCTCTGACTTGCCCAGGCCGGGCAGCCTCCAAGGTTGGCGCGGTCTGAGGCGCATCCGCAGTGAGGAGGAGTCTGTTTCCTCCCGCCGGATCCTGTGCAGGTATTTGCCGAAGCACCCGTGCCCCGACAAAATCTGCACCGCGTGAAAGGACAAGGATCCCCACCGCTTCGTCCTCAGCCATTCGGGCAGGACGGGCGCATCGCTTGAAGGTATGCGCGCCTACCGAGAGGTGGCAGATGCCTTGCCACCGCGCAACGACAACCCTTTGGCCGTCCTCCCTCCAACTGAGGAGTGAGTGAGCTCTGCAGAAAGACTTGTCTCTATACTAGCCAACATCTTAATAAAACGCCACTTTGAGAAAAATCTGAATTTTGTAAATATTTAATATTTGTTATTTTTACTGCTTTTTTATGTCAATATACAATTGTCTAAGACTCTTACTGTCTATTTACGAATTTTATTCTATATTATTTCTGATAGGTAAATTTAATTATATATGTCTTGATCTCTTTTTTTGCACAGAACCGTTTTCTTATTCCATAAGAAGTGATACAGAGACCGACTTACTTAAATGTATCTTGCTTATAAAATATTAAGAAACGCCGTTGTAAACCATATGTCGCACAAATGTAATTTGGGTACCATACAATAGGGGAACAATGACGACGATATAACATCGTATGATATAAGTAAGCGGTATATTAAGTATTTTCTGTAGTTTACGCAATTAGAACATTTAAATAAAATATTTTCAACAGTTAAAACGATATTTAGCTCTGTGGCTGCTACTAACGCACTCGAAACGAACAGTAGAAAAAAATACGTAGCTAATATATATGGTGATTTAACTATTAGAACGGTTTTATTTAAAGGTAATAAGAGGCTGCTAGAGGCAGAGTGGCTTGTAAGAAAAAATATGATTTTAATAAGGAGGAAAATAAAAATGCGCAATTATTTTAGGCGACTATGTATTTGTACTTTGTGTAAGAATTAAGTTAACAATTCTCGGTCACTGTGCTCTTGTAGATTAACATTTTTATATTAAGCAAATGAAAAATAACTCAAATCACAAAATTGCAGGTACGCTACTCTGCCTCCAGCGGCCTCTTATATTTATTACTTAGTGCAACAACGTCATACTAAAATGCTTTTAAACTTGAACCCATCAACGTAGCCGTCTGTTATTCCGTCTCTCTGTGAATATTATTAGTACATATATAAATCAGGTTTATCATCAATGTTGACAAACCTAACGTACTATGATTTTTTTACACGAAATTTAAACTTTTTAGACTTCAATTACAGATAATGTTGCTGTGTAAAACCTCGAATCTCATCATTATTGCATTCCGAGCATTTTTGATAAGTTTTTTTACGTAATGTATGCGTTTTATGCGAATTATTTTTATTTCTATCTCTAACATTTAAAACATTAATCTAGCATTATATCATTAGTAGGTGGTAATAAAACCGGTAATTTTTGTCATATTGGTAGAAATAAGGCTGATACTACACATTTTGTTTGATTCAACAAAAGTTGTGAATAAAGCAACAGTCATAATCACGTACAAAAGTTCTAGAATAATTTAGTTTCTTATTGTCAATGTTAAGATGTTTACCTTTTGTTAATAACTATTTAATAAGTGTTTTCATATTGTAAATACTATTAGAATTTAATTGTTACCTATAATAATGTTTCAATCGAAATAATGTTATAGTAAGTGTAGAAAAGATGTTGTTTACTCTCGTCTATGACAGACATTAAAATCAATTGAAGAAAATGCAGTCTAAAAACTAGCCTAGTATTTAATCTTTTTTTAATCCTACCGTTAATTTCTAACTGGCATTTTTATCTATTGTTCATTAGTACCTTTGTCTGTTTATTATAAAACCAATACATTGTTTCTAATTAAGTTAAAAAATACAAAAGTTTTCTTTAAATAAAATAAAACGATGTTTTATTTTATTTAAAGAAAATGTATGATGTGCATGTTTTGTGTAACATCTATCAAATACTAGATTCATTCATAATTCTCTTGATTTTGCCCTTACAATTAGGCTAATATTAATCAATTCTGAGGTATATAAACGGTATTTTTTTTGTTATAATTTACTGTTTTAATTAAGGAATTTAAAACCAAACAAAATTAAAAGTATGTACCTGTTTATGTTAAAGCCATTTGATAAGATCTTTGTACCTAAATAATACATTCGTAATTAAGGTATCACAGTGTTTTATTTCTTACATATACCTAAAGTATTTGCAATAATATAAGAGTAACGTCTTTAATATTTCATAGATAAGCTTAAGTACTTCTGCAAGTGAAACGTTTGTGTTTTAAGATTTATAGACCAAACGTTATAACAGAAAAAAGTAACTCCTAAGTAAAGTAGTAAGTAGGCCTAACGCTAGCCAGGCTGTTCTGGTTCTCTAATAATACAAGAGCTAATTAGTGTCGTCACAATAGTTTTAAATTCGATCACCATTTAGTAGGTACCCGTTTATTAGAATACTGTTTAGCACTGGCATCTCGCTAGCATCTACACTGGCTTGTGAATTACCAGAATGTAGTGGTATGAAAAACCTCAGGAATCTCGGCTGTAGACTAATACGCGCGAAATTTATAGTCTATCTGCTATCCTTTCCAGCGATTTGAATAACGGCTTAAAATTTACAACGAATCAAAACGTTGTGCTTAAGAAATATAACTGCTTAATGCTTTATTAGCTTTTTCGTTATACAATTAATTTTACTTAAAAGGTCTTATTAAAAACCAAGACCTTTAAATAAAAATGTAGAGAATCATATTATATGCATTATATTGATTTATTTACAGAGCCAAAATATTGGCATTTAATTTAAGGATTCAAATACATTATTTTTCAATTTTAGACTTTAAAATGTTGTGAAAAATCATTAGATTACTACTAAATTGGCACTAGATGGCCATAGATTGGCCATACAAACATTTGTTGTGTTATATGCTTATAAACGTTAAAGTGCTTATCTGCTTATTAAAAAGTTCTGCTTAGTTATTTGCTTTTCGTTTGAACGCTCACTGTTAAATTCCTGTCAGGACTGTAAAATATGATTGGCTGAAGCATCCGCCAATAGTAGCGACGCTTTTCTCATCTCCTTCATGTTGCACAAACTAGATTTCCTTTTTTTAGCAGCTATTGATTGCCCTAGCCAGGGGCTACCTAACAACTATTATACATGTGCTAAGTACTTACTTATTGATCCGTGGACTACGCTTGTGCTACGAGCTCTAAGAGGTATTATGCGTATTGATTACATGTTGATTTGTTGTTTGCGCTTCGTGGCTGTCTGGTCTGGTTGGCTTTAAAAAAGGTAAATATTACTTAAATTATATTCTGCCTTGTCTAATAATAACGGCATATAAGAGATTTCTATAAAATTTCTTAATTTTAAGTAGATATGACGATATTAATATTTTTTTTATTTAATTTCGGGCCGGCTAGTATTTAAGAAAGCAGACATTGAGTCCCGTCTGCGTAAATTATTTTTTAAATTCGTTTCCATGTGTCTAACTTGTACAATACATAATATCTTAAATATAAATTTCTATTACTGTTTAGATGAGATCTGTCACACTGAAGGATGTTGACCAACACAAAGTCACTAGAACCCTTGCTAATCATTTAAAAAAGTAAGTATGCATTAAGTTATTTTGAAATGTTATCATCAAAGAAAATTTAATGTATTTACTATTTATTTAAAGCTGCATTGTGTTCCCACAAAAAAAAGTGGTAATTTTTTTAAATTTACCTCGCATTCCAGTTAAGACATTGTTCCCAGTTACATTACTATTTTAGTAATAGCGACCATTAAAACCCGCTTATCCATGCTGGAGCGCTTTGGTGGGTCTAACGTTCTAAACTCTTTCTTCTACATACTAGGTAGCTTTGCGAGGTCATTTACCCGCGGTACAATAAATACCTAAGTAAAAACGATACAAAATTAAATTATTTTTTAGAATCGGCAAAGTAAAATTGCCAGAGCACATGGACCTTGTAAAAACTGGTCGTTTTAAAGAGCTAGCCCCGTATGATCCAGACTGGTTCTTTGTGCGGTGTGCTGCTATTCTTCGTCACGTTTATATGAGATCGCCGATCGGAGTGAAAACTGTTACTAAAATCTTTGGCGGTCGTAAACGTAATGGTGTAACACCCTCACATTTCTGCAGGTAATCTAAGTCATATTTCTTTTAAAATTATTTTAAGATAATAAGACATAAATACACAGTTCAGTAGCTTTTGCAGCATCTGAAACGTCGGGCCGTAGTTATAAGTTAACTAATATATTTGGTATCTTAAACCATTCAATGTGTACAATTCGCCTAAATTACAGACCATACGTAATCTTTAACCATTAAAACAATATTGTATAGTTAGTCACATTTTTACTTTCATCGAAATTGTTTTAGATCATCTGGAAGCATCGCACGTAAGGCTCTGCAGGCTCTCGAAACTCTTAAGCTCGTAGAGAAGGTTCCAGATGGCGGTCGTGTCCTCACTGTTCAGGGGAGACGTGATATTGATAGAATCGCTGCGCAGATCCGTCTGAAAGCCAAGCAACAGGCTAAACAACAAGTTTTAGTGCTCTAAACTTGTATGACGCAACACAAACCATACTACAATTATATACCTTAGCTTGTAGTAAATGCACTAAGCATTTGTAGGCATTTCTTATTCTTGTAATGTCAACTTTGTATATTTATCAATAAATTAAATGAATCTAAAGACTACTTTAAATTCGCCTCTCACGGAATCTAATATACGTCAAAAATGTAATACCATAGGGACACGATATCAACCCGTAAGAAAAATTTCAACTAGGCTTATTGATTATAATGATAATTAATATTTCAACGCATCGATATAAAATGAATAGACGGGAATGGAAAAGGTTTTCAAAATCAGCATTCTTACGACCATACACATTAATAAGCCTAAAGATTTAAAAATTACAAAAAAATCTTCGTCACAAAGTACGTTAATCAAGAAATAGAAGCTTCTATACATTCGGTATATACAAAGCCGATTGATTTTTATTTCATATTCGTTTGCGGCCAACTTCGTCGATTATAAACCGATCTTGATGATTCTTTTTCCGCCGGAAAGCAGATATTTTCAAGGTGATCCCATAAAATTAAGGTATGATAATCAAAGATCGAATAGACCAAGAACTTTAAAAAATTGTAGTGAGTTCAGAAGTATTTAGTTTTTTAATTTAAAGAATTACTTCTCAACGATTTATAGCAGCTACTTTAAATTGTTTGTATTGTTAAGAATTTTTACACCTAGATTGATTGAGATTCTCAAAAACTATAGGTGTAATCTCATTCTAGAAATCAGGTTTAATAATGAAGATGATTTAAGAGAACTTCTCAAACGACTGTAGCCAAACTAGCGTTTAAACTTAATTTACTTTTATTGACGAGAAATGTCTATTAAAATTTAATAAACATATTCTACCAGTGACTTGAAATTATAAAATAAATAATTTTTAACAAAAGTAACCGACTTCGAACATCTTCCAACTTACTTCTTACAACTTCATAGTAATATGTATTTTGATTTAATTAAATAGAAATGATTGAAAAAATATTTTGTATTTATGCTGTTTTAAAATTTGCGTTAGGAGTTGAATGATGATGACTAAGACCTATGATTTACTAATAATGCATGATAATTACATAAAATAGTATTAATAGTAACATTCCACATTATTGTAATAATAATGTTGAATCTTGGTGGACACAAACAGTTTTAAAACAATTTCGGGATGATTGGTGTCAAATCTCAATAGGAAAATTGACATTTGAGTATTTAATGTATGATCCATACCATTAGGCATAATCACAAACTACTATAAATTATATGAAAGCCTTTTTATTTTTAAATATGTTTCTTTCCTTACAGATGAAATGATATGATGCTACAACCAACAATTTACCATTTTAATATAACCTTTAGGTCTCATACCTTATTTATTCTTTAACAAGTAAGTTAAGCCTTACTAACTCAACAAAAAATATCATAGTGATAACACACAACTGAGCATGATATCGACAAAATATTATCATACACTACACATACATTAATTATACTGTGACTGCAGTGAAGCAATTTTTAGGAGATCGTATAATAAAGTTTCTCTCTAAGACTTTGAAACAAAGGGAAAATAATCTTAAATGATAGGTTTACTAATTAGGTCTGATACAACATCGTTTCAAGCTACATGAAAAGTTTGGAACAATATTAATGTGACTGATAACATTTTAATTTCCACTTTAGAGGCTACATTTGGTTATAGCCAGACAAGAGAGTTGTTTGCACCCTAATAGGTCTGGTAAAAATTATTACACAATAAGTAACCTTTAGCAATCTCTAGATTCTGTTAACTAGAAACAATATGCTTGAAGAAATTATGATGCTGGCTTATAAGCCAACTTATTAATATTATAATAACAAGAATCAAACAAGTGTGCTTTAAAAGCTGCCTCCTTCAACAAGTAGTTGATATCGCCTGCGCCCTCAGTTTTCTTACAGAGACTGCTATTTGATGTAAATATTGCAGTATACTGCAACGGGAGTCAGCTTAAAGATGGACATTAATTACAGAGCGTTTGTTATGTGTATCAGATGAATATAGGTTTGTATAATAAGTAATTAAAATGTGTTAATTTTGTTTGTATACCCAACATGATGTTTATATTTGAAGAGTTCTGTAAATTTATATGAGACTAAAAACTTATAAAGAAGTACCCATTTTCGTTTGTAAGACATATTTCATTTTAATCTACGGTATGAACTAAAAACAAAAGGTATTTGATATTTCCCGCATTAATTTACGGAGATAGTTCAGATAGTTGTTGCCAGATATGTGTAGGAAAAAAAATATTATAGTACGTAATTTTAAAATAAATAATTTCAAAACGTAGATGCATTTGTTTAAAATCCCATGAAAAATTACTATACAATTTATTTAAACCTTTCAATATTCTATAAATGTTTATTTTTCACGGTTCCTTATTAATATATTTTTTTAATAATATTCTCACAGTTTGAAAAATTTGCACGAATTAAATGCTAATGTTTTAAACACAGTGTAATAAACAACTAAAATCTAAAAAAATCTGATATTAAATTAGACGTAGGTCCGAACCTAATTTAAGTTTTTTAATTACATCTGTGTACACACGATATACTGTAAGTCTATATACACCTATAATCATTTATATTTAATGTCTATGATATAAATAAATCCACAACTATACTCTGTTACTTTCTAATTCATCTTTTATCTATACCATTAATTTAATAGCAACACTTGTAAATATTTTAATGGCGTTTACAGAGCCAACTAGTGGTCAGTTTCCGAAACTTCTTATTGATATCTTTCATTGAAAGTTCATGTTAAATTTCTATATTTTCTGTTTTTATGGAATGCATTATTTTTATTCCAATGTGTCAGTGAATTCATTGTGATAAAACATAATAAATCAAAAATTTAGTTCTCAATGTCCACAATACAAGGAAAGTTTTTGGAACCTGTGACATTCAATGAACTCGATGTGCGTTTTGGCCATTTTAGTTGGCTTGTCCCAGTGATTCGTATGTAGTCACGTGATCAAAGTGGATTTTTTCAATGGCGCCAAATTACTTTTACAAAAAATGTACGTATTTTCTAGAAACATATGTTTTTTTACCTAGAAAGCAAAAGTACATTAAATCGACCTGTAAAAATGCATATATCTACATATCGTTCATATATATGTACGTAATATATACTATGCAGCAGTATACCGAAATGATGCGTAGGATAAACGTCAATCTGGCAACAATACAGTGCTGCTATCTATGTTGTCAATTTTGTTATGTAGTTTCAATGGAGAATATCTTTGTGATAAATATTTACTGTTATAGTACGACAACGTTAAGTTACTGCAACATAATTGTTGTTTAAGTAAGTTTCTTTCGTTAATATGCCTATCTGGTGTACTAAAATTGGTAAACAAATGGTTAATTTGTGTGTGATAAAATTCTTGCGAGCGATACACAGGCCCGCCATACATTTCTCGTGCAATAGTGAAACGTCAAACCAGATTATTATTCACTTCCCTCTTGTGCTAAACTCTTATTTTTCCTAAGAGCTGTTCAATTGTAACAGGTGATTGTAATATTTTTTCCGCCGAAACTATAAATTGAATTGACTTCACATGACATTTTGTTTCTTATGTCAAAAATATTTTCGTTTAGAATTGGTTTATATTTCCAGCTCTAACAAGTATTTTGTGCCTTATTATTATGTAAATACACATGAAAACCTATATTAAAACCTTTTTTATCTTATAAGCAAATACATTGTTTATATTGACACTCATGTAGTTACTATAAACTCAAGCTATAATAATACACTCTGTTTAGTTTGAGGTCATAATATTATTATTAAATCTTTTCAGGCTGTACCTGCTGCTGTCTTGTGGCAAATTGAAGTATCACTATGTAGCGAGTTATGCAACATTCTACACAATGTTATTACCACGTTCAAAATGTAAACCAGTGTGGGGGTCGTGAACATGTAGGTTGTGCACAAACTTTTAAAGATGTCGTTGCGAGGCACAAAGCGGGCTTGTGGGGTCCGCGGAGACGAGGCAGGCACATCAAAGCGCCGTAGAGCATCTGAGGATGCACTTTGGCAGCTTCGCCCAGTTAGTGACCTCAAGATGTCATCCATTTATAATAGAAATGCCTCTGAGGCACCTGCCGAACTATTCAGGTTTGTGTTTTGATTTATTTAGAAAAGTGTGACTATTGCTGGTGTCAAAATATCTCTTAGTGACATAAAACAGCTATAGATTATTTAAGCATTAGTGGTCTATGCAATTGTTTATTTGTATATAATTTAATAATAATATTTTCACTGAATAATTGATCATTAAGTATATTTTGTAATTGAAATTATGTAATTATTAAGATGCTTTTGCGATTTTGTATCTATGAAAATGTTAAACTTCATAATATCATCATAAACAGTAAACAAGTTTTAGAATTTTCATAGCCTTTTATAAGCGAGTTATTTATATCTGTAATTTTTATTCTATATGTCATTTATATAAACAAATTGTATATCTATGATATTGTGCTGGTGTGCTAAGGTATTTGTCAAAAATAAAACTAACTATTGTTCTGAGTTTTTTATTAAACTTAAGGAAAATTTGTCAATTACAATGTAACATTAAGTTTAAATGCTGTTGTATGATATTTAATGTAATAGTAAAAATCGATAATTCAAAGTGAGATAATAGATGTTTGTTGTTCATACATATAATATTTTTTTGTAAATATTGTTCTATGAATGATTATATTTTTTTTACGATTATTTGTTTGTAAACAATTTCATGCAAATTAAAATATATATATTTTTTCAACTATTAGCACTGTAAAAAAATGTTTCTGGCCCAGATTTACTATATTATTTGTAATAATATGAATCGTATCAGCTAAGCGTGCAGTTTATATTTCTAGATTAAGTTTTAAAAAGCAGTTTTCCTTTTTTTGTTAACTTTATAAATCTTAAGTATTTTTTTAGTTTTTTGTGTACTATAGCAGCAAAGTATAAAATTTATTTGTTAAGTGCCTGGTGTGTATAGTTGAGGTAATATAATATTCCTAATGCAATTTAGTATAATCATAACAGCATCTCAATGCATATTCCAGGAAAGATTTCATATCAATGATGAAATTAGCCGATTCAGAGCCATTAACACCAAGTGACTATTGGGTCATCACAGACACATGGAAACAAGACTGGGAGAGAGGAGTCCAGGTTCCTGTTAATCCAGACTCCCTGCCTGCACCTAAAGTTAAAATCATCAAAAATCCAAGACCACCTAACTTTGAGGAATTCAAATTGTAAGTAATATTATTAAAAATAACATGTCTAATATTATTAAGGTTTAGGATTTGTTTGTCAAACTAAGGCCCAACCATTAATCATGTGAGGCTCAAATGAATTGAAAGGTAAGGACATAGTAAGGTATTGTATGTATTTATATATAATTTTGTCCTAATCCCAAAATTAAAGAAAATGATATATTATAAACAAATTTGAATATAAATATGATTAACAAATCTGATTTAAAAATACAAGCATTACTTATGGGAGGGAGAGGTAGAAGAGTGGAGTAAAAGAGTAGTCCTTACTTATTAACTTACCAAACTAACAAAATAATATGAATAATTGTTTTAATGTCAGCTAGAGAAGATTACGTAAAATACTTTAGTTATTATGAACAGCTACCAATATTTATGTTTTAAAATCAGGGCTAATTTATACATATGTAAGAGTTGTATATTCCTAGGATGAAGATCCTGACACATGTTTTAATGGTTTAGCAAAGTTATGATATATAAGAGAATTGTTGCTATGTCTATGTAGCAGACACAGTTAAATGTTTAAATAGATGTAGAATATTTCATTAAAGAATAGTACAATACATTATAGTCTAAAAACTACACAATGCTATGAAAAGTAAATTGAACACTTGTTACAAAAGCATAAGAAGAATAATATTCATAGTATGTGTAAAATAACTAAATTTATTGGATTGATTTACCTTGGTTCAAAGGATAGTATATGGAATTCATTAAAAAATATAATAACTATTAGTGAGTAAAATTATTTTAATTTTTTTGTAGACCTAAGGATAAATACATTCATCTTAGTAGAGACGCTCACTATCAATCAGACAAACATGTACTGAGTACTACACCAACACAAGCCGAGTCTGCTTGTAGTTATGATCTTGATGCCGCCGATACAGCATGGCTCAAGTTACTGAACGCAGAGCGTGCCAGAGCCGGTGCTGCAGCTATTGTCGAGGACCAGCTTGAGAAAGTCATAGAAGAACTAGAGGTAACTTGTTAAAACCTCGATGTTGCTGTAGTTGGCTATCATACGATATATTAAGTACAAATATGAAGTATTTAGCCCAAAGTGCGTTTTTTATATGTCCATTTTTATTTTTAACTGCTAATCTCAGTGTAAAATATATATTCATATTCTACTACACTTACTTTGACTATGTTGTGTTTTTGGTATTGTGTATCAAGTATTGTATAAAGAAAATGGGTTATCAGCTAAGGTTTTGTATTATACATATGTATATTCTTTAATTCATGACTTAATAGTGATAATTTAATTTGTATTTTAACTTATACTCCCTTTTTTCTCATAGTTCAACCTATAGTCATAATATGTATTGTTTAATTTTTCAATGAATTCTTATAAACATATATACATAGATTATTATTTGGTACTTAATTTTAAAAACAAAGAAGAAAAGTTTGTTTGTTGATCAATTATTACTATTCCCTAAAATGAATCAGTCTGGGTCTGTTTAAAAATATGTCTTACCCATATTGTAGAATCCACCAACATTAAATGTTTTCTCTGATTCTATGTTATTATATTATAGCATCTTTTTAACATAGTTTCAAGGTTTTACTCACTATGACTAGCTGACTTATTAAATGATCAATAAATAAATCATTACCAGCTGATATAGCAGGAAATCTTAAAAATGTAAATGCTAAATGTTTAAATATCACAAATTAAGACACAGTAACTTTATTACCATCATTGGACTCGCTTAATGATATGTTTTGATAATTATGCTTCTTATATTGTTACTTGCATCATTATTAAATTACTATAAAAAAAAACCCTATAAATTTACGCATGTTGTAGCTAAACTTCATAATCAAAGATTTATTATATTGAATATATAAAAAGTAATATGTGTTTAAGTACAATAAAGTAATTTCATGAATTTTGGCTTTACCTATTTTGGATTGGTTTCTTTCAGTTTTAAGTATTTTAGGAGTGCATTCAAACATCTAAACTTTTAATTTCAGGTTCGGACATGGGAAAAAATACAGTCAATTATAAAATCTGAAGAAGGTTTAGGTTTAGAATATGACGAGAATGTCATATGTGATGTTTGTCGATCTCCAGATTCAGAAGATGGTAATGAGATGGTGTTTTGTGATGAATGTAATATTTGTGTGCATCAGGCCTGTTATGGCATAACAGTTATTCCAGAAGGTTAGTTATATTTGTGCAGTATGAAGAATATTTTTTTTTTATGTTTCAATAATATAATATTTGCTTTTTTTCCAGGGCAATGGTTATGTCGCCCATGTAGAGCTGGTGTCAAACCAAATTGTGTATTATGTCCAAATGTCAGTGGAGCTATGAAGTGTACACCTTCTGGACATAAATGGGCGCATGTTAGTTGTGTCTTGTGGATCCCTGAAGTTTCTATTGGTTGTGCAGAAAAAATGGAGCCTATTACTAAAATAGGTTCTATTCCTCAGTCTAGATGGTCTTTAGTTTGTGTGTTGTGTCGTGAACGTAAAGGGGCGTGTATTCAATGCTCAGTAAAAACTTGTAAAACAGCTTATCATGTTACTTGTGCATTTAAACATGGACTAGAAATGCGTGCAATTATTGAAGATGAAAATGCTGATGATGGTGTCAAATTAAGATCTTACTGTCAAAAACATAGTGTTAATTCTAAAAAAGAGAAATGTCCTGGTTCTGGTGAAGAAGAAGAAGAAGCTAAACGAAAGCGTCGTAAAGATATGACTTCAGAAGAGAAAAATCAAGCTAGAGCAGCTCGTTTACAGGAAATAGAAGCAGAGTTTGATGAACATATTGGTATAAATGACATTAGTTCACATCTGGATGTCGATCAAGATGCTATTAGCTATATATACAATTACTGGAAATTAAAGAGGAGAGGTGGCCACAACAGGCCATTGCTTCCACCAAAATCAGATAACAATGAATTACTCAGCCATAGACAAGAACAAGCTGATATTGAAAAAATGAAAAAGTTTGTCCAACTTAGACAAGACCTTGAGAGGGTGAGAAACTTATGCTACATGGTAAGCAGAAGAGAAAAGCTTTCAAGATCATACTTCCGAATGCGTGAACAGACGTTTCACAAACAAATAGCTGTTTTATCTGCAGATGCTACTATTTCTCAACCAGAATTAGCAGCAATAATTGAGGCTAATCATGGTCCTTCTATATATGACCGATTATACTCTGGTCCTGATGCTCCTGACCACGAAAACGATTTTGATGAACTCCTTGCACGAATAGCACCACAAGAATCAAGTGATGATAAAAAGAGAGATCGTAATGGTATGGTTAGGGGCTCCAAATCGTCTAATCCATATAAGAAATTGTATGTTAATGGTTCACGAAGAGGTGGTGTATATGCTGGTCTTTCAAGTGAAGAAAGTGGTGCAGAGATTGGACGTTCTTCCAAATATCGCGGTAGAGCTATTGGTTCTAGTACAGATGAGGATATGAAAAAAGGTTCTGCAAAGAAAAAGGTATCGCCTAAAGGAAAAAATAAAAAGTCGCCCAAAAAGAATGATCAAAAGAAAAAGAAAGCTCCACAATCTAAAGCTATTGTTGATAGTAGTTCAGAAGATGATAAAATAAAGTCAAAATTAAAGAATGATCAAATACGAAGTAAAACTCTTCAACAAATGGAAAAGGAAATGGCTGCTGGCAGAGGTGATTCTGCTTCAGATAGTGATGAATTAATTCCAATCAGATCTACACGAAATAATAAATTCCCAGTAGATATTTATTCTGACAGTAGTGAAAGTATGTCTAAAGAAAGTAAAGTCAAAGTAGATAAATCTCCAACTGAAAATGATTCAATGCAATCATTGCCTAGAACAAAAGCAGCCATGAAAGAATTTATTCCAAGCCAGCCAGAAAAGAAATCAACTAATTCAGAAACTGATAATAAACCATCGCCTAAGAAGAGAGGAAGAAAGCAAGGGAGTAAAGAAAAGAAAGGGACAAATAAATCTGTTTCTGATGATGAAGCAAAAGATAAAGAAAATATAAAGTTTGCTAAACAGAAGGATAATCCTACTGATTTAATTGTTCCACAACGTCAAGCTGCTAAGAAGGCATCGGAGAATATGAGGTCAACTACTGTTACAAAGAAAGAAGATACTTGCATAGACAAACAAGTAAGTGGAGATGATTCCAAAAATAAACAAAAAGTTAAAGCTAAAGAAAAAGAAATAAAAGACACTCAACCTGCTAAAATTAGTAGGAAGAAGTCATCTAAAGATCAAATGGAAACTATTGCTTATGTCCCACAAAGACAAGCTGCTAAGAAAGCAGCAGCTCATATTAAAAGTGGTCTTGGATCGAAAGTACCGACGGTAGAAGCGGAAAATGACAAAAAGAAAGATAATGATAAATTAAGCTCATTGAAATCACCTAAAAAGGAAGAATCAAAGTCTTCGAAAGTTATGAAAGAAATAAGCTCAAGCTCAACATCAAATTCTAGTAGTTCTAGTTATTCATCTTCCTCAAGTTCTGATGAAATCCAAGAAAAACCTAGTATAAAACCTACTGCTAAAGCTCGTGAAATAAAACCATTTCCGCGACAACCGTCAGTATTTTCGCCGCCCGGGTCTAGACCGACAGTCGATTTGCCCTTTCTCGACAAGGTGTCAAAACCCCTGTCGTCAACTAGCGCCTCTAGTGATTCCGATAGTTCCAAAGGATCGAGATACTCAATTACAAGGCCACGCAGACGTAGAAAGAACAGAGTCGCAACAGATGAGCCCCCAAACAAGACCCCAGACAAGAAGCTTAAAACTTCCGAACGGAGGTCTGAGTGTGGGGCCTTATCGCCGGCTCTTGAAGGAGAGGAATCGTGTCGACCAATGGTCGCGGTTCCTACCGCGCGTGCTCGGACCAGAAGCACTACTACAAGCGGAAATTTGTCTGATAAGTCTGATTCCAGAGCAAGAAAATCGTCTGAAGACTTCGAATATACCTCTCCAAAACAGAAAGAGACTTCCAAGTCCGTTGAATCTGCACCTTCGGAACGGAAAAAGGACGAGGCGATAATTGAAGATATAAAAGAAAAACTTATTACAGATACCATTAAAGATGAGCATATAGAATGTAAAGAAACCGTAGATGACAAGATTGATAAAGTATTGAGTCCCGAGCTGAAACCTCCTAAAGAAGAAGTAAAAGAGGAGATTAATTCTGGCGAAAATAAAGATTTTGCTGTTGAAACCGAAGAAAAGAAAAATGACACTGTAACAGAGGGCGTTAATTTGTCTCCAATCAAAGAGAATAAAGACAATTCAGACGACGAACCAATCAGCAGACACGAAAATTGGTTATCACAAGCACCAAGTCCCCATGTACATCCTCCACCTGTGGAAAAACCAGGAGATCATGAAAAATATATGACAGAAGATAAATCTTTAGATGCTGACTTTACTGACAGAAGCAGTATCAGAATGATAGCTAAAATTCAAGCAAATCTCAATGAAAATATGATGATAAAATCACCTAAAACTCCAATGGATGCAAGGACTCTTACAATTGACTATATAGATGTCGAAAACCCATTAACAAGAGGAAACAGAAAACGCCCAGTGGATAAGAAATTTATTACCCAAGATTCTACGCACGTTCAAGGTGTTGAAATTTCAAAAAGCGCCAAAATTCCATCTACTTTAAATCCATTTCCAAATAGAAATGTGTTTTCACCACAACCTAGAGATAATGATCATTATGAGATTGAAGTTTTTCCATCTTATTCAGAATTTATTTTTAAAGAAGATTCTAAAGAACAAGGTGCCCAAGAAACACTTAATTTAGTTGATAGACTGAGAATGCAATTAAGCTCAAAAAAAGTGCAGCCTGAAAATTTCGTGTCTGAAGATGGCTTTACTAACGATAACAAAGAAATAGATATTGAACTGATGGGTTCAGGTATCCAGACACCTAAAAGCGATCCTGTAAGTCCAAAAGATGGCTCAGTAATATCAATTATTGATGAGGAGAAGCCTTCTGAAAAAGACTTAGAAACATTCAATAATATTTCCACCCAAAACGAAGTTCTTGACCACTTCAATCACACATCCCATAAGAAACCTCAGGCATTACTTTCGAACTCTCCTTCACATTATCAAAGCAAGCACCATATTCTTAACATAAGCAAAGAAAAAGATATGCAAGAACCTATGCTTCTTAATGAGTCCATGGAGCAAAATGACAAGAAATTTGATGATTCAGCCTCATTCACAGATGACATAAAAGAGCCCTCTATAGCTCAGTCTGATGTTCACTCTATATCGGAAGTAGGTGATTCCATTTCAATATCTAAACAAAGTGACGACTCTCAATCCTTATCTGTCGTCGACCATTCAATTGACAACGATTTAACACAAGATAATCAGGCCTATGATAACAATAACTCTGTTATACATTCTGATTGTGCCACAGTCTCATCTCCATATATAAATCATGAATCGAAATGGCAAGAGAGCAAGATAACAACTAGAAGATCATCAGCCTCGAGCACAAATTCTGAAGCGTCTGTTACTTCTCAGAAGACTATTTTACGAATAGCACCATGCGATGCCCATCAATCTGGTGTAATCCCAGAAATAGAACCCTATCCACCTATACCACCTTATTCACATCATGTTGATCCAGCGTTGTCTTTAAATCAGTATACAAATTTTCCACAGAACGCGTCGCCATACTTAGGGCCTATGACATTACCTCTATATCCACCCGGAGCATGCCCAACATCACAGCTATCGTTGCCTTCAACGGCTCCAGGTCTATATGTCCCCAGTTTATCTTATTCAGCTTCTCCGTTGATGCCGTCTTTGCCAAAACCAATCTTTTCCAATATATGTGCTGCATTTACATCATCTTCACAAAACATTGCTTTAACACGCGCTATGATCGCTTCTCCCACATCTAAACCCATTGACTCACCATCTGAAGATATAGATGTAACGGGCAGTGATAAAATATCTATACATGTTCCATCCAGCCCAAGCATCAGCGTAGACTCGTTCAATGATGGCAGTAATACAAGGGAAACTATAAGGACAGACAACAGTGAAACCATGAGCAGCTTGCCACCATCAGATGCAAAATCACCTTTAAAGACAACTAAATTAAACTCAGCCAAATTGTCAGGAAAGAGTCCAGGAATTTCACCAAAACAATTAGATGTGCCAAAGGGAAGTAAGAGGCCTAGTAATAAGAGTAACAGAAGTCAAAGAGGCCGTGGTCGATCAAAAAGCCGTGGCCAAGGTGTGCAGAATTTCCCAGCATCTCATTACAATTTAGGAAACTCGATTCATAGCAAACTGGTTGGAACAGTATACGACTTTGAAGAGGAAATAGCCAATGACGGTGTCGATCTAAAAGCCTTAAGAGAAAGACGAAAATCAATAGACGTAAAAGATGAACGCAAATCTGAACATAGTTTCAAAGATTCGTCGCAATCGCCACCTGTTGTAACTCCACAACCGCTGTCAGTTGAAATTAAAAATGTTAAATCTCCATCACCTGAACCTAAGGAGGAATCGAAATCTCCTGTAAACAAAAATAATTCGGACCATTCTAATTTCACACAAGTTCAACCAGTGTTACCAGGACCAGTTGACATGCGTACATACAATGCTTTAGAAATTCAACCTCCGGCAACTAATGATGTCTATCATAGCCATCTATTGGCTTTCGCAAGCGGAACAGCTGATCAACAATTGGCTGAAATCGACGAGGAAGTTGAAAAGCAACTACATACAGCACTTAAAATGGCAAGTAACCAAGAACCAGAATCTGTACTAACTGAACCTATTCCACAAGCAAACAATACCAGTAAAGATATCTTTATACCGCAGTTGCCGAAAGTATCTCTGTCTGATTCTAGAAATCAGCTCAAAGTAAAAATAAAAGGTCCATTTCTGGATGCTAACTATTCAACCAGTTCAGCCCCACCAGCGGTTCCAAAACCTCCCGCACCAGTTCACGATCCGAATTCGAGCTTATTAAATCTATCCACTGGCTCAGTGTCATCTACAGGATCTACAAACTTGCGACGAATGCGTAAAAAAGAGCTGTTACGTCAGTATTGGACTCAGGATATGAATATGGATGATCCTACAAATACCACCAGTGTGGGAATAGTACCACCTCCGGTAGCGCCACAACCGTTGGCCCGAGCTGTTATCACAATTCCTAAAGCTGTAGCATCTATGACAAGTATACCGACCAGGGAAGATTATAAAATGACTGAAACGACAGTTGAAAAGAAAAAGCGAAAGAGCAGTGCTTTATCCCGGGAGTTACGACAACTTAACAGTGACATCGACTTGTCAGATAATGTAAAATTATCAAAATTCGTTGCGGGCTTAGGGCAGTATCCAAAAAGGCGAACTCGCATAGCGCCTTCAAAACCTAGTCCACCATCGCCGGATGAAATGTCTCCAGTAGCGCCAAAGCTCAAAATAAAGATCGGTTCTAATGTAGTGCAACCTGTAATAGAAGATTCGTCGAATTGTCAATTCCGCCCCCCGAAGAAGCGCCTTCAATCACAAATAATGCCCAAACCGAGTATGGAAGACTTGAAGCGGGAAAGCATGATTTACCGGCGAATGGTGATGGCTGATTTCGAAGAAGACAAAAAGCCCAAGAAACCTAAAAAGGATAAAAGTAAGAAGAAGAAAGATAAAAAGGCAGACAAGGATAAGTTGTTAGTGGTGAACAGTGATAGTGAAAGTGCTACTAAGTTAATAATAAAAATTAAACGGCAAAAAGAGGAAGATGAAAGGGGGGGAGAGGAGAGTAACCTGGCGAACGCTGCGGCAGCAGCGCCTGAGCCGGCCGTCGACCCTTTCGACTACGACCCCACCGCCCCCGACCCGCTCGCTATAGACACTCCTTTCTGTGAATCCTCTTCCGCGTTGCGCAGAATACGAACTGAAAAAGTGACGCCGATCCGTTTAAAACGTAGTTCGCAAGGTTCCGGATATGTAATGAAAAAGGCGCGATTGGAGAAAGAGGCGGCAGAGGCCAAATGCTCCGCTACGGCTCCCGCCCTGCCTTCCACCGCCCTCGATGATAACTGTACTGTGAGGTGATATAAAAAGTTAAAAACAGGACTATAAGACTTTACGTTGTTTCATGTGTCTGTACATATTCGAGCCATATGCAGGTACAATGAGGGAAATGCAACGGCTTGATTCCCACCCTGAGAAACGCCTAATATTCGCCAATTATAGGACAAGTCATTTTAACCACTGTGAAAAGTGCTGAGTGTCATGAAAGACGAGCTTATTGCATTTCCCTAATTGTACTTGTATGTGTGCGTTTTAAATATCTTATAAATTTAGTTTTGTTTAAGTGTAAATTATTTATTTGTATAAATGGAAAGCTCAATTTATATCTTTAAACAATACTGTATTTATAACAAAATTGGTGTATTGAATAAATACATCAAATGTGACTTGTAACTATAGTTTCGATTTCTCTTTTAAGTTCATGTATAACGTATTAATGTAGAATCTCATTGTGATACATGCCACATAATTTTGTTTATATTAATTGAGGGTCTATGCTGAAAGTTGAGTTCATTTTGCTTTCCCATATACACAAATAAATCAATATTTTTTTTTAATTTATAAGATTTTAAACCGTTTGAAGAATCTATCTAATAAGCCCCATATGTTTTTCGCCCATTTTAAATCAGAAGTTTTACAGTTATTCTAAAATCATGTATCCTCAAGATATATTAAAGTTAGTTGTTGTTATATATAGTTTTTATCAATGTGTATGATGTGTAGATAGCACTGGTACAATCAGGAAGCACCGTCAACTTTTCCTTATTTTAACAACATTCATAAGACAGTGTACCTTGCAAATATATAAATACACCGTAATTCTTGAGTTATCGACATGTTCAGTTGTATACCCAATTTGGTTTCACCCATAAATTTTCTTATGGGTGCGACAAGGCTAGAGATTACTGGTGCTTTTATGATGAATCCATGTGCGTGTTCTAAAAACCCCTCGGCAATAAATTTACTTGTATTAAATCTGTTAAAATAGATACTTAAATTATTTGAACACAAAACCGAGCCCACGTAATAATGTAAAACAATTTAAATGTTATATTTATATCTGTAGCGTAATACCATGAAATTAACCATATTTATTTGCAACACATGAAGTCTCGCTTTATAGTAATAAAATCTAAACAATAAATGTTGTACATACCTGTTGATTCTGCTCGGTTTAAGGTTTTAACTTCCTTTCTAAATAAAATCATGTAATAATATGTTGTTAGGCAATTATATTCTAACTGTATTACATCACTTTTGCATATCACTTTACGTGTGTGTTTTTATAATAAAAATAACGGAAATGTATTTTGTAAAAAGAATTTATGGCCAGATTCTTATAGATATGTTGTATGCATAATAAAAAATGTGCAATATTTGCCAATACTCATCAGGTAGTCTTAAACGAATCGACCTCGACGGCCGGTAGTAGTTTTAAGTACATGGTTGTTAAGTATTACTGTTCTCATAACTGTTTTGTTCTCAATTGTACATACGAGTAGAAATATTTATTTAAAGTATCAAATAACAAATCTCAGTAAAATAGTCCGGTAAATTTTAAAGCATGCTGGTTTTTATCGTGAATTTTATTTTATTTTATTCTATGTTTAATGAATTGTAATAGTCGTTTTACGCGGGACATTGTTCTTGCTCATATTTATACTACACAATTTAATTTTTAACCGAAATTTTAACTTTGAGAATTCCATTGGTTTTAAAGTTTAACTATGGCAGTTAATCATTCATGTTTCATACATCATAGGTAGCGTACGAAACGAGTCAAATCACAATTTTAATGTACATTTACCAAACGGTTTTACCTATAATATATTTCTCTACAAAGATCTATGATTTTTAGTGCATTTATTATTTTAAGACTTCAATTTATGACATTATTAATATTAGTACTTCATTAATATTATTGGCGTACATCACCGATTAATCCATATTATTAAAAGAACACATTTAAATTTAGGTACTTTTTAATTTAAAATTGACCCTAACCTAGTTGAATAGGTTACGGAAACGCTGAGAATATACACCATGATAAGAAATTTGGTAAATTTAATTTATGTATTCTCATGCACTCAAGACAAGACTACACAAACTGACTAAAAAAATGGAGGAAAGTAGTGTCACATAAGTTATATTTATTATTTACTATTTAACTTCGTATTTTGAACAGTAAAAATGTCGCGTGGGTTTCTATTTTATTTATTAATCTATGTACGTACTAGTCAATTTTTTACTTGAAATTGTAGATTGTTACGAGGGGGGTTTTTAGTTTATCGTGTCGTGGAATATCGCGGGCGATACCTTTTTGTTTTTACATTTCTCAAAAGTAACGCTCAGTCGCCACCATATATTATGGATAGGCTAACAATACTTTATACTAAATCACCTCAGTAATAGCTGAGTAATATAAATAACACCAATTATTTCGTAGAACACATATTGTAGTTATGAAACTGCATGACAACGGTGTTTTTTAAACTTGTTAAATTTTATATTTATATTATTTTTAAATGCTCTTTAGATCAACTTGAATTATCAAAAAATAGGATTTTTTTCTAAACTAATTCAAGACTAGATCATTCATTTGACGGAATTAAAATAGAAATTCGATTTTTAAAAAGTTTGCCTATGATTTTAAACATGTTGAGTAAGTTACAATTTTAAGTGCTGATACTAACAAGTCATAATACAAATAAATCAACAAAATCACTAGAAAATTGTCTTCCTATTGTGTGTTTTTCTTAAATTGTAAAACATGAATTTCTTTATTCGGTGTAGTTCAGATATGTCTTAATCACTTGCGTTTGCGCACAATCTATTCGCGTAAACTAAAATCATCACATTTAAATCATCGAGCATTACCTTATTACTGTGATTTGTTTTTATTTATACATAATATAATTTTAAGAACACCTGTTTATAATACTTTTATTCGGTATTTCAAGTGTTGTTTTATACTCTCACAGGAAATGTAAATAGTAAACTTTTAACGGTAATATTATGATATACTTGTACATATTCACATTTTAATATAATGAAATTACCGATTTTGGTACCTAATATTATATATATTTGGTGTTATTTAGATTCGAGCTTTGAGCGCATGATTTTTTTATATTAATTTACTTACCGAGGTATATCTATTGTAAGTGTTGTTTGGAATTGTATTTTACTTTAACTATTATTGTAAGCGTCGTTAAAGTGTGTGTTGTTGAACTATTTAATGTGTTACATGTACGTATGAGATTTAAAGATAGCTGTCTCTCAGTAGTGTGGGCCGCTAGAGGCCGCCGATCTCTTCCTAGAATATCCGCGATTTACTCGAGTCATCTGAAATATTTCGATTCTTTCATAGACTTAAGTATAGTCACATACTTTCGCTTCTGCACACAGTTTCACAAGTGGCCAATTAGTGTTAGTCCTAGAGACCAGCTGCCCAAAACCTTTGTCATATGACTATGATTGATCGGCTGTTTGTGGAAGTTACATTGATGACTTTAGATTGGCAAATAAACGAATGGCAAAACATTTACAATGAACTAAAGCGCTTTAGAATCTGTTAAGCGGTAACGATCTGGCGGATTCTGAATCGGTAGCGAGCACAAATTAACCTTGTAACTACATCGAAGCGCGGATTGTCCTACATACGGTCAGTATTTTCTACTCCAAATAAGTGCAATTTTTGAACCGCACTATAATTTGACTGCTGGCATGTACTAGTTTTTGTATGGAATGGACGATCAGGTGGTACAGTATGTTAGTTAAAAATGTAAATGTCTTGCCATCTATACTTTTGGTAGCTCGCATAATGCACCGCAATACAAATTTGTGCTGCCACAGATAATGAGAGTATTTCATGGTTTATTTCTTCTCTGTACTTTGTGCCCCAGTCGCAACATTATCCACTTTAGGTATAATTTCTCGGCTGAATGACTCATTACAGTCATTAGATTATAATAAATACATATAATATAGTTATTTATGTATTAGTGTAAGAGTAAAGAGTAAGAGAGCCACACCTAATACCATTATCCTTATAAGTATTACGATCAAGAATATTTCCATTGTTTAAAAAACTTAAAACTAAACTTTAAGAATAAATTGTACAAACTACTTATGTACAGTCTAGATTTATGCGAAAGAGAGATGCTATGAAGCAATGCGTACTCGTAGTAATGAAGTGTTGTAACGCGGGTGTTGTAAATATTGTAAGTTTCGATGAGCACTTAGTCGCCTCCTTCATTAATAAATTTTTTAGATCAATTAACTATATCTTTCATTTAATTACTCATTTTACTCTGTAACGGTACACACGTTACTTTTGGCAGTAAGTATTTTTTAAAGAATTATTAGTCAATCGTAGCTAAATAGATTTTACCCGACGATCGTTTTTAAAACATATTAGTTGTTTTTTAATTTAATTTTTATAACTCCAATGTTTTTCATTAGTTCTGAAATCAAAAGTATATCGCCCATAATTGGTATTTTGTAAAACATACAAACAATCTTTATTGCCTTAATATGGTGGTAATTAGGCACTACCAACCAAATCAAAGCGTGCTTAATTGGTTAAAACAAAAAAAACATTTTAAGTAAACGTAAATGTATTTTTAGTTACTGCGGTTACAATGCGTTTCAAACGTCGGGCCGTAGTTAAATTGTTAAGTAATCTAATATATTTTGTGACTTAATCAGTTAAAAGTGTTTTATTAAATCGTAAGTATATCAGGAATTTAAAATATCGATAAACCTGGGTACAAGCCTAACGACAAACTTAGTAGATTACGGCCTAAATCTAGAAGAGGCGTGCTGAAGAGAGGGGGCAGCTGCGTGTCTTCTTGGTAGTGTTGGTTGGAGTCGTATTTTAAGACGATTTACTAGATAATTATTTTTTAATTTAAAATTAAGTAACCTACTAAGTTATCTCGACCATTCTAAACTTTATCTAAGGACGCGTATCATATCATTGATTAGAAAATTATCGCTGCAAGTGGGTACACTGTAATTTAATATTTAGTGACTCGAACTAAGTGGATTGTGTACGATGAGAATACTAAAATTAAATAAATCCGGACACTTACAATGTCTATTTGAAAGAACTCTTCGTGTGAGAGGTTTTTGTAGGATATAATTATGGCGCACACAAAACATTACAAGAAGACTAACACAACACCGAGAAACTTTCGTGTAAGTATTTTGATTTTAAGTAATTAAATTTTTATTTAAACAGTTCAAATGCGAAATATACACCATCACTTCCCCCGTAACCTGCTGCTGCAAAGCATTCAACATAGTTCAAAATAGGTTACAAATTGTTAAAAGTGTTTTATTTAATGTGTACTCACGTTAAATAAAACACTTTTACATACAATAAAATAGAATTTACATGATTATTAATTACATTTTAGAAGCATATTGTTGTCATTTTATAGTTAGGTATGGTTTGTGTTTGAACCTTGGTGCACGTAAAATTTAATCGCAGCTCCTTAAGTATTTTAAATTGTTTTTTTAAACGTGAATTTTAACAGAGACAACTAAACGCGAAAATGAAGATAAATATTTAAGCCACATTTTCTTAATGAAATTAATGTAATAATCTAAACGCATGTTGTAAAAAATTACTACTAATCATATAGCTCGAAGCAAAATGTTATATTTTTAGGCTTCCGTAAATAGAGGTTAAAACTTAACTCCATTATTAAGACTGTCTGTCAACAGGTATACTAAGAACTATGCCTCATTTTAAATGTTTCCAAAATTTTCGTTTAGCGCTTTAGCGACAAGTAGGTACTAAACACAAAATATTGTGTTTCCTGGAGACTTCTACAATGATTGGGATTTGTTTGCCCTTTTCTGTTGGATATGAATAAAAAGAAAAAAAGAACTTATGTATTTGGTCTTTTTGCCCCTTCGCGCGCGAGTCAACTCTCACTTGATTTTCTATATTAAATTCAGTATGCCAAAGTGAAAACTCATGAAAAAATATGGTGCATTTGTTCAGTGAGCACTAAAATACAATTTATAGCATTGATTCCTTATAAATATAGTATGTACTTTTTTTTACATACTTTCAAGCAAGTCTCCTCAATGGATTAAATAAATATTATTAATTAATTAATTACCAAAGTATAAATAAACAAAAGTATAAGACGAAATTTTTCCGTGTCATTTACATAAGCGACTTAGAGATTTAGAGTTGCCTTCATAAAAAATCGTCAAATTCTTAACTCCTGGATTAGACATCGGTGGGATTAAGATAGGTTCGAAATAAAACTTGATCTCGCTGTGTAGGCTCACCTATAGGGTGATTAGGGTTTGCGCGCATGCGCGGTATCTGCTTCGACTGGGCGATGAGCAAAGGCGGCAGAACACGGTCACGCTTGCGTGGGTCTCCATCGATCCGAATTGCTTCGCGTTCTTACCGTGGTCCGCCACCACGGCGAATCACACCATGCAACCTCCTCCGAGAAAGGTAAGTCTCGTGCCTCGCCTTCTAAGCAACAAACATGTCTTTTACACTTACCATAAAGGACATGGCGACATCATCCCCCAGATGTAGCATCACCCACACGTTCTGGGATCACGCTCAGAATTTTATTATGTAACGTTTATAAAATTTAAGGGCTCCACGAGTAAAATACGATGTTTAAAAGTTATTATTTCATAGTATAAAGTATATTATTCAGTGCCACCCAGTTTTGTAGCGGTTGCAAGGTTGCGTTTTTGTACGTGTAAACCAATACTTATGTGTGCAGAAGATATATCAATGTATTATCTAAAATGCCTTTTAATATTAGTTTTAGTTTCATAAGATTAATGGAATGTTCCGATAGGTTAAGACCATGATTCAGTTGTTTAAAGTTAATTATTAGAGCGAATTCTCAGATACGCCCTAATATATAACTCATTATTTTAAAGTTAGGATAGTGATCAGTTAAGGTTAAGTACACGTTTTAAACATTATTGTTATTAAACTCAGCGTGTCTAGTTACCGGTTAAAGGCACCGATACAAATAAAAGTAGAATCTAATTAAACTAATTTTGTTGCAGAGTAACTATACGAAGTTTCTGAAAAATTTACACTCTGAACAAATCGCAAAGCTACACGCTAAAAATCAACATGAGTGCGATTTGCTCGAAGATCTTCGCAGCTACACGATCAAGAGATCGGCCATTGAGAAATCGTATTCCGAGGTATGTACAATACATTGAGTTTGTTGTCTCCTAGAGACACATATACCGTGTTGGATAAGATCGTTTTGATCAGTCAGGACACACAGTTATTTTACCTTTCCTCAAGTAAACCCCGTGTATGCCCTATTATAAAAATTAATATCTTTAAAGCTGTTATATTTCATCACAATTTGCTTGCGTGGTTCTGCAAACAATAACAAAGATCCACCTACCCATACGTATAAACAATTATATTATGTAATAGTGCAAAAATCAAATTAAATAAAAAGTGTAAACTTTTAATAATGTAATAGATATAACAAATATATTGCATAATTGTGTTATCCACAGCAAGTTATGAGGAATTATTCGCAACAATACAAGTGAATTTATTTGCGTGTTTTGTCAAACTTTCTGATATATATACAATTTATCATTTCATTTTATGTTCTCAGGCGTTACTGAAAATATCTTCTGCATATCTAAACAAGAAGATACCCAACATACCCGATATAAAAGTCGACGGTGCGGAAGAAAAATGGTAAGTTATAGCAGCAATTTTAAAGTCCATATAGACCTTCTGAATTCATAATTTAAAGAGCACTGTAGAAATTTGTAATATGTCGCTTGGCGCTTTACATATATCGACGTTCGGTCTTAAGTCGTTGATTCTTTTTGGGAGTCGTTTTAGCTGTATCTAACATCAATTTGCTCAAGTAGTGATTTTACAAACATATACTTACTCCATAAAGAGGCTTTTTCGAGTTGAGTTTGTCTACACGCCAAGTGGTAAGCGGTTATTAAAAACTATCGCCACTAAATTAGTGATTTAAAAAAAGGAACGATGCCTTTATGATTTCCGAAGCACGGAGGTGATGAAAATCCTTCTTCTAAACATTATCAAAATTTCAAATATCGATGCTTTCCGAATTTGAACCCGTACCTTTAGATCTGTTGTGTTAGCGACTAGATCATGACTGAGCAATTAGTATGGTAAAATACCTAGGTAAAATTATTATATAAGGAACACAAAAAGCACTTTTAATAAGATAAAACGAAAAATTACCGAAGTACGTATTTACATCATCCTTACTAGTACCACTAGACTGCAAACATTAATTAGCTTCTCGATACACTTATCGTCGAAAACAATACAGTTTTTATAGAAGACTTTTATGAAATAACAGTGCATCCTTGTTCTTTGTTTGTAATTTTACTTATACATTTATAAAACTCTTTAAAAACTAGTTTCAATTTGCTATTGGATTGAATAATATGTTTAATAGATTTACTTGCTCGTCCTTTATTAAATAAAACCAAGATAAGTCATAAACCGAACGAACTCAAAATATCAAAACTCCTTTAAATGATATTTGTTAAACTTATTTACATATTGTTTTAACTACGGACGTTGCTAGACTCCGCGTGACCATGGCTGCTGTAAAGCATCCGAACGATCGTGCCGTAATTAAAATAACATAATTTGTAAGTTTAACGAATATATTTTGCGTTTTAAACCGTTAAAGTATTTTATTTAAATGTGTACTACTCGCGTAAATTAGACAGTGTGTAATAAAACATCTTGTTTTTTTTTAATATCGTTTGCTAAGATCCTTTATTAAGATTTTAATTAGATTAGATCGGAAACAAAGTAACATTGAATGATGTTCATTTCCTTCTCAATAGTGAGGCAATATAGGAAGTATAAAGATGTCCACGTATATATCTCACACAATAGCAAGCTAAGGACACCAGCACAATGATTCATTTGAAGAAACAATATTGTATTATGACGTGAAATAAAAGAAGCTGATTTGGCTTATTAATCAGCTCTTTATAATTTTTATCATTGTTTACACTTCGAGTTGTGAACAATGCTGAATTAATGAAATGCAAGCTTAATTCACTATTCTGCCCTTTTGTCAACGTAGTACCTACATTGTAGCGTATTCTTGTCAAATAACTAAAATAACTCTAAATAAAACACTTTTAATGATTTGAATGCGAAATATATTAGTTAAGTTATAATTGACGTGATCTCGGGGGACTAAATATGGAGGGTGTCCCCATTGTCAATGTCAAATCTGCTACGCTAGTGCCATCACTTATTTCGTAATTGGTATTTGGAGAAACTACCTAGGTCCCTATAGAAAAGACTCACATTTATCGATTTACCGTTTGGGATGTAGTGTTTTCAATATAGGAGCACATGTATTTTATATTCTTGAAGCCGTACGTCTTATTGAATTTTAGGTGTCCTCGATTTTAATTGCTTCGCTTACCATTAATGAAAAACATCTACTCTCTTTTGAGTTTAAGTTTGCGGACTCGTGGATCAGAAAGTGTGTGGAAGAATGGCAGTGTGTTGTAAATCTCTAGTTTTAAAATTGGATTAAAAGTAAAGTTTTTATTTTTCAACGACGCTGTTTGCAACATCTTCTTCGATTTGAGCTACAATCTACGAACGTTGGTTAGAATTTTAGGCTTTTAGACGTGTAGCAGTGCTAGGCGTATATATTATACGTAATAATTGCTTTTAGACTGAACTTAATGACATTTTTACTATATATTAGATACACAGCAAGCTCACAAAAGATGGCATTACAGCTCATTCTGAGACCGGCCTCCATTTCTTATGAAGAAGTAAACTTCTATATAATAAATTATATGCTCAAAAATTATAATATAAACTAAAATTAGACAAAGTAAAGTTTAATACTAATTTCGATTTTTTTTTGTTTTATATAGGAATAAAGAATTCTACTGAGAATCTTCGGATTCACAAGGTTTATTTGATGAAATTAATGCTTGGAAGTTAGTAAGACAATGTAAAAATTTAAAGTCTTAATAAAATAGATATCTATTCACGAACTGTTTACTATTTTTCACAATTCAAACATACAAACTCATTCGCTTTTCCAACATAGAAATTCCGTCGCTATTACGAACGACCTTCTTCGTTGAATGAACTACCTAAGATTGAAAGTTTTTATATATCGCAACGTTATTTTTTGAGATTACTGCTTTTAAGAAGACTTTTCACACTATAAATAAAATATTTAGTTAATAGCCATATTTCATATATTTTTGATGCCATTTTCATTCAATTTTATACTTGGCCACTTGGATTTTTCAATGATCGTGAAAATGGTTCGCAATGTTTCTTTTTGAGTAGATAGAAGCTCCAGGGCTCAAGTTAAATGTTGGATATTTATGGTAAAAATAAATTCTTCTCTGTCAGGAATATGTGGAACGTCTGGCGAACGGTTCTAGAAGAGAACGAGAAGCTCGCACGGGCACGTCTCGCGGCTGTCGAAGTGTTTCAGCAACAGATTGCTGACGAAGCCAAAGTTTTGAAACAGCATAAAATGAACGTCGCAAAAAAGGTATTGCCGTAATGGAGTATGCCAACATGTTCCAAAAAAGTTCAAATATTTTACTATTTATTTTGTTCGATAACAGAGTCGTTTAGTTAGATTTTTACAAATTGTTACTTTTATATGGGGAAAGCGTTTTCTCTCTAGTTCCTTAACCATTTATGGGTTAAGACAGATATTTCCAGATTACAGGTTAAAAAACAGATAAATCAGATTTATCATATATATTTATCACATATTTTTTATTATACTTTAAGTGGTAAACTTAAAGTATAATAAAAATATGTGATTCAACATCAAGTTATACCGTTTTTGTTTATCTAGAGCACAGATTTATTAGCTCAAGCACATAAAGAACTTCAGTTAACCGTTCTCGACGTTGACAAAACCAAGAAGCTCTACTTTGACGAAGAACACACCGCTCATGACGTCAGAGATAAGGCAAAAGATATCGAAGAGAAGTGAGTAACGAGACCCACAAAATAAAGTTTTTTTTATAGATATGATAGGTGTATAACTAGCTGTGCCCGCGATTTTATCGTCCTATCAAAATTTGTTTTTGCAAACCTCATCTTTATAATTTATAGCTATTACCCACGAAGTCGTCCACGTCCCGTCATTATTGTTAGTTCATCTTATATATACCTACAAACTGATTTTTTTTAAGTTCATTTAAAGAGGAATCACTTTTTACAGCACACGCTGTGGAAACCCACAAAGATGAATAATTTTTCCCGCTTTTTCCACGTTTCCCACTTTATCTTTCTATTGGTCGCAACCTAGTGTTTTATAAGCTAAAGCCTTCCTCGATAAATAGTCCAACTAATACAAAAACATACCTGTAGTTCCAAACGCATTGAAGCAAACAAAATCTTAAGCTTTATAATACATTAGTATAGATGAAGATAATATGATATTTAAAAATCGAACGTGTTTCTAGGTTAAAGAAGAAAAAGGGATCGTTTTTCCAGTCTATAACTTCTCTGCAAAAAAACAGTGCAAAGGTCTCATCACGCCGCGACCAACTCGAAGAGAAATCTACCGGCGCAAGAAACGATTACCTCTTGAGCATTGCCGCAGCGAACGCCCATCAGGTACATGAAATATTCGATAAGCTTACGTCCATAATAGCGTCGAACACGCCAAATCGATATTTAGTGAGAAATTATTCAACAGAACCGTTACTTCTTGGTCGAGCTGCAATCCTGCATGCAAAGTATGGAGGCGTCTGTCTACGAGAAGGTGTCAGAATTTTTGACATTAATGGGACGCACTGAGCTATTAACGTGCTCAGCCACTCAACATTCGTTTGGTAAAATCCGTGACCAGGCGCAACAATTGACGAGAGAGTACAATTTGCAATGCCTGTACTTATACTACCCAGTTTTGAAGCAGCACATTCAGGTATGTCAAAACATAACAAGCGTCGTCGCGTCAATTTTATATGACTGTGTGAATAGAAGGCCGGTTTAATTACATGGCTGTAAACTTTGCCTGCATAATTCGGATTTATTATGATACTTTACTAAGCTTTTTGTTTTACTTAACACAATGGAAGTAATACTTTAACCTTTAATATAAAGATATGAATTTTTCTTTATTGACCGCCTCCTCGCTTATCCATTTAATGAAATATCACGTAACTGTTAAATCGCGCGGCATTGCAAGAGTGTGTCAGATTACGGCATTTTATAAGTCTAAATGAGATTTGAGTAGCATTTCGAATATAAACGTTTACCTACGTTTACCTACTTCGATTGCTTAATTATTTTGTATAACATAATTATTAATTGAATATCTAACAATATACATAAACAAACACATAAAAATTTTGCTAGAAGTAAAAAAAGTGAAAAAAATGTTTCAATCAGTAGCTTTTTATAAAGTGGTAAAGGATACCTTCTTCCATTTGATTATAAAAATAATTGTAATCTATAATTTTAGTGTGTATTCAATATATAAAGCATAATTCTATTGTCCACAAGTGGCCTGAAGTGGGAATGTACCTGAACTATTTATTTAAAACTTACATAATAGGGTAGGGTCGACAAATTAGATATGAGAAAGCCCAATCAAAAGTTTTCGGTTTTAGATTCAGAAATAAAAACAAAAATACAAAAAGGCGAGCTTAGATTAAACATTTATAAAAAAATGGGAAGTAAAAAATATTTTTTTAAATACTGTCTGTTTACGCGAGTAGTAGACATTTAAATAAAGCACTGTAACGCTTTAAAACGCGATATATATTTAAAAAAAATATCGGTACATTTACATATTTATTTTCATAGTATATTTTGAAAATTTATTGTATGCCCATAAGAATAAAAGCAAGTTCAGCAAGAATAGTGATAGGATTTGAACTTAAGAAATAAGGATAAGCTAGCTATCCCCAAATATAGGCTCAATAAAATAAGTAATTCCTTTGCGGGGAATTGTATATGTGTATAATACATTGCCAGTTGAGGTTCCAAATTTATCAATAAATAAGTTAATAAAAGTCATAAAATTTAGATTGTCTCAAAAGGCGTATTATTGTTTTAAAAGAATTCTTTAATGACAGGGCTGTGAGCATATGAATTGCTCCTTAGGTCATTAAATTCACAAAAATGTATTCGTTTGTAACACACGTTGAAAAAAGCCAGACTGAGTTTCTTGATTGTTCTTCTCGGTTATGTTGCTCTTTTGAACACTGTGTGGAATCACGACGAACGGACTGACAAACATATTATTTATTTTTTTAACAAATCTAAATAAATTTTATACAGAAGCGACTTCGTTCGCGTGGAATAGTGAGTTGGGGTAGAATTTTTTATTATTTAGGCTGTTTATTGATTTATGTAATTGCGCATTTATCGCAGCCAATCTATATTGTACGTGCCAGTTTGCCGCAACACTCTCACCTCACATCACTCCTACTCTAACTCCCACTCGCATCCCTACTCCTATTCCCAAAAAGCCAATGAAGGAAGTTTCATTGTTCTAGCTTCAAAAACCACGACTTTCCATACAAACTTTCACTCCCCTTTTTAATACCTTACAACCCCCTTTTCGCAATAAAGCCAAAATAAAAAATAAAAGCCTATGTTCTTTCTCAGACCATATGTGTACCAAATTTCATTCAAATCCGTTCAGTAGTTTTGGCGTGAAAGAGTAACAGACAGACAGAATTACTTTCGCATTTATCATATTAGTAAGGATAAGGATAAAGTATATTTTATTTTATTTTTACTTTAAACTTATTTGAAAACTATTTTAACTACGGCACGACATTTAATTTTCCCCTGACCACGGTTGCCGCAAAGATTTGAAAATAAGTTTAACTACACTATATCTATCGCGTTTTAAACCGTTAAAATTATTTTCTAAAAAAAAAGGTCAAGTTTTCTATCAACTCTCAATGATATTTCCTATGCAGTACGAATTCGAGGCGTGCGACAACGACCCAGTTGACACCGTTACAATGGAACACGACACGGTCGCACAAACATTAGCCCAAGAAGCTCGTCGTTGGGCGACCAGAGTCGTAAGAGAGACGGCTCTCGTGAGAGACGCCACCCGAAAATTGCATCTTTACCAAGCTATGAGGGACGCTGGCCAGAAGGTAAACTTGTTGATAGGTTTATTCGATTTAAGGAAGTAGGCACTACGCAGATTTAGGTTCAAAATTCTTCCTCGTTAACTTAAGCTAGTGCAAATTTTAGTGTATGTATTATTGACGCATGATGCCTTAAGCGCCAAAGATTCAAAACCTCAGAAACCTAATAAATTGCGTCGGGCAAGACACTGGGTCGACTACTTGCGTGTAAATTAGCAATCACTGACAGACTCAGATGTGTCTGCTATAACCTGCTTAGGGGAGACGGAATTTCACACTAAAATGCTGTGTTGATGCAGTAAAATTTTATTTCTATCCAACATTCAACAATATATATCTTAATGTTAAACCTGTAACATAAAATAATCATTTAATATTTTACCCATAACATACAAACTAACAAAAGACAAATTTAAGATGGACTGTAATAACCGGCTAATTAGAGATATAACTCTCTATTCAAGAAGATGATAAATAAAACTATACATCAACAAATTATTTTTCTCATTATTATTATATCCTGTAGGTGGATCCCAATGACCCCAATGGTCCAGAATTGGATGTACGCATGGATGAACTTCGCACAAATATAAGACGTTCAGAGACTTCAAAAGCTAAATATGAAGCGAGATTGGAATGTTTGAGAAACGGGGGTGCACCGGTTGATGAGTGGCTGAAGGAAGTGGATCTACTGGCAGTGCAGGAGACTCTACCCAGAAGTAGCAGTTTGGTCAGCGTTCGAACTGATGCTTCGGGTGCAGCTGTAAGTACATATTATCTTATTGGAGTTCTTTCCAACTCTTAATCACATACACAACCGTTCCACTATGCCATTAAAGATTGTCTTTCTCTTCTCTTTTTCTAAGATTAGGATAAGATTTTTTCTTTCTACTCTAATGAATAGGCCGGTTGCAGATTCGTAAGTCGGTCCCAGTATCTCGGAGTAACTCGTAGGAATGCAACTGTTCTAAGCAGCAACTAATTATTTTTTTTGTTAAAAGGATCAGCCCAGTTCAGATTCGTTTTACGACAGTGATAATACCGAAGGAGAGGCAGCAACCACTTCCGCTGTGGCCACTACGTCAGGGCACCAGAGAACAACTTCCGGATCGCAGCATGAAGATGAACAAGATGATGATGAAGATGGTAATCTAAAATTAAGTTTGAAGTATTCAAAGTACAGATTTTTATCTCCTTTAGTAATTATACAAAAGGGGTTTTAAGCTTTCTGTTTTGAAAAAGAAATGCAACAAATATTTTTGTTTATTGGCAGAAGTTCAGTTATAAAATGACATATTAATTTTTTTTTATATGATACAAGGCACTTCCGTAAAGGTTAAATACATGAAAAATAATTTAGTTTATTCCTTTCGCTCGTGAAATGAACGATTTTTTTCAGCGGAATTAGAGGAAGATCGTATGCGCATTGAACAACTCACCGTTGGATGGGACGACCCCACTCAGGTGAATTGGGGCGAGCCAGAAACAGAAACGACTGCACCAACTTCGGAACCGGCTACTGAGGCACCAGCTGCCCCCCTTTACAAATGCACGGCTTTATATTCTTACACTGTAAGTTACAGAAAAACCTAAGATGACTAACGAGCCTCTATCCACGCAAGAATGAAGAATGATTGAATGAGTGTAAGAAGAACACATTTGGAAATTGTACAAGGAATGAATTGTTTATTTTTTTAAAGTCAATTTAAAGGATAAAGGTATATAAATGATAGCTTTATCCTCACATTATTTTAATGCATCCAGTGTTGATTTTATAGTAATATAATAGTAAAACCGTTGTTGCTAGGCCCAAAATCCAGACGAGTTATCCATAATTGAAAATGAGCAACTGGAGGTAGTAGGTGAGGGTGATGGTGACGGCTGGCTTCGGGCGCGAAATTACAGAGGTGAAGAAGGCTACGTACCGCACAACTACCTGGACATTGACAGAGAACAGGTATAAAACACTTTCGATTTTCTTTTTGGTGAAATTCTTCGATTTATCCAATCTTTCCTTTATTATAAAATTAAAATGTAAATAACAGAGACGTCGTGTAATGGTCACATGTGGAATTGAAGTAAAATTTGTTATAGATTATAAAACGCGAATTATATTAATGTTTTGTAGGGGGCCCCAAAAAAAAAAAAAAAAAAACCCCCCCCCCCCCGGGGGGGGGGGCCGGGTCCCAACCCCGGGGAAAAAAAAAACAGTGGTTCCGGGCGGGTAGGGCACAAAAGACTGACCACCAACTTGCCCGTTTAAAAGAACGGATCAGTGAAACGCACACAGAAATGCGTTCGCCCCATGCCCCACGAGGAGGCCCGCCAATGTTTTGTAGCCCATTAAAGTTTTTTCGTAGTTTCGTACCTACGCCCTTACAGAACTGTCTCATGAATAAAATACAACGTAAAAGATTTGAAATATACATAATAGTAGTTTAGAGGTAAACTCTTAAAGGAAGTATTGCTTTTAGCCATCTAGCACTCCGGGCTTGGTGACACAGATTTCCTTCTCCTCCGTTGATTACACCGTCGAGGGTGAAGACGCGGATGTAGTACAGTCACCCGACCAGATTTCCGTAATATCAGCACCAGTTGCGAAGCCCGAGGAGAAAGTGCAAGAAAAAGTTGATGAGCCACCGACTGAGTCACTGCCAACTCTAGGATACTGCTTTGCACTATACGATTATGACGCGGAGGCATCTGATGAACTCAACCTCGAGGAAGGCCAGGTGTGTCTTCGTCCTTTATTCTATTTTTAAATAAGCATATATTTTATTAAATAAATTGTCTGTATTAAAGAATTTGGTAGAATATCCGTGTCTCTCCACTTGTCAGGCTAAACATCGAATACTTAAAATTTCGTTTTGCAAATATTTTTAATTAAATGATCTAACCTTACATAATAATTATAAATATACCATGTAATAGTTACTGTATAATATTTGAAAAAAATATTTTCGATAAACGAGTAGTAACAGAATGTTTTTTAATTAAAACTTCGACTATAAATTGATAAAATTAACGACTCGGGCAGGACTTGAACCGGCATATTGCTCTAACCAATGACTACCGTGTCCTATTTGTCATCGTCGTATTTTTTCAACCAATTGCTATATGTACCTCTTGCGCAATGTACCTTGCGTGTTAAGGTTCAATGTCTTATGCTTTGCAGCTTAAGACAATCATTGAAGATTAAATTACAAAGTTTAACGTTTGAAAACTTTTACATTTTGCACATGTCATTCGATTATAAATTTAAAAAAAATACGACTCGATTTTTGGAATTTGTTCTAGATTATTCGTATCGTGTCTCGCGAAGCTCACGAAGTGGATGACGGATGGTGGCGTGGCGAAGTCAACGGTGCCATCGGAAACTTCCCGTCGCTTATCGTCGAAGAATGCGATGAAGTAAGAAACATGGAACATGTAGACTTACATCTCTGTACACCGCTTATAACTCCAAATTCCACTTCTAGAACGGCGAGCCATTAAGCGGTGCAGACGAAGACTGGACACCACCCGACTCAGCAGCACCAGTCTTCGCCTCTCCACCCGGCTCACCAGGAGGTTTCAACGATGACCGTAAGACCCTAAATTCACTCTCTTTCCTCTCTGCACTAGTCTCTCGTACCTTGACAACTTCTTTCTTCTTGTTACATTAAAAATTGTCCACGTACGAGCGACATCTGTCGGTGTCTTGCTATATATTTCTGTACGTAAAAGCAGTCACTCGTGCCGTATCGTCCGTATTACACGCCATAGTTAGCTTATTGGCTGATTGGGTAACTGGTTGTGGTTTTATTCCCAATTGGCATGGTATTATTCTAGTGTTACATTATGTATGGCACGTGTAAATCTCGATAGATATCGGTCAATTGGCGCGTTTTCACAACTTCATCATTGTTTGCCGTAAGGGCGGTTACAGATTTGTCATTATTCTATATTGATCACATTATTAAACAAACATCAAAGTTTAAATTTCAGGCGTATTAAAAAATACTCTTATAGTAAATAACAGTGTCAAAGCTTTTTCGTTTTAAACACTTACAATAACTTTAGACTTATTCCAGTTCCATAAAGAAATCTTTTAATAAAAACAATGCAATAACCAAATACGCTTCAAGTATAAAATAACTAACAAATCTCAAAGACTCGATAATTAATTATATTCTTAGAGTTCCTCCAGTTTCGTATTGATGAGACTCGACTGTACTTTGTCATTTCTAATCCAAAAATATCTGTAACCGAACTTAATGCATGAAATGCACGATGTATTATATAATAGAATAAATATACCTTTATCCTATTATTTAGGGCATTATTTGCAGTAGCAATACAAATTAAATCGTATTGATGAGGTTAATTTTAATGCTTCAAGAGGCAAAATGTGTTACCTTTCTTCTATGTGTCCTAAATATTTGTATTTACTTAACTATATACCTCGATATTTAAATAATAAAAAGTCATACATTTTTTACGAACAGCAAAAAGTTGCGTACATATCGCAATGCCTAAACATGAACATTCATAGGCCGACAGCGCATCTTAGATGTTACAGAGCTGGGGCATTCACCTTCCATCAAGTGAACCCTATGCTCGTCTGTCCTCTTCTATCATAACCAATTGGAAAGTGCTGGCTGAAATGTTTGTCCCTCCTTGGACGCTGCTAGAGGTGATCAATGAGAACAACAATGTAAAATGTGGTGCTCCACCGGCGGATCCACCTCCGCCGCCCCCGGTTGGCATGGGAGACTCCATGGACAGTCAACCAGACTTCAGCTTTAACCTAGAACTTAGTAGAAACCAGCATGATCAATATGATACCCAATTCTCACCACAACAAACCGTCGCTCCCGCTATTATCGGTAAGATCTTATTATCATTCTTCGTACCTGCTAATTATATGAGACTGCTGGAGGCAAAGTGGCCTAATAACAAATAACATAACTTTCAATAAGGAGAAAAATAAAAATGGAGAAATAAGTTAGGCGAAAATTAATTTGTATCTATAGTACGAGTAGGTATTTGTGGGAGAATTATACCAATTTTCAGTCACTGCGCTCTTGTCAACTAACATTTTTGGACCATAAAAATATAAATAACTCAAGACATACAATTGCAGCTAGGCTACTCTGCCTCTAGCGGCCTCAAATATGACTTTTACCATAATAATGGTAAAAGTCATATTTCGTGATCGTTTCATCAAAGTTAAAAGGTCAAAAATTACTGAACGGAATCTAATCCCTAATCTTGTTAAATGGAATATATTTAGAATTATATTCTTAACATATCATATACACCTTATTTTTAACAGAATTGACGTTCATAAGTGTATCTAGTTACATAATGTTTTATGATTTGATTTTAGTAGTAATGTTATAAAGTAGGTAAAAAAAACGTCTTCTAGCAATTCTTAAAACAATGCCATTCATAGTAATCCTATTCTTTCCATGCTCCAGTCGACGAGGTTCTCGGTGACAATTTTGAAGACGAGGTTTGATTTTATGCTTTAAAAATAATATTATCTGTGTGTTATTGATAACTGTGTGTTCAAACAATTTGTGCTTATTATGGCTACTCACTTTGCTTATAAGTATTCGCTTCTGTGTATTTTATCTAGTATATAAGATAATGCTTTTACGTAAATTTTAAATACGTAAGCTAAAATATTGACATCAATTTGATGACGTACGTGTATTAATATCTAAGCTTATGTATGTAATGAGAATAGCCGACTTTCAATTTCATTTGATCACTCAAAGCCGTACTAAATATCTAAATTGTAAATTAGACGACTTCGAATAAGTACTGTCCTCTTGATTGATATTACATTTTTCAGCTATAAAGCTATAATTAATAATACATTTGCTTTACTTCTAAGTAGTTAACGTGTATAATGTATAGATTCATCTCATTAGCATGATGCCTTAAGCATGCTAAATTATTGTTGTAGTGTAACTGTAGACTGTATCTTAGTCATATTTAAATAAATTCAAAACAATATTTTAAACTGAAAATGTTGATAACACAGGCGGAACTCGAATTGTCAATCTAGTCAATAATCCAATTAATCGATCCTTGAGGCCTAGTTTCAAGTCACGCCTGTATCGTCAATTTAAATCGAACATAATTTAAATTATATTGATGAAAACAAATTTACGTATCTCTAATAATTCAACCCAACGTTCAAGGGAGATAATGTGCAATAATTTTAAAAAGTATTATAATTTGGTATTAGGAAGAGGAGATACCCCCCGCCCCGCAACCGAAACCACCGCCACCCCCAAAAGTTGAACTGCCGACAGACGATTGCGGCCTTGGCGTGGCACAAATTGTGATCACTGCCGCCACGCCCATGGTAGAAGAACCAGACCAGCCCTTCCCACCCGCAGAGCCCGACCCCGAGCCCGAACCCGAACAACCCGAGCCCCAGCAAGAGGACGAACGTATTGAGGAGAACGACGACGAAGAATCCTCTCTTTCCGAACAAACGGCCGTGTGTTTACGCGACACAGATGACGGGCACGCGGATTCCGCCCCGCATCCCGCGTCCAGTTCGACAGCATCCGAGGGCGAGTCGACGGGGGCATCAGTCGCTTCCGGGCCCCCAACGGCTCCCCAGTCACCCCCCTCTGCCCCGCGAGCCGGCCGCGCTTCGATCCCCGACGAACTGGAACCCGCGCAACTAGCGAGGCTCACCGACCTCAAAGAGTCTAACGCTTAACCCTCTCGACTTTGTAGTACATTTGTAAACGTAGCGTCAGTTGCATTGGGCCGCTGGCAGGACGCCGACTGATATTATCGACATCTATTTAACTTTATTGCTTTAACTGTAAAAACTGACTGCTTCTATTCGGCTACAATAAGATCGTTTCTCACAATTATATTGTATATTATCGTTAGGTGACTTTAACATAGTGTAATGTTTTCTGTCTTTTGTACTATGCTGACTAGTGTTCACATCTTGCCGTGTTGATCTTTGTGAGGACCAGAGTTCGATTCTATTAGTGCAACAAGATGTTTTTTTTGTGTATCGTTGTGGTCTTTAGTGATGATTATCATCGTGTGGATACAAGCATGACTTAGAACCTGTGTGGTATGTGTGGGATACACAATGCTGAGGTTACTATTATTATAGGGATGATGGTGGCTAGTATATACATCGAATACTTTAACAATGACAGACTAGGCCCAGTTTAGAGTTTTCGTTTTCATGGAGCGCTTGGTAACTACCAAGGATGAATTTCTACAGCAAACAATCTCCAATCCAGATAAAATGTAGGTTCTCTCTTAACCAAGTGATTTGGTTCAATCTCAAGCCTTTGGTTTCGTGCCCATGATGTTGAAAATAATCCGCCTAATAATAGGTACCTACATATGTAAAATATTTGAAATTTAATTATAGTTAATCATAATTTTAGCTGTAATCAGTATTCATGCCATAATAGGCACTACTAGCATATTAATATAAGTCATATAGTCTTCGTTGGCTTCATTTAAAAAAACATCTTTAAATGTTACAGCCTCTCATATATTTTATTTTAGTTAGTTAGTACGTAAAGGTTAAAATTTAATTATTAATAAGAGGAAGTATTAGTTCAAAGTATACCTATATAAATATATTTGTTTTATTACTCAAAAATTAAGACGCTTTTTTATGGATTCATAAAATTCATAAGCTCTATTCAAACCTTGTATTTCGAAGTCTAAATAAATTAACGTTATCTTATTTTATATTTAAATTTAATAATCTTATAATATATAAATATTCGTGTTCTAAATGTACCAGTTCCCTCATTTCTAGACTAGAGAATCATTAAATCTTGATTTAGATTTCAGAATTCAAAGTTTACTTGTTACAAACAATCTTTGATTTTATTATAAGTACTTCAGTAAGGCTCTAAACAGCTTTAAACATTGCATTTTGGATTCTGTGAGAAGCGGTCGTGATATTAGGCGGTGTTGTATATAATTAGTCAGTAAATATGTTGTATCTTATAACCCATTTTCGATGTAACCTAGTTAAAAGCGCCCTGATTCAGTAAAGTTAAACATGTTGGTAAAGTATCTAAAATAGTTAAACCTATCCAATTTAGTCGGTATTGTTTCTAAAATCTAAGTGTCAAATTTTTTCTAATTTAGAAAATTAACTGTGCTATTATTTTAATATGCAATCCAACTGACCATCATGTTTTTAGAGCAACCATTTGTCTAGTCACAGAATCTATCTACGTCATTGAACCTTTATGCTCTACGGCCCTACAGTAACAAAGATTAATCAATGCTTAAAATGTCAATAATACCGTTGTTTACAGGACACTTTTACTTGGCAACATGTTACTTCGAGAATTAACGATGTACAGGGTGTTACTATCTTATCTCTATGAGATCTAATTAATTATATTTAATTGCATGCAATGTACGAATTACAAGAAGTAAACAAGAGATACGAAATAGCATCTTTATTGTTGTGTTTAATGCAATTTCTATAGTTTTCGAAAATAAACATTTAAGACTTATGAATGAGATAAAAGTTATTTTTGGTATGATCTCTGTTATGTATATATCTGTTACATATGTTTGTTTTGTTAGAACATTCCTGAGCATACAAATATACAAGATATCCCTATATAGGGATACATAGGGGATATATAGCTCATTTCGCTACCTTTTGTGTATATAACCCAGTGTGTATCTACCTTACTGTACTTTTACTTTGAATCTCATCATACGCGATGGGTGACGCAATTTCATACTTGTAAAAAGCTTTGATAAATTTTAATGTTGTGTATTTCCTGGATCTTCAAGTAACACCATTCTTTTGACGACATCGAGTAATGACATTTTAAAGATAAAAATTAATGTTTGCATTTAAGTAGTAATGTTTGTTAGTTGTTATTTAGATTCAATATATGTTAAAGTTAGCAAAATTCTAATGTTAGTTATGATCGTGCCAGCATTTCGTAGATAAACCGAATGAAGAATTGTCACTAGAGCAATTCATGTAACATTCCTCAATCCGCACATAAGAATGCATCAATATATTCTCTATTTCTATGCAATAAGTTAACAGGACAGTAATAGCAATAAATAAATATCTCATTAGTATGTACTTATTATAATTATATTTTACCAAACAATGAGTTTTTCAAAACTTAATTGTGTAAACAGCAAATGAATTATTTCCTCGCAAACTCAAATTTGTTGAAAGAAAAATTAATGTCCATTTTTTTACACAGTTGTTTTTAAACTAACATATTTATTTTTATTTTAGAAGACGTGTATCTACGAGGGAGCGGGAAAAATAACTAATTGTTTCTTAAAAAAAATATAAAATTATTGTCTTTCTGTCAATCTTTATTTGTTTTCTACACCAAGCTAATGAGAAATCAACTTTATTGCCGTATTTTGAGGTCGAAATGCCGGGCGATTTAGTAAAACGCTATTTGTTAAAAAAACATAGATTATATACTAACTTGGTCAGGTATAAGACGTTGCCAATACACTATACGTTAAAAGAACTGTAGTACTATGTAAATCAAGCCAGTGTATTCATAATAATACAATTTGTCTGTTCACTTACCAATTATTCGTATGTATGTTGCAATATACTTTAGTGTTTACTGTAAGTGTTGCTTTTCTTTAGACGAACCAATTAATTATTAGAACATAATATTAGCCAGAGTGCTAAGATTCTGCGAAATGAATTTATAACAAATACAGAACATATGCACTCACTCTGCGTTTTATTTTTGACTATTACTTAAATCATTTTATAGCTACATTATGTATGTGCTAGCGAATTTGACAGCATAGAACAGTTATTTTGGCTATCAAAATTTGGTTTTGCAAACCTTATCTTTATAAATTACTAGCGGCCCGTCCCGGCTTCGCACGGGTAGACATAAATAGGTACAGATATTTAAATTATAAGCATGTTAATTAAAACGACCATGAATCACTAAATTAGAAAAAAGTATTGCGCGTCCTAGCTGTTAACGACCGTTGTCCATCTCCTTGTGTCAGGAGCCGCTGCGAGCGTTCAGTGTTATTGTCCCGTGCACGCGTTCGTGAATTCCTAGCTCTATTTCCTTCAAGTCGCTGCGAGCGCTCGGCGCTTGACTATCGTTCGTATAGCTGCGACGACCTTGCATTTCGCCTGCAAGACAAACTGAACGTTCGAATCTAGATTCTCTGGCTCGCGATTGGGACGCGTACACTCTAATACTTTCCAGACGAACATTTTTAGAATAAGACTCTCCAATACGACGAAATTGTGCTAATCTCGCTTGGGAACTAATCTTAGGTATTTACTTTAAATTACAGAAATTAAGAATAAACTTAAAATAATACAAAAGTAAATATTCAAGTTCAAAGAGATAATTCCGAAAAGAACTTTGACAAATATTATGCAAAGTGTGAATCCTAATACTAAAACTACGTAGCTCTGAAAAGAACTTTTTAAGTGAACCACAAAACTGTTTAAAATAAACGAAATATTCAATGTCGGTCGCGTCCACTGCGTAAGGAGCCCACTGCCCCTTTCGTCGAGTTAGTTACTCGATGCGCGGCGTGGCGGCCGCCGGCATGTATTTTAATTTTAATTTATGATATCTTTTGAATGGCATGTCCGATTCCAATAATTAAAAACGTAATCATCAGGTAGTGAGACAGTCTTGAATATTACATTATTTATTTGGATAAGAATTTATAAATGGAACGGATAACACGGTCTGATTTTGATCGGCATTTCTATCAATTTGTTAAATGTAAAAAAGTAGTTATAGCGACGTAACTACAATAGTTAGACATATGCTCTCGCGATGTTTTTTGTAGATATTAATATATTCTATATTATTGTCGAACATTTTTTTGTCCCATCATTAATACTTTTCGCAGCGTATGCGAAGAAAGACATTTTACGGCTAATTTTTTTACGCCTTCCGTTAGTTTTAGTAAGAATTTCAATTAGTAATCAAGTACTAAATATAACCTATGTTACTCAGTGATAATGTAGCTTTGTAATGAAAAAACAATTATTCATCTGGTTTTAGGTTATCCATTACATACAAAAATACAAATCTTTCCTCTTTATAATATTAGTATAGATAGAAGATAGAGATATACTGTCGCTTAAACATTTTTATAGGTCACTTAAAGAGAAATCATTTTTGTTATACATATTTTTTTGGTTTTTGGAACCGTTATCGGTTACACGCTACGGAATACCCCCAAAGATTCCCCAGATTTCTTTTCAATTCCCACATTTTCATCGTAGTGCGAGGTTATATAGACTTTCTCGATAAATGGTGTATCTAACTTAAAAACATTTTTCAATTCGAACCAGCTGTTCCTGAGATTAGCGCGTTCTAACAAACAAACTCTTCAGCTTTATAATATTAGTATAGATGTAAATATTATTTTGTATTCGGAGACTATATTGTAAATAAAAAAATATATATTTAGTATACCATTTTATTGAAAATGCTAACCACATATTAATTGTGCGTTTATAAAAATACATTACATTTTTATTTAATTAACAGTTTTATGAAGATAAAAATATGTGTGAGGTAGCATTATAATTTGTTTTCATTTCATTAAATACCCATACATTAGTAATAAATTAATTACACTACTATACTACAATAAGCACGTTTGCTATCAAACTTATGATGACTACAGTACAGTATAATTTTAATTTGAGTTTGATTAACACACTAATACGCATTTTAATTTGTTTAACTACGGCCCGATAAGACGCTTTGCGGGACTGAAGATGGAGGGTGTCCCTAAAGTCAAAGTCAAATATGCTATGCTAGCGCCATCTGACTTTCGCGTTTTAAACCATTCAAAGGGGTACTCCTCGCATATACTACAGACAATATTTAAATTGCAGTAAAGAAGGGCTTGGTCCGCCATTAAGCTTACATTTATACGAACGTCGTTATATTCAGACAGACGTAACCATTAGTATGGTCAGTATGATACGTAGGTCAAGCATTAACTAATCTTGTTTGAAAGATTTAAGTCTTTTTCACGTTTTATTTATTGAAGCTGTTACTTTTGTATTGATTGTATATATCTCGGAACATATTCCGGCAGTTCATTTTTACCTTTAGCTTGGAACAGAGCAAAAATACGCCGGATAGTTTTCTATGCAACGAGTATATTTCCTCTGGCGGTGGGCATAATCTGTGGGTCAGAATCGTCGGCACAAGAGATTGTATGCGCTTAGTGGTGCTTTGTGAGCCAAAATCGAACCCGTCTGAATCATCCGTCGTGAACACTTCACCCATGATCATTACTGTGTCCACGTGAGTCTCTTCCATTATCTGTGACAATAATAATAATTATTTGTGCTGTGTATAATACTAGTAGTAGGAGAATATTATTAGAACAGCCTAGCTGGGTTTTTTAGATTTCCTATAATTTCATATATTTTATTTTTACATTCAATAAAACAATATCGCTTCAATAATAAGTAAATAATCGATAACGATTTTTGTAAAAGGGAAAATAATTCCCTTGAGCGTGAAAGGGACACGATAGGAAACTCACTACGTTTGAAATTTTTAATATTTCTCACATATTGAATATGATGGCGTTACATATGGTTACAATGGTCCGCTAAAGCAGGACTTTAACACGGTAGTTCAATTAGTTAGGACAGCAGCACGGAACGCTGTCTATGGTAGTTTAACGTTTAATTTATCTTTATATCGCAACGTAAAAGATAATACAAAAAATCATTGTTGTGATTAGAATGTGTGTAAATTACTGATACAAACCTTTGATTCGTAACCGGTTAGAAATTTCATTTCTCGTGACATCCTTAAAATGGCCTCGCGGTCACCCTCGGAGGCTGCGTGAATGATTTCAATGTATTGATCCATGAATTCTTTTGAATATTCGCGGGTCGCACCGAAGTCTAATAACACCACCTACACAAAAAAAAGTCTGAATTCCATATACCACCTACACACCTACCACCACCTACACAAAATTAGGTTAAAATTAATATATAGATAATATTATTATATTTTATCCGATAAAAAGTATGAACATCATAATTAGGTTTTGTCCTGGATATTAACTTGTGTTAAATTTTACCCTTTTGAAGCCGGCATAATGGTAACAAATATATGGCTAATAGTTTTGGAGAAACGGGTGAAGTGGTTAGCAAATGGCGTCAACTGATCACCCGGCGGTTTTGATCGGTGTCCCCGATAGAAAATAATAATGGCTAATAATTAACGGTAGGTGCTTTTGGCAAATATATAAATCATTTTTTGGTTTTCTCTAAAATCTGGAATGTGGTAGGAACACTGAAACTCCGACACAGACCACGCTCACAGATAAGTCATTAAGTGTACATAATTTCAAATCATATTTTGTTGAAAATTTCCAAAACCAAAATTAGTCAATAAAGCATCTTAGTTGAATACTATAGCATAACAAACCCCATGCTTACCTCTTTCTCTATGAAAAAAGAGACTACCTGTTTTGTGTTCGTATTGTAGAAAAAGTTTGCCCAATTCGGATCGGTCTGCATGCAACGCAACACGAACATTTCTCTCAAACAGAGCTGCATTATTTTGTAGGCGATGTCCAGTCGGGTATCAAGGCCTGCGTTGAATAGTTTATCTATAGGCTGCCCCTCTATCAGCTCTGTGGTCATAACTTCCGGGGCGCAGAGATCATCTGCAAGATGAGGCTTTATAATTTTAATATAAAGATCTCTGATACAAACAACAGTTTATAAATTATGTATCTTTGCCTTTTAAAAAAGCACTACCGACACTTTTACACAGATGAATGCAAAACTTGGTATATAAAGAATGTAATGAGTCACATTTTATAACTCAAACCATAAAAATTCACTGTATTAATTATGTTAATTATACGCGTACATATTAAAGAATAGAACGTACTAAATTTGCAAAATTACATAAAGAAAGTTTTAAATAATATTACCTACGGCTTTTTCTCGAATGATTTCCGAATACATGTTTACAATACATATTTCGCGACACCTCTATAATAATAATAATAGAATGAAAACTGATTAATAAATGAAAAATGCTTGGAACAATCAAGAGGTATAGTTTATATACGTGAACTCTGTAAAATATAACTTGCCTATAAAGGGAGTGGCGGCAAGTTTCCTGACAGTTCTCCTCGTTCGTTCTACGCCCTTGATTTAAGAACCGGTAGTAAATGTAAAGTTAGTCTTAGTTTTTAACTGTGTGTGACGTTCATAAGTGTACCTAGTTACCTACGTGAATAAATGATTTTTGACTTGACTTAACCTGATGAGATGTATACAAAAGTTCTCACCGATTACTTCCGGGACATAGTATTCGGGGAATGGAGCGAGTAACTTCTTAAACTTTCTAGTGCATTCTGCTTCGCGAATGTAATCCACCTCCCAAGCCAACTCTTTCTTCGCAACTTCCACTATATTGTCTATAAACATGCCTTTGGGAAATAGATTCCAAACCTGCAACATTGTATGCAGTAAAATAGATAATTTCAATTGAAACCGAAGTTTTAGATTACTTTGACATTGCATTTATGTTGTGTGCCTGTTTTTTATTATATGCAAAACTATACTAACTTCCAAAATAGGTCTTTCAAGGTACTTATTACAATTAAGAACAGAATATACTACTTTTCCTAACATTTGTATAAATCTAACCTTAAGTACTCCAACAAGATTGTCAATATCGCTGTTAATTCCTTTAGCTACTCCGGGATATTGAACTTTCATTGCCACTTCCTGTCCATTGTGTAATATCGCCAAATGGACCTGCCCTATTAAAACAGAATTTAAAAAAAATAGTATTAAGCTTTTTAAAATCAGAAAATTTTTATAAATATTTTTGGTCCGCCTTTGGAGATCAACCCGAATCTAACAGCGAAAGTAACACTTTACTAGCTTTAGTCCAGACGTCTCACCGGAATTATTGTTTTGGGCGTAAAATACTGCAGTTGTTTTTTAACTTAGTTATTGAAATCATTCAAACCTATGGATGCTGCAGCAAATGGTTTCTCCTCGAAATATTGTACTCGGCTTCGCCAATCCGGGCCAAGCTGAGATGACATGACTTTCTCCACTTGCCATGTTGGCATAAAGTCAGCAGACTGGCGGACACGTTCGAATATACGCTGCAAGTCTGATGGTATCATAGACTCATCTTGAATACTGAGGAGTTGGCCAAGTTTCAATGCAGCACCTGTTACAAGAAGAATATTACAACATACATTATGTAATCAAGGCAATTTATTTCCTTTTACAATATAAAAGCATTTCATATATTTTATATTAGAAATTGTGATTTAACTTAGAAGTTATACTTAATAAAAAATCTAGAAATATTTTCCAACAAAATAAATCTGCAGTCCAGTTGTGATCATATAAGATGTTAATAAGCCATAAACTAGGTTTGGAATGTAATAACACATTGAAAGAAATTATTTTTTGTTTGTAAATAAAATAACTGTTACATACCTCTGACTTTACACAGTGTATCAACAATTCTTTCCGCATTGGCTGGAGAGAGGAAAGCATTGCTGGTATCTTCTGTCTTTCCTGTCACTGATTGGATTCTATTCCTAGCATATTGAGCAACAGTCCCTACACCCAAGCCGGCCGCTAATGAACCAAATGAAATCATACGACCGATACGGGATGAGGGCACCACCCGAGCCTTTGAATTTTCACTTAACTGAAAATAACCGGAGACACGAAACAAAATTAAATTTTCTTTGATGCAAAATATATGTTAATTTTATTTAGCTAATCTAAGAGTCTTAATCCCATCATAAAATTATTTGAATAAAACTAGCCAAAACTACCCTTTTAAAAAGAAAATTTTAAAGGAATGAAAACTTTGGTACATATCTACGACACCATTTGGCTTCTTGTACACTAAAAATGTACGCTACAAACAACAAATTTGAATGAATATCCTTTGAGTACAAATACATTACTTTTATTTAATTGTATAATATGAAGAAAAGAGATGAAATTATAAATACAATAATTAAACTATCAAGTGTAAATAAATACCTACAGCAACTTTGACCTTCTTTCTTGCTACTGGTTTTGATATACTACTTTGTTCTACATATGGTGGTTTACTAATCTGTCCTATATGAGTTGCAACCATATCCGCTGACTCTGAAGGAATTGAATCCAGTACCTTCGGCATTTCAATGGATTTCACTTTTAACCGTTCTGCTTGCATCTTTAGTTTCTCCAGAGGAACTGTGATATTTTCAGATAAAATTTCTGATTTTCTTTCGGTTTGGGATTTCTTCAAACTCTCAAATGTCTTATCAAACTCTCTATTTAGTTGTTCAATTTCATCTTGCAGTTGAGTATCCATTGTCTTTTTTTCAACACTGTGACTAAAATTGGGCACCTGCATTAAAGCATACTGTCTTATACCATGAATAACAACCAAGACTCTCTCAAGAATATCCTTAGGTATGTCCGGATTCAATTTGCTTTTGGCTGAGTTAGATGCACAGTTTTGAATTAGCGGCTTAAAGCTTGAGTTATTCCATATTAATTTAGTGTTTTCTTGTTGTAATTTAACACCTGCTTCAACAACTTGTCGAAGGCCTCTTAATATACCGATAAATTCGTTAATGTGAGACATGTTCTGAAAGTTAAGTGCAAAGTAAATTGGTATTTTATATAAGATTATGAAAAAAACCCAAGGTTACTTGTTATGATTTAAGAATCCCATTGCATAATGATTTTGAAATATTGCAAAATTAAAGTCTGGTGCCCTAATATGGTAGAATGTTACAATAGTATGCATATTAGTTTTTTAATTTTTAAAATAACACTAAAAAGTTAGTTAAAACTAGCCGAACGTAAGGTTAAGCCGTTAAGCGTTTACTTTTAGTAAATGTATATTAATGAAATGTCAACAATTGGAGTATCCAATAATTGTTCGCACCTTTTGCTATTCTGTGTGTTTTGATCCAACTGAAATTATATGTCCATTAAATAAATAAATACAAGTATTTATTATTATTTCATAGATTTTTGATGGCACAGATGGTAACTATTGATGGCACCTAATGAGGTGCACAGATGTGGTTGTGGGCGGATGTCACAGATGTGGTTGTGGGCGGATGTCACAGATGTACCCGTATAAGTATGTTGACATCTAGACACAGAGTAAATAAGGACCGATGTTACAGAAGATGAGTAAAAAATAATATTATTTTACAAACTACATATCACTTATGAGGTGTCCAAATTTTTTTCGGGTAATTTATTCTCTACTACATCTTTGGACGGACATAATATTTATAGTACGTTTCCTACTCGCTCCTATATATTTATATATATACTAGTGGTAGCTATATTCTTCGGAGTAAGCTCAGACTTCTCTGTCGATTCATAAAATACTATACGATACCTTCAATATAACGTTATATGTTTGAACTAGTTGTGCCCGCGACTTCGTCTGCATAGAATTTTTGGGACAAGAAGGAGAAGTTTTGTGCACCAAAATTCGTTTTTGTAAATCTCTCATTGCTCATCTCAATAAATTATACCTGTTACCCACGACATCGCCCGGGTCCTTCTTACTAGGTTATCTTAAAAGATAGACATATACTGCCGCCGCTATTTTTTTAGATCATTTAAAGAGGAATCATAATTTCATACAAAATTTTCATAATACGTGTTTTTTAATTATTTCTCAGTTTCTACCTAGGTCGCAGCGTCATTTTCCATAGCCTAAAGCCTTTCTTGATAAATGGTCTAACTCTTCAGCTTTATAATATTAGTATAGATTAATATAAGTATTACTTTTGTGTATGTATTCAAATAAAATATTATAAAAGATCGATTTCGTATGTTATTCCGTAGCGCCAAAATAGGTATAGAACAATAATACTTTGTATGCACCTCTACGTTCAGGGTAAAAAAGAAACACCCCTAAAGCTGCATTATTAAATATTTATTGTTGTATTTAAAAGCTAACAAATAGGTTCGCTAAGTCTTGAAATACAATAAAAAATTAAAATGTTAAACCTTTATTTCCATATAATAATAACATACATAATAAATTTAATAGTGCAAGTGACACTATTTAAGTTCAAAGCTGCATAATAATTGTATAGACATTCATAGCTAAAAAGATAATTTGATTTTACACAAAGTGTTAACATAATTTAGTATCCACTAGCCGCTTATCTAACACAGTACATTTTATTTTGATCCATACGCAAGATAGATAAAAAATTGCACAAAAGTTTTCAGTGGAATTTACATATAATACATACGGTAATCTATGTGTACTATAATTATATATTAATCCATTAATAGGAATGGCTGTCTGAATCATATAAAAATACAGTCCCAGTTAACTGTCCCATGATGTTTGGAATTCAAACAGGTAATACAAATATACACTATGTCACAAAGTACAAGGGACTTGTTTTAAATAATTATGTCCTAGTCACAGACCATCACCGCAATTTCACTCGTCACTATCCTGATTGTCTCTACGCAGTTTCCCGAAGTTGTATATACTCACGGAGATGCTATGACTCTCAGAAATGTGTATTATGAGCTAGTTCTTCAAATGTACATTTTTCATAATATCAGCGAACTTGCTGGGAGGCAGAGGTGCGCAATGCATTGATTGTAAATCTGTCATGTGTTTAATAATCTGGAACATCATTAGACGGTTTAAATCACTTTTCCGATACTACTAACGGCTTAGAAAATATTGGAATTTTTTTACTACTTTTGGTATTGAACATTGTTTATGCTCATTGTCTTTTCTGTTTCTTCAATATTGCGTCTTTCGTGAAACACAACACGCACAGTTTTATAACTTGTGTGTGTGAAATCATATCATATTTTTTGTGTTCGTTTTTTAACAGGTAAGTAGTTCAGACTTATGTGCCCTGCCCAACCGAAACATTTTTTTTGTTTTCCTTGGATTCGAACCGAGGACCTCCCGCGCTTAACGCAATGCTAGGCAATACGCTTAACCATTTGGTTACAGAAGCGGTCTTTATAACTTACCCCAAACAAATTTTAATCAGCCAAGTATGTAGACAGAAACAGGGTTTTGTATGTAGTAATGTATGTGTAAGACGGAAACAATTGATGGCTTTCATGGCTAAGGCGATTTAACTAAGGCTAATTAAAACATGAAAAAGCTATTTAGAAATGCGTCGAAAATTAGTTGACTCTTTTATATAAGAAAATGTATATACCAAATCCAGACCACGTCGATTGACTTCTGTCAATTTCTCCGTATCAATCGCCGCGCGCTGGTTCTCAGTCATTCCAACAAAACTGACTACAGCCGCTTCTAAATCCGCGTCTTCGTTGAACCATGGGGGATAACGAGATTTCAACAACGAAAGAAGGAGATCATTAGCGCGGTTTGTGACCAGCTGTCCTTGTCTACAAATAAGGATAAACATTAAAAGAAATCCATTATTAGTAAGAATATTTATGATCACAGTGGTATTATAATTCTAATAAAAGACTGGTTAAACGCCATTTCAAGACAAAAATTTGAGTTCTGGAGACACAAATTAATTTCATGTATCAAGTCTTCCCGGGTATTCAAAGTCATGTGTATACCTTAGGCATATTACTTCGTCTTCTGTGCGTCGCACTAGTTGCACCGGCCCCTTGTATTGAAGTAACAATTCAGCTATATTCAAGTCGACGTAGGAACGAACGACTTCTTTAACAAGTAAGGACCACGATTTCGGCATTTGATTTTGAGCAAGAGGCAAAAGGTCGTCGAAAGTAGCATCCAAGATCTGTAGACAATAAAGTTTGTTTATGATAAAGGAGTACCCCTACATACACTTCATGGTAGGTGATATACCCCAGCCTATAGCATCTAGCCAAGATGCGCTGTCGGTCTGTTTTGGCTTTATATATTCGGAAATCGTGGTGGATGGTGGTTCGTGACCCGAATGGTATTTCTATATTCCTACCACCCATTTAATATCCAGATTTTCAGACGAAGTCCACCATGTTTCAAAAAAACTGTAAACATAATGGACCTGGTGGGGTTCGAACCCACGACCCTTTGATCATTAGGCAAACATTTTACCGACCATATGCAGGTGAATGGTTGGACCAATATGCGGAATAATGGACATCTGAGTGTGGTTTAATCAGGATTCCTATAGGTATGTCAAACTTAAGTATGATATGATGTACTTACTAAAGCATTGATTTCAGGATAGCTAGCGGCTGCCCACACGGCTGTATATCCCCCAATACTCCAGCCATATAAGACTATGTTTTCAATTGGGAATTTCAATTCTTCAATGGCATATTGCATCACGGCATTGATTGAATTCTGCTCTTGCTTAGGAAAAGGTATGCCCTATAATAATTTCAACATTTTAATATAACAAAAAAAGATGATTATTTGTATTTTTTAAATAATTTTAAGGTATCAGTAGATGTAAGAGAATAATTATTGATTTCAAAATATACTACACTAGCTGTGTCAGGGACTGCGTCCGCGAAGAAAACTGATTTTGGGCATTGAAATTTGTTTTTTCAAACCCCCTTTTCATATTTATAAATTTAAGCCATTTCCCACGACGTCAAACGCTTCCCGTCGCTCTTGCAAGTTAATCCTAAAAGATAGACTTATTATAAGGTCGCGAACTTTTTTTAGATCATTTAAAGAGAAATCAATCTTTCGTACATATTGTTTGGGTACCTTGAACCGTTTTCGCAGCGTATGCGTCGGAAACCCACAAAGATGAATCATTTTCCCCGTTTTTTCCACATTTCCCGATGTTTCTTCAGTCATATAGGTCACAGCACGATGTTTTATAGCCTATACCTTCCTCAATAAATACTCTAACCAACCCAAAAATAAGTTTTCAATTCGAACTAGTAGATCCTGCACTTTTAAACAAAAAACTCTTCAACGTTATATATTAGGATAGATATACTTGTACTCACGGTGCTGCCTGCAAATCCAGGATGGTTCCAACCAAGGGCAGAGAATCCAGCCTTTACTGGAGTCGTTATAATTCCAATTTCGTAAAATCCAGAGTTGCCCTCGCAACATATTACTAATATGTTTCCATTTGAATGAGCACGATTATCAATGAACACAGTATCGATAGTGTTAGAATCAGATGTGAGAATTTTTGCTCTCTTGCCATGATAACTTTCAATAAGTTGCGTTCTACCCTCAATTAGGGTATTCCCTAAATTAGACATAATATGCAATTTGAAAATTAAAGGGATTCTATATTACAATAGTCAGATTATGAATACAAATGTTATCTTCTGCAAAGATATCATCACAAAACACTTACAGAGAAAATTTCTAATAAGTCCAAGTGTACCGGGATAGATTATTCGCAAGCCAAACGTGTGCACTGCAATATAGGCTAATATTTGAAGAGGCATTCTTTGGTACATTGGTAAATCCTCATTAGCACACTTTTTGAAAGAAATGTTTTCGAACCAAGGCTTGCTGAAAAAATATAATTTAATAATTCCATAATTGATTAATTTTAGAACTCTTCTTTTATTTATAAAAATATAGACCTTGGAGTCGCAGGCATCGCAAAACCCACGGGCCATGCTGAGAAATCAAAATCATATTTCCTAATGGAATTTAGAAAATCCTTGTCTGTCTTTGGCCGATTGATGGCATGTAAGAAATCTGTATAATCAGAATTCATTGCTCTCCCCACTGCCCGTAATAGCAGAGAGCATACAATAAAACAACCCACTCCACAAAAGAATTTACTCAAAAACAATGCTTCATCCCAAGAAAAGAAACCTCTTCTATAAATATATGTGCAAATAAATGGTGATGTGTAACTGACAACAGTAAGGAAATTCTGTGCCTGAAAAAAAACCTCTTATAAGTTATATTTGTATTATTAATAATTATTCTAAACCAAGACAATATTATGAGGTATTTAAATGTATGAATGGTTAAATTTTATGAGTACAAAACCTTTTTGTGCTGGCAGACACAATGCAAGAGCACAATGTTATTAACTCATTTAAAAACACATAATAATATACATAATTATTTTTACAGGCAAGTAGGTTTGCTTTCTGTGCCCAAACAAATTTAAAATTATTTAATGTAATGTAATACAGATAGAATACATAATAATGTTTTATGAGAACTTACAGTTGCAATTATTTTATCTCCAATCTTTTCTAAGCGTTTTGGTTGATATAAAGCCTGTAATAATAAAATAAAGTAAGTTGTACAGTAAGAGAAACCTTAATAACTTAAAAACGTGAACTGCATTGGATGAAGTGCCCATCAAGATGAAATCATAACATTGTTTATTTTTTGTAAAGGTACATTTCAGATACAAACTAGTATTTAAAATGAAGTCAAAGGTAGTATGACCACCTCTATCACAACGATATACATGTAAACTGATAAAATTTTTACTCTTTCTTTCAGTTTCAGACACTAGCAGGAAGTTAGTACTAAAGAACAGAGCTCATGCTTATGGAAATAAGATGTTTGATGATTTGTTTACACCTAAAGGCACCTGTTCCGCAAGATCGCCTCAGTTTATCTAATATTATCATGTAATCATAAATAATACCTACATCTTTCTCACTGACCCCATAAATTTTGTAAAGCCGAGGAGAGAACAAACATTGCCACATTAATTTAAACATTTTAAAAAAATATTTTGACGTAGAATGTCTCACTTTTATAGTGATTATAGTCAAATAACTAATAATTACGTTAAACACTATAGTGCGCGGAGTCTATATTTTTATTGATAAAATAGTGTTTTTAAATATAGGCACCTAAATCCAAACTAAATTAACCTATGCCTAATCACTAGCCTAATGTACATTTTCTATAATCAGCCAATAGGCAATGATCTAAGGGCAATTTTACATACAGCTGATGTGACGTGTCGTGATTGCAAACAATATGTTTTATGTGTATTCTGACTTGGCAAAAGATAACAACAAATATGGTCGATATCAAACCATAACGATAGAGTGATGCCCTATTATAGAGTGTAGTCATTGCAACAGCTGAAGGGTTAAAGAAATATCCATTATATATGATAGTGTGTCTTTTTGAAGATCCTTAAAATTATGACAGTTGTTCTAATAGATTAATCTTTAAAATCGTCATTCAATGTTAATTAAATTGGCCATATTTAAAACTGATCCAGTAAAATAAAAAATAACATGTGACTCTGTCACGTCACAACACAAACTAGCGCGTGTACATTTGGCTGACGCGTAATGGCGTCGCAAGTCGCTAGTGCCCACCCCTCCGCAGTGACACAATTCTATTGTATTATTTGGGTCACAGAACACGACAGAAACGGTCATAACAAACACGTCAAACTTGTGAGCACGCTTTCATACTAAATATAATATTAATATTGGACCACTTCACATCAGCCCAATGTAAATCTGCCTTTACATGAGCAAGCTTTTAAGAATAAGCAACAATATTGTACTAGACATTAGACCTTATATTTTACTTATGTTTACGACATAAATGGATTAAAGAAAAGGTTTCTACTGGCAATACATTTTAAAAGTAGAAACTATTAAGTAAAAAATATTGTACGGCCGACGTAATTTTGCAAGTCTGAACTTCGTGCGAAACGCTTCGTGCAGAAATATTCCTTAAGATATTAACGGCGGTAAGAGCGATGTACGCGGGACAGAGATCTAAGCTAAAAATTGGCTCAATGGCAACACAATTGACCGTTTATTCTATCACATTTCGTAATCGATTTAGATTATGGATTTTTAATTCTATGAGAAATTATAGTAAATGGATTTGTGAACACAGTGAATGGTGTTGTTAATAAACGATACCATTATTAATTTTATAGAAAAATAAAATCATTATTAACTTGTTTTTCTTTATTGAACGACGCGATTCAGTTAAATATGAATAATTATTTATATACCTACTTTTTTTACAACTTTCTACCTTCTTTAAAGCTTTTTATACAAATATATTTCAACGATCCAATTTTGTCTATTTCAATTCCGATTAAGCGACACTCTCAAGGAACGCGTATGGACATCTCTATTTGGTTATTTCGTAAAGCTTCGTATATATTCGGTAATGTTCGGTAAACAGTAGTGTGTCTCGGTCACTTCTTGGCGTTAATTTCGTCATCTATCAAATCAAGTCATTTCGTCATCAAATTTAATACTAATATATTTCTTTAGACTTTCCAAGTTACCTCGACCGTATTTTAAATAATAAATGAGACTACAAATTTTGTTATTCTTGAGAGAAAATTGAATAAGTATATAGTAATTTTTAATCAAGGTTCATATTAAAAATACAAGTATTGTGTAATAATATCATAATATTTATTGATCATCAATATAATTTATTTATATATAAATTTAATAAATAATTGTATAAATACATTCGATATTGTTACTTGATTTACGTAGGTTAATCGAAATTCAATCATAGTGTACGATTCTTTTCTAGAAAACCATGACAAAATTTATTTATCTTTTTAGTCTATGGTCAAACGTTGTCAACACTGACGTGCTCTGTGTTCAGTGGTTGCTCATAATATAGTGCTTAGTGGTTTGTGGAAGTGATTTGTGGTGGGAGTTGGCAACACTTAACAAGAATTATCGTGCTAAATTTCGGTGACAATAAGCACATTTACTTGGTGGTATGCAATCAAATGCGAATTAAAATATTAATTTGTGTATGCTAAGAGAGCAGCAAGTAAGAATTTTCTGAATAAAATATCACTTAGTAAGTTATTTGATATTAAATAGCATCTCTGTATATCATTTACAAGACGCCATATTGTGTCACGTTTTTCACATTCAAAGGTATTAAATTGTTGCGTAAATTTACCAGTGATATAGTATGAGTTCAGACAGAAATGAAAATGAAGAGGAGCCGTCGTCGCCTGAATATGAGGTATTTTTCTACTTCCGCTTTTAGTGTATTATTTTCAGTTGCATTCCACGTGGTATTAAATTAACGTTTTTGTATTTGGTTTAGTTTTATATAGCGATTGTTTTATGGTGAAGCTTTCGTACAATATTAATTAAAAAGTTGTTCTTACACTCCGGGAGGCACTGAAAACAGGCGTTTTAATGCGACTCTTTAGGTGGTGATGCACAAGCGATTGCATCCTCGTACTTCACAGGCACTCTTTGTTCCGATTGATCTTTCAACGTATATTTTACAATGACTAAATGTACATTTTAATGCAATTGTATATGTGCCATAAAATATAAATGGTTTATTTGAATTTGATAGACCGGATAGTTCTGTCGAAGATTGCTCTTAAATTACTTCAAACGAACTCAGCATTTTATTCCTTAAAGCTATTGTACCTACTTAATAAAGTCCGCGAAACGAACCATGGCTTGTCATTTATTGTCTACTTTTTGTGCTTTGATTTAGAGATGTACCTTCGAAATGTTGGAAAAATATGTCATTCTTATGTTGCAGCAACACAAGCCGCTAGCTGCTAGTGCTCAGTCTGGTTTATAGTACCTCTCTTTATTACAAACATAAAATGAAACAATTTCCGCTTACTACTTATAATGTCAAAATCAAAATAAAAAGTAAAAGTAACTGTTCTCAAAACTCAAGAACTGAACTTTTTGATTGATTTACTATACTTTCAGGATACTGTCTATAGTTTTCGCGGGTAGTACACATTTAGATAAAACACTTTAACGGTTTAAAACGCGATATATTACTTAAACTTATTTTAAAATGATTTTTAACTTCGGCCCGACGTTTCAGATGCTTTGCATCAGCCATAACCACAGCTGCTGCAAAGCATTGCTGAAAATAATTTTCAAATAAGTTTAACTAATATATCGCGTTTTAAACTGTTAAAGTGTTTTATTTCAAAGATTAGTATTTGTTTAAATTTATACAAACCAATATAAGATGTTGATATTAAGTGGAAAAAAACAAATATTCTGATTTATGATGAGTTTAGCTTAGGTTAGGAGTTTAGTTTAGTCATTTCAATAAATATCCAAATTTTATTTTTATTCATGTGGGATTTATTCTATTGAAGTCTTTAGTAATATTAGAAATTATTTTCAGCATCAAATACATAAGTTTTATTGTCATTTATCCTGCTCTTACAAACTTTATGATATGAACCAATTATTTCTTATTTTAGCAGTCATTTGTCAAGCGGATGACTAATATATTACCTTCAACTATTACTAAGTGGTTTGTAAATAGTAGTTCTTGTATCAAAAGATCAGCAAAACGATCAATGAATATAGAAGATAATAATAGTGTATTAGATAGTAGCAGATTAGGTGATGAGACGCCAGCAGCAAAAAAAATGAAACTTACTCCCATGTCATTAAACAATAGCTTCCCAAAAATGGTAAGTCTGCCATATTAGAAGTTTGTATAGTATGGTCACTATTGAATTTTAATATTACTTCAAAATTTTCAGGCTTCATCTAGTACTAATACAGATATTACGAGCACAGTTATCACCCAACCACAAAAGAGAAATTCAATATCCAAGAGAGATATGAATCCATCAACATTTGAATCTGAACCTGACGAGCTCGGAGAATTTAATTCTGAAATAGTATCAAAAGTAGTGCATTTTTTAAATAATGCCTTGTCATCAGGAGACAACTCTGTGACAAGAACGCGCAAATCTTTATTTGATAACAGCGAGATAGATGGTAAATAAAAATAAGATGTTTTATTCCATGTTCTTAATAGTTTAGTATTAAGAAATCATATTACTTATCATACCTTACATTTTTACAAAATGTTACGCAGGACGGAAGACAGAAAACTCTAACATGCCATCATATGGGTCAACATTCTACTCTGGAAAAACTGTGTATGGTGGAGCAGCAAGCAACACCCATGTTGTAAGTCCTCAAATAAATGAAGAGAAAACTGCTAGTAATAAAGTTGAAAGTTCAGAAAGTCTCACTAAGAGTATATCTGCCAAAAAAATAATGGATATGTTAGAAAACTATTCATCTCCATTAAGTGAAGCTAAAAGAATATCCCAATATGTAAATAGAGATAAAAGTTTAACACCAAATACAATAAAGCAGTCTGAAAATTGTAAGTATCACATTTTAATTAATTATTCTATAACCTTTGTCTTTATGTTGTTTTGCATGTTTTTATAATGACTTATTACATTTTAGCTTTCAAAACCCAGGAGCTTTATGTGCCCCACTATGCTAGTATTCTGAGCACAAAACGAAAGTCCCGTTTCATGGATACCACCAATACAGCAAGACAGTTGACAGCATCGCACAGTAGTACTTCAAAACCATCACGCAACAAATTATCAAAGTAAGAAATATATTATGTAGTTATATAAGTAATATAAAAAAAAAAAAAATAGACAATTGCGATTGCTGAAAATTTATATTTTGTTGTAACAATTGAAACGTAGAAAAAATAACCTGATTTTGTTCCAGTGCTAATGGGGAAACATATAACAAATCAGTTAAACAAATGAAACAGAAGATTGTCGTACCCGATCCACTACCAGTGAACTTAACAGCAGCTTTAGAAATAAATAGTGACAAATTGCCAAACTTTACAACATTTATTAAGAGTTCTGGTGTACCCAATAACACTCCAGCTTATGAATCTAAAAATACAGCTGACACAACTGACTCTTTGAAAATTGATGAGCGATCCAACTCTAAAAATAGTCATGTTGACTTAGAAAAGCCAGCACATGTCTTCAGTATAAATAAAAAAATTCCGGAATTTTCTTTCACTAATCCAGAAAAATGTGTTGAAAAAGTTGTAAAAGATGCTATAAAATTTTCTAAAAGTAATGCTATGGGACAGGAAAATGAAACTAAAGAAAATAATTCCACAATGTTTGATGGAAAGCAGCTTGAGGATAATTCTAAGATACATCTAAGTACTACTTATGAAATTACACAAAAAAGGCAACAAGAAAATCAGGAGGTTAATGAAAAATCTATGGTGTTAGAAACACAAAAACCTGATAAAACTTGGAATTGTGATATTTGTTGGTTTGTGAACAACAGCATGGCGAAGCAATGTATTGCATGTGCTACTGTTCCAACCACAGAATCTGTTAGTAAGGAATCAGAAAAGCAAGCTACTACTAATTTTATGAATAAAGATAATTTACTTTCAAAAATAACTAAAGCTCAAACAGAGAAATGGACATGTCCAATTTGTCTGGTTCATAACAGTAATGACAAGAGCAGATGTGTCTGTTGTGCTGCAGAAAAAATAAGTAATAAAGTGCCAGCGAAATTTAACTTTGGTACTTCCAATACAACTTTTAAATTTGGTATTGATCTAAAGGTCAATAAAGATAAGAAAACTATTCAAGAAACTAATAATACCGTGTCACCTCAACCATCTTTAAGCATACTAGAGACAATACCAAAAACATGTACAGATGTATTTAGTAATAAAGTTGCTGAACCAGAGACAAGTATGCCTTTAACACCACAGTCAATGGTTTTTACATACAATGTTTGTGAAGCCATTCAATTGCCTACTAAATCTACAATGGTTGAGAATACAGCAACTACAATTAAAGCAACTGTCACAGAAGCTCCCACTTTTAATGCACCACAATCTGAAAATAAGGATAGCCAAAAAGAAACGAATTTCCCAGTTACAAACTTTTTCAAAAGTATAGAATCTTCTAATACATTTCAAAAATGTAGTGATACTATTTCTAAGCCCTTGTTTGGAAATTTCCAGTTACCTTCTAGTACGCCACTTTTTACTTCTAGTACTCATCAGGGTTTTTTGAACTCCGAAAATCAGATCTCTTTAATTACTGCATCAAGAACTCTATTTCCTGAAACAAGCTCAGAATCAACCACTGTATATTCGGATTATCGGCTGTCTGAAAAAGTTGAAACTACAACTCCAAAAGTGACACTTTCTATTCCACGCTTTAGCTTTGGTTTGGCAAATACGCAGATTACTACGGCGACTTCGACTAAACCGTCATTCAACTTGACCTTTGTGTCTAGTAATAAAACTAGCACACCCAATGTTTTTAATAACACCTTCACTATACCAGTTCCAGACAAAATATCGAGCAATTTTGCAGCACCCCCTGTGCCAATTGTATCAGAAACACTGAGACCAATGTCCAATATCTTGCCGACCAGTATGACTAATACAGCCATGTTAGGTGGAAATGGGCTTTCTGGAAACACATTTGTAAATGATAACCCACAAAACAATTCAGGAAGTAACTTATCTAATACCACTGCACAGCAGACAAGTTCTCCAGGATTATTTGGAATACAAAATGAGAACAATGCTACTAATACCAATACCAATACCAATACCAATGCCAATGCCAATGCCATTCCTAATGGGCAAGAGACTTCAGAATTTTTTTTGGGCAGCAACATGCCGGCTAGTGTCTATAATAATAATGTTGGCGTTTCTACATTTGGTAACCACGGTCAAGAAACTGGAGTTTTTGGCATGTCCATTCAGTTTACAGATAACGCATTTTCAAATTCCATACCAAATTCTTCCTTCCCGGTTATATTTGGAAATTCCCTAGCAAATAGTACTATTGCTCCTGCGACATCAATGTTTCAACAACCAAGTGATAGTCAAATCGCTGGTGGCTTCGGAGCGCCTTCACCGTTCGACACAAATGTGAACCGATCCGTTTCACAGCCATCATTAAACTTAAGCAACGGACAATCGTCGAGGGGGGTATTTGGATTCACACAGGTAATCCAATTTAAATGTTATAACTGAAAGCTTGATTTCCTTAAATTACGAAATTATTCTGTCCACTGTAGAAAAGCTAATTCTAGTAATCGTGATTTTCTCACAAGGTTTACATTGACTACAGTTTGACACTGGATTATATATTAAAGTAATGTTACCTCAAATTCACTTAGTAAAAAAAAAACATTTCATGCCAAAATTCAAAAAAATACACTACTACACTACCACAACAAATATGGCCGATTTCAAACCATATAGATTTAGTGATGCTCTTTTATAGAGTGTAGTTCACAAATGACATAGGATTAAAGAAATATCAATTATATATGGACCAAACGCACTCAACATTCAAATCACCTCTCAAGTTTATTGAGTTTGTTTTGTAGAAGTCGGTGATTTTTATGTTATTTTTAGAGAAATCCCAGAGGATAAAGGAGTAGTGGTGGCAAGGCTATATAAGCGCGTGTGCGCATCATTTCGACGGAGGTTTTGTGATTTAATTTAATGTAGAAATAGAACCAGTTAGTAATTATAATTAAATGAAAAAAAGGTAGTTCATTAGTTTAATATACAATCCAGTGTCTCGAAATGTATTCAGTTTCATCTTATGAGAAAATCACGATTTCATGTAAATCGTGTGTTTGTTTACCAAATATGCCAACTCAGAAAAAATACACTATAAATATTGATCACGTATCTCAAATTCCGAGATGTACTAACTCATATTATTATTTGCATATCTTGTCTAAGATGTAGATGTAAGAATGAGCGTTCATTTTTGCAGCCTGCTCAACAGCAGCCCCAGCCGGTTGGAGTGTATGGGTTCACTGGAGCGCCAGTACCGCAGGTTCAGTTCAAAGTTGGAAGCGCACCAAACACAACTGCGCGTCGGATGAGAAAGGCTGTCCGAAGAACGACGCAACGCTGAACATTTTAGGATAATTAAAATTAAACGTTTACGTAAATTATTTTTCAAAATTATTTTCTGTACTGGTCGTTTATGAAAATTCCTACCTGTCGAAATAAAAATTGGAAGTTTTCAAATTCCCGCGCATACTTGAGAAAAGGCAATCAATCTCTCTATTGCCGGCCGCTGTAGTAATGTACTTTTAATCTATTGATCATAAGTTAAACGTATTTTTAACCCGCAACTTAAAATGTTTCGCATCGGTCGTGAAAATCCTCTTGAGTTACACTTCTTTTACAAATCACACGTTAATCTAAAATTACTCCGCAAATATAATATGAATTGTATGTATATAGTTGGATACCATGTAATTGTTCATTAAGCCTTAATTTTTCAGGTCACCAAATATAAAAAGGTATCCAAAATTAAAAAGATTGAATTAAACGAGGTGTCAATAAGGGTGTCATTTAGCAATTTGTAGATAAAAAATATTAAATAGCAAAAAACAGGTCTTTCAGGCGTTTTCGAGCGCTTCATTATTATAAAAGCGAATCATTTGAACAATTTGAAATTGGACTAATTAATAATTCACAAATCTATACACGTTAAAGAACGGCCTCTAACGAAGCCTTATAAGGGTCATGGAACAATCGGGGGCGGGAATAAATAAGTTTTACTGTATTTTAATCTTATGATCAACAAGCAGAATATTTTTTTGACTTTTACCATTATGTCTCGCGTTTTTATCATCATATTATGACACATTGATGAAATTGTTGTAATCATTATTAACAAAATTATATATTATTATATTTTTCTCAAACATGCTTGGAAGTTTGAGCATTATTTTAATTTGCTATACTGCGACCAGTATCTTATACTACGGCGGCCGTAAATGTGTAAAATTCTATATTTGTCGTGTTAATAAAAAACGATCTTCAACATGGCAACGTAAAAGAGAAGAAGAAAAGACTTATTTACAAAGTTTTAATTTAAATTTCGAATTCGTTTATTGAAAAGCGTTTTACTCTCAGAACGATTGTTATTAGTTTGTCATGAATCAATGACGAACATTGATTTTAAGGTTCTGAATTGTACTACTAAGTTATAATTTTTGATGAGATTAGATACATATGTGTGCACGGCTTCGCCTCAGCCCAGTTTCACACGTTTGTCTATCATGCTGCCCGCTGCAGTAATGTCCTATTAAATAATTGTTTAGCTACTCTTGGTGCGTTTGAATGCTCGATAAGAGTAGTATGAATTAGATGCTCCACGCAAAAATTAAAGTTTAGTATATGATTCCTGGTTGTTACTATTTTGAACATATTGCGGAGCAAAACTAAATTTTAATTGTATTTTTTAATGTTTAATATGTTATTGTTATTGTAAATGAATTAAAAAGTTTTAGCTCTACGTAATAGCATGTAAAGTTTTAGCTTTGTTCCACAATAATAATGAATGAATTATATTTTAATAATAAAAGCATGTGATTATTGTATTTGAACTATATTTGGTGTTTTATTTACCCGGTGTGGTATTAACATATGGATATGCTATTTATTTTATATTCGTTGTAAGATTTGTTTTTACTGCAGGATTACTGTTCAATGCTAGAGTTAGGAGTTGATCTATTGGTCCGGTATTTTTTTTATGATCTGGTATTTCTTTTTAAATTATACCTACGGCGTTAAGAAAAATGTAGACATACATGATAGTTATATACTAGAGTAAAACAAGGCGGCAACTGATGGTAGGCTGCCAAATTCCGAATAAAATTGCATATTTACTACAGAACTGATAAATTTATATGGCGTTTTTGAAGTTAGTGGTGAGTTATCCTCTCGTTTGCTTAAGACATAGCGCTCAAAATTTTTTTACCCTTACATGCCTTGGACGTGTATTTGCGTCAAAACGTAATATAATTTTTTAAAAGGATATTGTTTTAATTCATGTATATTTGGGTCTATTTTCTTGTGTATAGAAAGCTTACTGAAGGAATGTGTTTTGAGGGGCCATTGTCGATTGTTCATACAATGGGAATTTTGGTCGCGTGTGCGAGAGTGGACACATCCCAATTTGTTGCATTAGAAAACGAGTCTATCACAAAATGGATAGATGGCTATGCTTACACATTTTACTAATTTCATTTCGTAAAAGTAATTATATAAATTTGAATGATAAAACGTTTCTTTTTAATATTTAAATTTAAATCTTGGTATTATATAGATTAAAAATGAAAAAATTCGAAGACGGAGCGGAACTTAATTATTACTGCGATATTAATAGCGGTTTATTTAAGAATACAATTTTCAATTTAATCAAAATAAATTTAAAATAGTCTATCAACGCTTACTCCAAGGAATTTATAAATACAAATTTCAAATACAGGTTTCGGGTTAAAGTGACTAAAGAAAAATGACAGAAGCGTAATATTTCAATTGTAAGGGTTTATAAAATTGATTAGTAGTGTAGTAAATACTTAACTTCAATCGTTAATTACCGTAGTTGAAATTTTGTATAAATTGTCATCTTAGAAATTTCATGTAAATTAACATTTGATGAGATTCTGTTTCCGTCAAATAGAGGTTTATAGTATAAAGTTAAGTTTGAGATGCAAAAAAAAACTTTAAAAAGTTTCCATTATGTTTCCAAATGTAGTGTGTAACTATTCCTACACACGGCGAGCGAGGAAGCATGAAGCCGTCCGTCATTTACAGATGGAGAAACAGATCTCTGGCCGCACAAGTTACAAATAAAATATTGACTACAATTTATAATAACTAAATTTAGAAAGAATTCATCGGTTGGGGTAGAATCGCCCCCATTGTTCGTTCCTGCCGACTAAGAAAAACGTGCTTATGGCCTTGACCGAGGATACCGCAACTGACATCTTTAATAGTGTACCTACCAACGCCCGGCCACACAACGACCCGCCTATAACCAGGTGGTTTATCGTAACTACTATTAAAACCTTTTTTGTTTTGCTTAAACACCTTCTCCTTGTCGATATTTAAGTGAGCTGGCCCCGGTTCTTCCGGACGCTTAAGGCACATCGATATATCGACTAAGGCGTTACGACCTCTATATGGAACGGATCGGTTTGTTTTATTCATTCTGCCAAAATGTGACTTCGTGTAGCTTTCTAAACAGCCTTTTAGTGCTATGGGCCACGTGGCCGCTGCGCATCGTAGTGTGGTGTTGAAATGATTTTTTACTGTAGTTCCATCCCTTTTACCAGTAAAAAGATCATAAGGTCCTCGAATGGATACAACCTTTTTCGATTTATTTTCAATACTTTCTTTATCGTCAATGGTGTAGCGGTTAGGTGCAAGGGACCACTTTGGGGCCGTGTCCTCAAAGCGACATGGTTTTTCTCTTTCAAATGTCGGCCGGGTAGAGTGCGGTCCATACGGTGCCTTAAAGGGTTCCGACTTGTAGTACGTACCTGGACAGGGTGTAAAACTCTTTCTTAATTTGAACCTAGGTGTTCTGCCGAAACTGACATTTTTGCACGCAGACTCGTGTTTGGGAGGCTCCTTTAATTCTGTCCAGGCTGGACCCAAAACGGTGCTCTGCCACTTCCGCTGGTTTAAGATTCTCTGGTTTCTGTAGCCAAGGTTTTTTGCCCAATCTTCTAGTTCATTTTTATACCTCCACGGATCTTTGTCGACTTTTCTATATCGATTGACTTGAAATATCTCGTTTATAGATTGCGGGTGGTACAAACACGGGTCGCAACCATCACACCGGTCTGTGTATAGGCCGCTGCGGTCTAGATTCGGGTGAACAGTAATCTTTCCAAATCTCTTTACACTAGAACCAAAACCTTTGATATTGCTGGAGTGAGCCATTTTAAGATGAAATTATTTACTTACCAAAGAAAAAAATTAAAAGGCAAATTATTATTCAAAATAATTATAAATACTATCCATAAGTACTTTCATTTTGAGGATTTCTATCAAAAACGCGTTGGCAATTGCAATATTTATCTCAATCTGTCATCATTCCAAATTGTAAATATTTAGTCAGTTACACAAAACATCATCAGAGTAAAAAACCTTTTCGGACTAAACTTTATTCTCTATGTTTTTATTTTAGTTATTTTAATATACCAAGGACATTTCTATAGCACATTATAAATACATATTGTTGTATAGTGTAATTTTAGCAAGCAAAGATTATCTTTATTAATGAACTTTATTTTTGTTTTTTTAATGACAAATACAATACCAAAGAAAAACTAAACTAAAAGATAAGGGAAAGACTACATTTCAAAGTATACTCAGGTAGGATAAGAAACAAATGGACTTTAGTTGTTTTATATAAGATATATTATTATCAAACTCTAAATTAACCATTATTGGGGATTATGTTCTTTTTTATTTAATGTCTTACTAAACCTACACAAATAGCAGCTACTCGCGACTTAATTAAATCTTTAGTATTTTTTAAAAAAAAAAATTTACTTACGCAACGAAGCAGTGTAAATTAATACCTAGAAAGTAATAACTAAAATGTTTCATATAACAGAATTATTAGAAAGAAAAGCGGCGTGAAACATATTCCAATTGCCTCATCACGAAAGGTCCTAGATTCGTCGGAAAATGGTAAAATTAATGGAGCACAGAAGAACGAACAAAACAGATGGTCTTTCTCTGTCACCCAAATAAAAAAACAGCCGTAGTTTAGTACCTCAGTTATTGTATAAGTAATAAATTAATTTACAAGTCACCAGCGTTATTAGTAAAGATTTCGTGAATACTTAATTGTGACTGTCCCTATAATACATACAACAAACTTCCTTACAACAATGGTGTATATACTGTATAGAGTCTCTATTAGAAGAAAAAAGACAAGCGGAAAATGACAAAAGCTATAAGGCCCAAAGAAGCAAGCGAAATTTGATCTCACCACTGCGTCGCCATCGTAAGATTAGTGTGCGATAAAGTACGTTTGCCCGTATATAGTAGGTATATAAAAAAATCAATGGGTATAGCCACGCTTGCGTCTAGCATGCAGCGTGGCGTGTTCTTGTTGGGACTCTGCGAATACCGCACGCCTTAGTACTGCGGAACGCGCGCCGCTACTTGTTGAAAGCGCCACCTGTTACCACATGGAGTCACCGTCAATTTAAGGTAAACTTGTTCTATATACCTACGAATATCTATACCTATTCATTCATTCGTTTTATTTATATCATCAATGGAAACCACAACGAACGTTACATATCAATTATAAGTGACATTCATTTATTTCTTTAGACCAATAGAACAATCGTATTTCGTTCGTTCAATGAATATTAGTGTGAACGGCGTAATAATGAATGATTGTGGTGTTATTTATAAAACGTGACATATGAAAATATCGCTTAAATGAAATATTGGATTTGAGTCAGTTTTAAAGTATTAATATATACTTACGAACACGTAATTTACTTTTTAATTGAACACAAGCAATTTAATTTATGTTTGTATAATAAACATTTATGTATGAATAATTAATATTTCGTCTTGTTTTGTTGTTACACTTTACGGGCTTATATTTAAAGAGGAAACAATAGGAAGCTCTAGATCTTCTAAGCTATAAGACTTCATGCTTAGTTTAAAAAAGTCTCCACGTAATGAAAACTTTTTGTTAAGTGGAGTAGCTGCCCTTCACTTGGGGATTTTACACAGTGCAATTAAGTACCTATCGTAGAGTTGCAACGAAGCTTTCAAAATGGAACAGCTTTTTATCTTGAAATTTTAAATGTTGGAACAAAAACAGAATTCTTTGCTGTATATTATTAAAATATTTTAAACATTGTAGGATATTGCACTATTTTAAATTGGAAATGATTTTCGACATATATTAAAACGAAGAAAAGTTTTTATCCACAAGGTAGTAAGCCTTTTCTATTTTCTTTATTCATTTTTAAATGCATCGAGTTGAGCGCAAGATTTTTTGGGTTCGAACTGGGCACTTAGACTTGTCTGTAAATAGAATCGATCAATGAAATACAAAAAAGGGCTTGTCGTGCCGAAATTTTTTAAGCGTTTACAGTTATTGTGTCAATTTTTTATGTTCGGATTGAATCTAAGACATGCTAACAGTGATAATAATTAATCATGACATTTATAAAACTTTTGAGTTCTAGATGATAAAGTTGAAATCAAAAATATGCTCAATTCTCCGAGTTACCGAACTTTGCTTGTTATGGATAGGAATCTAGTTTTGGACTCATATTGTAGATAGAGAACGGGCAAGTTACAGAAATCGTTTTAGCTTTAGTTTTTAGTCTAACTGAAAGTTTAGATTTGATAAGACATTTGGCAAAATGATAGAGTAGAATGATTAGAAATTCTTTTCTTGTCCTTTTTTAATTAAATACATTTTCTTACTTTTCATGGTCTTTATATATCATAAATGTACGTTCCACTCGACTGCGGTGTCAAACGTCCGTAATATTGGGCTATATACATTTTAAAAATAATAAATATAGCGAAATTTAAAGCTGAAGAACAGACCTAAAGAAGTTTTCAATAAATATTATAGAGCGGGTTGATATAAACTATAATACATATTATTCTTACTTCTGAGATACATATTATAGTGGTAAGCTAGACTTTACATAATCGGGTCATTTTTTTTTAATTCAAGAAAAGACAGACATACTTTTTGTTATTAGAGCTGCACATGATGATATAACGGAAACTCCGCTTTTCAACATTAAACGAGGAATGCGTTTTTGACCTTTTTTGTTTTAGACGTTCGAGAATCGAGTGATTGAAATCAAAGCGAGTAATTACTGCTTTCGGCTTGATATTGATTTGTGCAGACGGAATTTCGATATTCCCGACAGACATTTTCATAAATTCGATATGTGTATAAAAATAATAAATATGCAAGAAGCCTACTGCATACTAATTCTGCTACACCGCAGCCGTTATACATATATGTACATTATTTCTCCTGATGAATAACGGTACAGGCTAAACCGCTGATTGTAGAAACTTCAAACGCTCGTATGCAGCAGGCGTTTGATACAAATTAAGTTTAAAGAAACTATTTTTAATTTTATTTTTATCTACTATTGAATACTGGCAGTATTAGACACTACATACTGTAGTGTTGCGAAGAGTTCTAAGTGGTTATGTACTTAAAGATTTTAAAATTGTTTGCTTTCTACATGGACACTTTAGATTTCATCACGTGTATGAGTATATAAATGTGAGATTAAGTACAATTAACCATACTGTAATATTTAAATAAAACACTTTAACGGTTTACGCGATATATATCAGTTATACTAACAAGTGTAGGTACTACTCGGGTAAACTACAGACAATACTGTAACATATTTGTAATAACTAAACTAAAAAACTATAAATTTATAGACTTAGGCAAATGTACGTAAAAGTCTTTCTAATCAATACTTAAAAGGAAGAAGCAGGATTACAAAAAGCAATGATGTAAATGAAGTGATAACTCTTAAAATTTTGTTATTAAATTTACATTCTGGTAAATATACGTATGTCTAGTTGATGTGAAAGTGAATGACAAAATTACAAAAATCAACAAATAAAGTGTGAACATTGAAGTTTCGAGCAAAGCAAATAGATAAGGATACGGTGTTACAAACAAGTCTGACATAGCATAACGGAACGCACAAGTCTAAAATGCTCCCTAGGCGAGTTGTCAATTCGGACGGAAATCACAATCGATGCCGATCACTGGCGGGTCGAGCATGTTCGGTCGTTTGTACCTATTCTGACTCGAGTAATAAACGATGGGGCAGTTTGTATCAATTATATTTATCGTTGTATGAAATTATTTAGATTTGTTTATTGTACGTTTATTATCGGTGATGTAAAACTACTAAAAATATTATCTGTGCCCGCAACTTCGTCTGCGTGGAATAGTTTTTTTTTCAAGCCTCCTCCTCATATTTATAAAATATAGCTTCATCCGCATCGTCCACGATGCCGGCCGCGTTCCGTGATTCTTGCAAGTTAATGTTAAAAGATAGATATGTACTGCCCCGGACATTATTCAGATCATTTGAAGAGGAATTATTCTTTCGTACAAATTTTGGGTATCTTGAACCGTCGCTGAGCAACGGAAACGATCAAAAATTAATATTGCTTCTCGATTTTTCCATATTTCCCACTTCTTCGCTACTATTGGATGCAGCCTGATGGTAACAGTTTTTTTACGATAGTAGAGGACAAATGATGGTAGAGGAAATACCCCAGTCATATACCATCTAACCCCAATATTAAAGATGCCCTATCGACTTAATTTGGCTTTATATATTCGAAAACACAGACTGAAAACGAAGCGCTATTAAAGTTCACGGCTTTTTCATCTGTGGACGGTGGTTCGTGACCCGAACGGAATTTCGATATTCCTACCCCCCATTTAATATCCAGATTTCCAGACAAAGTCCAACAGGTTAGAAAAACTATAAATTGATTAGAAAATTATTGGACCCGGTGGGGATCGAATGTTGACCTGTTGATTTTCAGCGATACATTGCTACGGTTACGAGCCTGTGAAACAAGGCACTTTGTTCGTAGAATTATTTCGTGTGTCTAATGTCCTACGACTTTAACTTTGGAATATCGAGGTGCTACCACACGGCAGTGTCCTGTACAGTGCGAGAGCAATCGCTCGCTCCGCGCGTCATTACTACACGTTATACTGGGGTTGTTACGCGTTCTTTCGGTTACGATTCAAAATAAGAACATATTAGTAAATCTTACTTACTGTACGAATTTTAAGTGGACTAGTGCTGAATTCGTCTACTGTCAAACTATTTGAATTAACGGTTAGTCTATTCGAGATTAAAATAATATCACGATAATTTAAT